CTTAACCAACTCCCCTTCTATTCTTATTTGACATATCGTTTTACATTCTTCTTTTCAAAAACTATTCCTAACATCTTACTTGTTACATACATACTCTTTAGATTATTAATCTTGTTTATTTCAACTTTTATTTATTTTGGTTGAGAGGTCCTTTTAACCGTATATATTTCACTCTCCTCAATTAATAGAATCAGGCGTTACTTAGTGGATATTCACTATATTTAAATAGCTTAGATCTTTTTATATATGTACTAACTGGCAAGCAGACGTTGTTCTGCCCTTTCCGACGACCCTTTGTCCTTTAAAAATCCTTAAATTCGCAATAAAAAATATTGATCGCCACTTATTTGGATGAAAACTATCCTCTGTCAAGTTGGAGTGAGCAATACACATTTAAAAAATTTCATTTAAATGAGTCCAGTAGTTTGGGAGTTCATCAACAACGTGATACGTAGATAATTTTATATATAAAGATCTTTAACTCTCCTCAATCAGCATAAGTTGGTCATTCAGTATTAAGTTTTCATTTCAGTTTAAATCTTATAATTTACTTTAAGCTTTTCTATCCCTACATAATTCATATATTAGAATACTCAACCGTAACATAGTGTTAAACATTTAGCAATACCGTAAGATGAGAGAGGAGAGCTGTCGCAGCTGCGTCCCCTGTCATTAGGAAAACAAAACAAAACCCCACAAAAAAAAAAAATAAAAAAAACAAACCCTACGCCTTGGCGCCAACGCTGCCTTGTGATTTACTCCGGCGTTGACGTGACGCGCTCTTGCGACACCTAGATTCGTTAATAATAGGTTTATGATGATTTCCAGTAAATAAATCATAGCGTACGAGAAATCATCACCTTAGCTCCTAGGATAACATCGTGGTGTTCGGAATGCTATATAAACAAATCGTATAATATTATGTAGGAAAATCATTGAGTTATATGTACTGCGTACTAGAGAAGCTATTCCAAACAAAAAATGTGCACTACTCTGTATCTGCGTATGCGCGGGAAACAGTAGAGACGCGCATGCGCAGTTGATATAAACGCGCGAAAATTGTCATAATAAATAATTGTTTATTTAGTAATATTGTTAATCGAGTACATTTTTTTTAATTTTAGTTTATTTTGCATATGTGCTAATTTAATATTAAATTATTATTAGCGCCGTTCCATACTGATCTAAGTCACAATAACAGATATACGAATTGCAGTACAGTTCAGTTGAACATAGTGAGTGTTCGGAATGCCATAACTAGTGTGTAGTACATATATATCGATGATGTAAAATACGATTATATAATAATGTGCTTCTGACCAAGTCATCCGCACAGGACAGGATTATAGTGCACAAGTGTAAACTCATGTACGGTACTATTATTCCCTCACACTCATAGTCCTATGGGACGGCAATATGAAACGGCCGGAGTTTTGAAGACACGAGGGTGAAAACGACCAGTTTCCTGACTCCCGGCTGCTACTGATAACTTCATGACAGCAAACCTCAAAAATTGATTTTTTGGTCCGACCCGGGATTCTTACCCGAAACCTCATGTTCAGCGGTCACGTTAACGACCACTACACCAGCGAGCAGCAAGACTGCAACGAGCAAAGAGGGGATAATAAACCAGCACTAACGGTATGAAACTTCAGGCACTTAGATCGCTAATTCGCCTGTCTATAAAGCGTAGTCATTCGGCAAATTGACCCTATTATATGAGAGGCAGAGTAAGGGTTGCCACTTTATTTTGAACAAATAAAGTATTTCTCCCAATAGTACTTTTGAGAAATTCAGGAGAGAAAAAAGTACACATTTATTTTTAATCTTTATGTAATTTTTTATATTTGCTATTGCTCTTTGCTTTGGCCGTCAATTATCTATTACCTTTAAAGTGATAGGAGTCTGAGTAATTTAGATTCATATTAAAACAAATTAACAATTAATTTTTAAATAAATTTATACATGCTCCATATCTTTCTTCTCTCAATTTTACATTAAATATTTTATTCGTAAAACTTATTCCAGACTTCCAATCACAGTAAATATAAAAAATATAAATATAGTATTTTCGTACTATATTATTTTTCTATAATATATAGTATAATTGACTGAAATATAGTATGACACTATATATGTCGTACTATGTTTCAGTCAATTGTACGGGTACGGGTGGTAAGCCTTAAAGCGCTTCTACACGGTCGGGACCAACCACCAATCGTCGTGACCTTCCTTGGTCGGGTCAACCGATTTTTGTATTCGTTCTACACGGTCGGGTGGTTGACTCAACTAGTCAGTTGTCTCTAGTATTTAAAGACTAAAGACGTAAGGTAGTTACTTTTAAAAATGGCTCCTTGCTTTTCTATACAACAAAAAATAGGTTTAGCTTTAACGTTTCTATGCTTGAATGAAGATGAAAAAAAAAATAATAAAAAAATAAAATGCATAAAATTGTGGCTGAAAGAGCGCATTACTTTAAACAAACATGACATGGTACTTTAAGACATGGTAAATCATAGTACAGTGACAAGAATTCGGTCAGGACCTCACGTTCTTCGCTTCCGTTCGTATCCATAGTGCCGTTAAACATCCACCTGCAACAACTGCTAAGCGCGCACTGAGGCGCTCTCGTCGGCCGACAGCGTTCCACACGGTCGGCGTCAACCACGGACCCGACGTGTCGTGAGGGATGCGCTCGCGACCAAGGCCGTCGGACTCAACGAAAATATTGGTCAGACAACCGATTTCTACACTGTCCATTTTTACTTCAACTCGACCAAGGTCACGACGGTTGGTGGTTGGTCCCGACCGTGTAGAAGGCCTATTACGCAGCGTAGACCTACCTATATCCAGGAGTGAATCGTTTAGAGCAGAGTTCCCCAAACTTTTTTGTGTCGTAGACCTCTTGCCATGTTTTTCCGTGTTGGGTAGACCTGGTACTTACCTGATATTGATTTCCTGTAAATTTCTAACTGTAGTGAAGTTTAGTGTTAAAAACTTAAATTAAAAACACATGTTAATTTATACATTTATCAATTGAATTTAAATTAAAACTACTCAAAATAAAATTTTGTATCTGTTATGTAAAATATACGTAACATTAAATAAATATAAAATAAACTATAAATCTTTTATAAATAATGTATATGTTTTGATATTATAAAATAGTATGATGTAAGTATATAAGTACTATCAGTGTATTTGTTGAGATCCACTATCGTGGACCCCCAATTTTTTTTCGCTGACGTAGACCCCTGGCAGGTTGTCATAGACCCCTAGGGGTCGATATAGACCACTTTGGGAATCACTGGTTTAGAGTTTAGACACTAATGATGACGATGAAAAAATCAAAAAATAATATTTATTATTAACATTCTTAACTATATCACATTTTTAAAATCGATACTGTACTTCTTCCTGTCCCCTACCAAATGTTCGGAGTCGGCATAGCATGTGCTTGTTCCATTCTCCTCCTCCAATATTCCTCTCCTCACTCACTCCTTTCTGACGCAAATAATCCCTGACACTGTATTTACTTAGGCCGCCCTATACTGTAATATCCATCCACTTTCATAGCCTACATTGTTCTTGTTATATGATTTTCTTACGATATATTGAATAATAAAACCGGTATATTACTACGTTTTATATAAAGAGTAGGTATCACTTTTTATTAATGCATAAATGACACCTTTAGCCAATCATAGCTACTTGATAACAAAAAACTATATTTTATGAGACTGAATATAAATATTAATTTCCATGTGTTGTTTTAGAATCGTGTTTAGAATACCTACTTATTTAGTAATAAACCAGAAAACACTTTATCAATAGATAATTTTATCTTAAACGTTTGCATTTTTAAGCATTAAGAGTCAGACAGATGTCTGGGTCGCAGCATCGGGTTTTTGACCATTATCACAAACAGACATAAATAAGTTGCTCTCGACAAGCTTTTAAGGTAAATAATTACCTATTTAAATTCTTTTTTTATCTATCCATCCACCATCCATCGGAAGCCACAAGATGGATTTTGTTTAAGTTGTATTTAATACCCGGGTTCGGTCCCCACCGGCACCAGAGAAATTGTTAATTGCAATTTTAAGTATCACGTGCTCGCCGGTGAAAGAAAAAAATCTTTAGGGAACCTGCATTTTTTTTATAGGACAGGGTGACAAACGAGCACACAGTCCACCTGATGGTAAATGGTTGCTGTGGCCCATAGACATCTACATCTATCCTCGATTACGAAACAAAATGCAGATGCGTTGTCACCCGTGAAAACTAAGATGGAATGCCTCGTTTCCAGTAAAAAGGGTCTCCGGTTCTCTATACCCACCATACGAAACACAGGAGCATCAAGCTACTATTTCACGCTAGTATTCTGTGAGAGCGTGGTGCTTCCCCGGTCGAGCCGACCCGTTCGTGCTACAATTATACTTCTAATATAACTGCAGCATGACTCTACTACGTATAACGCATGTTTGAGAAATAATAAAAAAATATTATTTCGAAGACATCTGAAGTTCGCCAACATGCATTGGGATACCGCGGCGGACATTCCTTGCCTAAAATACTCTCAGAAATTAGACTGTTTTATTATTTTATTAATTAGCTGTAGCTTTAAGTTGGGGCGATGGATGGCTATCCATCCATCCACTCGATCCATTCACGGTCTTCACAAGTCCACTGCTGAACATTAGCCTCCCCCATAAAATATCTCATAGGAGGAACTTTGCCATAGTTGCCACGTTTGAAAGTGCGTGTTGTGGAGTACCTGCAGTTTTTTTTTAAATTGTTTTGGGATGTTGTCAGTAACATTCTGCTGCCCGCCTTATGTTTCAATTACCCTCTGTCCTCTTACGACACCCACAGGACTATATGGGGTAGTGGATATTTTTGAACCGTCACTGCGCAATGGGGTAGATAGCAATAGTAATTGATAAAATACCTAAGTCGAAATAAAATTAGGGAACACAACATAAAACAAATAAATAGTGATGCGGCGTGTAGTCGTATACAGACTGGTACGAGGCATATTCGGCAATATTTTAATTATAGTACGTGAGGGTAATATGGTCATCTGGTTAATATGGTCACTTTCTTATAACTTAAAAACTACAGCCTTGTTCGTATAGATCGCTTTGTGATACGCTTAGGATTACGATAGCTCTTCATCGGCCAGTCAAATAATAAAGGGTCAAAAGGGCGATGCTTTATCGACGCCATTTTGACAGTTAACATTATAGTAAATATTTTAGTCGGTTTTAGTATGGTGTAGTGCAGTTAGTTTTTTTAAGTAGATTTTTCGAAGTGTTCCTAATTATAGCCAAAACTTGTTTACTATTTTTAAAAGTAAGCAAAGTTGTTGTCCTTCTCCTAGTTTTGTTAAGGGCGACAAAGCTTAAGGTGCCCATATTATCCCCGCGTACCACCTTACTCGTTTTCTGACGAATAACTCGGTATCATCGACGATTCATTATTCATCATTAGAGTCCGTCACATGTCCAGTGCTAAACGTAGGTCTTCTCCAAGTAATGCCACCGAGTACGTTCCTTAACCAACTGAATCCAACGACTGTATGTGGTAGGGCGGTACTGTTACGGTTGCAACACGAATGGATCAACTCGACCGGAGAAGGACAACACTTTCACAGAATACCAATGTAAAATTAGTGCAGTGTGAGTGTTGGGAACCGTAGATCTTTTCACTGGAAATGAGACCTTCAGGCCAAAAGAATCCCCCTATCAATATCAATGATGATTCGTGAGGCTATTTAATCAAAGGATTTCAAAAGAGAAAGAGCTGATTTAGTGAATGGTTTAAAATTAAGAAAAGAGAAGAAACCAAAAGTGAAAAAATTACGTAGACGAGCCAGCACAAAATATAAAAGAGACTGCTGAGCATGCAACGGAGCACTTACGCAAAGATACACGCTACCAGAAAAAACCGAAAAAGGGAAATAAAAGTTTGTTCAGTTTCTAGAGTTTTATAATAATATACAAAACAATACCTCAGTAGTTTGCTCTTTAATTGTTTGCACAATTTTTTTGATTTTTCTATTTTTATGAATATCTGTGTTTTGGTTTATTTATTTTTGATCTAATTAGTGTGAAATATAACTAATAGGTCAGAAAGAATCATTAACCTTTACATTTTCCGAACAAATTAACTTCTTCGCTATAAAATCTGTCAAATGTTACAACCCTTAGAAAGTGATTATAACCAAATCAATTATTTACCGTGTGATGGTTGCATGTGAAAAATTTTGTGTAAGTTATTTTTTATGGGATATGATGTCAAACGAGCACACAGTCCACCTGGTTGTAAGTGGATACTGCGGCCCATAGACCTCTACATCTATTCTCGATTACAAATCAAAATGCAGATGCGTTGTCACCCCTAAGGACTAAGATGGAATGCCTCGTTTCCAGTAAAAACGGTCTCCAGTTCTCTCCACTCACCATACGAAACACAGCAGCATTAAGCTACTATTTCCCGTTGGTATTCTGTGAGAGCGTGGTCCTTCCCCGGTCGAGCCGACCCATTCGTGCTACAACTATACTACTAATATAACTGCAGCATGGCTCTACCACGTATAAAAGTAACTCTACCACGTAAAAAGTGACGTTAAAGGCGACCATGGAAAATGCTGGAAATCTTATGGCTTCCAATATCAATGTCGCTTACGCCAGAAATGAAATACGCAAGACATTTGGTACTGCGGTTGGCAGTACAGCAGCCAAGCGTGACAAGGAAAATCCTTCCTACGTCTGAAGTACGGACGGAACAAGAGACCTCTGTTCTGTGGTGGACTTCTATGGCCTGATGAAGAATAAAAAATCAATTTGTTCCATAAACACTCACGCCTGTCACCCAGAGGGGTAGGCAGAGACTACAGATTTCCATTTGGCACGATCCTGACACACCTCTCTCGCCTCCTTCACATCCATACACCTACGCATACATGCTCGTCGGTTAAGGGTACTCCTAATTTGGCCCGTTTCCAATAAATCGCCAATTTGGTCGATAAATTTTCGCCTAGGACGTCCCTTTCCGACTCTGCCATTCACTTCTGCAACATAAATTTTCTTTGTCACTCTTTCCTCATTCATTCTTTCCACATGACCAAACCACCGAAGCATTCCTTTCTTAATCCTGGTCACAACATCATCTTGCAAAACACACTCTTCTCTTATTACACAATTTCTTACCCTTTTTTTTTTAACATGGGGATATGCCTACGCATACCCGCCTCGCGGGGGGCAAGGACGGGTTATGTGGGACTCGCACCGACTAAAACCCCATGGTGTTCCACCTTCGTCGCATATTGGCAGGGCTACGGGAACGCTTTCGCACACATCCGCGGCCCCACCAGCGACTGCCGCCCCATGGCAGCACCTCATCGGGAGAGGAATATTCCTCCCCGTTCTCCTTTCCAAGTAAGGCGCACCAGAACACATGGCACGCCTTCCTCCACGGCCTCCAATTACATCTGCGCAACAGGCAATCGGACGCGGCGATGCGCGAAGGCCATGGGGCCAGGAAAACGAGCACTTAGAAGTACTAGCCTTCCCGACCCCAGCGGCGGATCTGGTCTATGGCTCCGCCGCCAACCAAGATTCGGCTGCGGAGGATAGGGAGAGCGGCGCCTCGCAGTACCGACGATCCTCTCCCCCCGCAGCCCCATCACCACCGCATCAACGGTGCGGCCCAGTTTGAGTCGCGGAGGATAGGGCGAGTGGCGCAGCGCCATACCAACACTCCTCTTCCTCCGCGACTCCACCTCGGCTGCAGCGGTAGGTGGGGAGGACACACCTCTCACCGCAGTCCACCAACACACATCCGAAGTGGGCTTCCCAAGCCCACTCGGAGTGGCCACCTCGGGCCGGCCCTCCACCTCGGACCAGCCATATGGATTCCTCTTTGTTTCGCCGTGGGTGACCAAGCCACGGCTTCTAAGCCCCCCCGCCACGACAAGGCGGGAACCCGTTCGGGGGGGGACAATTTCTTACCCTGTCATTCAGATTCAGCCCTAACATACTCCGTAACGACCGCATTTCTACTACATTTATTCTACTCTCGTGCTTCTTCTGCCACACCCAACTTTCACTACCATACGTTAAAGTTGGGACCAACACAGCATTGTGAATTGCCATACGTGCCTTTTTCGACACATTTTGACTCTTCACAATAGAGTGCAAGGCCCCATTTACTCTATTTCCTTTTATTCTGTCTATTTTTATCAATTTGTTCTACGAAAAAAATGTAAGGGGGGAGGCGAATATTTACTATTGCTCTCCTGTTTCCCTCTGTATCCTCTTATTTCACGTGCGGTATGATATGGGGTAGTGGATTCTCTTATGCCGCCGCTAGACGACACTTCTTCGTTCTTCTTCTCTCTCTTTTTTTATAGAATAAGGATGATAAACGAGCACACAGTCCACCTGAAGGTAAGCGGATGCTGTGGCCCATAGACATCTACATTTATCCTCGATTAAGAATCAAAACGCAGATGTGTTGTCAACCCTGAGTACTAATAAGGATTGCCTTGTTGCCAATAAAAGAAGGTCTCTGGATCTCTACACTCACCAAATGAAACACAGCAGCATTAAACTGCTATTTCACGCTGGTATTCTGTGAAAGCGCACTCCTTCACCGGTCGAGCTGACCCATTCGTGCTACAATGATAATATAGCTGCATGGTACCCAGAGCATTGCTGCCGCTGGAGAAATATAATTGTGAAAGTATCATTTTAAATTTAGAAGAGTTATATTGTTTAATTAGGAATGATAATACATTCGTTACATTGAATGATATATCTTTCAAATAAAATTATCAATCTAAATTTATTTGAAAGATATGTAATTGAACGCGCTACCTACTGTAAGTTACTATATATACGTACGTAATCTGTGACTATGCCTACAACCTTGCCCATGTGCAGGCAATAAGTTGACAAAGTTTTATAATACCTCCATCCGATTAAAGGTCCGGCAGCGCGTAAAATACGAACAAACATTAACTTTTGTATTCTGTATTTACTAATCACGTTTTCTCATATCATAATTATCTAATTTTTAGAGCTCGGAATGTCCAGTGGAGGAGAAACCAAACAGTGAGAAGAGTTACGTGGTGGCTTCATGGCCCTCAAGCACGCCCGGCCACACTGGCTACCTCACCGTTGCCACGCTTCCGCCCACGTTCATTAGAAGTAAGTTGACAAAATAAGCTTTTCTTATATAGAAGAGGAGGCAAACGAGTATACGGCTCACCTGATGGTAAGTGATTACCGCCGCCCCTGAAGAACTGCAACACTAGGGGAATAGCAGATGCGTTGCCGGCCTTTTAAAAAGGATAGGCTCTTTGCTTGAAGGTCCCTAAGTCGTACCGGTCCGGTAAAATCTCTGGTGGTAGTCGATTCCACAAGGAAGTTGTGCGAGGAGGAAAACTTCTTTTAAATCGCACAGTGGTGGAGCGCCAGTCATCCAGATGGTATGGATGGTCGCGAGTTTTGTCGCGATGTGCGATGGTGAAATCGTGCGACTGGAATTAGTCCGAACAGTTCCTCAGAGCACTCACCGTGGCAAATATGGTAAAATACGCAGAGAGGTGCAACATTTCTTCGCAGTGCCAGTGAGTCAAGCCGATCGGAAAGAGCTCGGTTGCCGACGATTGGAACAGCTCTGCGCTGGATGCGATTAAATTGAAGGAGATGGCACTGGAAAGCCCCAGCCTAGAGATGGGAACATTATTCCATGTGCGGCCGAACCTGCGCCTTGTAAAGTTGCAAGCGGTGTGCCGGCATAAAATACTGTCCCGCTCTGCTGAGCATGCCAAGCTTTTTAGAGGCCAATTTGGCCTTCTCTTCCAAATGATCACGAAACTACACGTCACTCGATGTCGACGCCGAGGATTCCGATACTGGCTGAGGCAATAAGGGAGTGCCTTGAAACTTAGTGGTTAAAATAGTAATTAAAGTTATAAAAGAACCGATTGCATTTGAAAGTTACTACTAAAAAAAAATACCTTCCCCTCCCTATGTTTGTATTTGCACATGCACTATGTAAATATTACGTATACCTATGTCACTCCTACAACTAAGGCGAATTTAACGACAACTCATAACATATGTATGTTACATGTTATGTGGTTTACATATGTTACTAACCATCAAGCCGTTTAGACTACAGAACGTGCCAAAGAAAAAAAAATATACATACATACATACTGGCTGATTTTTTTACCGTCTGGAAAAAATAAAATAAAACAGGTGAACGGAATCGAAGCCTATGGCACTGATATTTTGCAATTGTTTTTATTTTACATTGACATACATATTTTGCTTTGTATTTTTTTTGGCTAATTTAGTGCACCCTACCCGTTAATCTTATTTTTATTTTTATTAATTTCCTCTTCTGGGTTTTCTGGAAGAGATTGCTATGTAGCAATAAGACTGCCTTTTGTTTTTCCCTCATTGTTCATTATTTGTTATATATATGTTTTGTTGGTGTACAATAAAAAGTATTGTAATTGTAATTGTACATATTATAACATTTATCTATCGATAAATACTACTAATTGGGTACGTATCTTTATACTTCGGTAGTTTTTAATTAATTGATTTATTTAGTACAAAAATTTTGTTATTTTTTAGTACCGAAAGTTTATTTCAAATTAGTAGGTAATATTTATTGATAGATAAATTTCATAATATGTTAATGTAAAATAAAAATAAAATTATAAAATATCAGTGCCATAGGCTTCTATCCCGTTCACCTGTTACATCCTATTTTTTTCCAGACGATAAAAAAATTACACAGTATATTCTCGAAAAACGTTACCCTCCTGAAGCAGTCGGGTAATAAGATAATGAGTACGGTGTGTATTTGAGCACTAGACCATTTTGACCCAATTATGTAATTTGTACTTCGAACTCATTGCTTGTCCCTATCACTGAGGAGTGGATAACTAATTAACCAGCAGATTTAGTGCCTCTGCTACTGCACTTCGTCTAGTACCAACAAACAGGTCTTAAATTGCCAGTTGTAAAGGATAGCGCTTGTAATCCGTGCCGTTCACTTTATACTAAGACTTGTATAAATTATATTATAGTCCATCCCACTGGACAGGTGTCGATTTAGCAAAACTAGCGAAGGGCTAATTTATGTATAAATTGGTAAGATTTTCTGGCAGTGTCGTGTGGCAGGCCTTATAAAACCTTGTAGCTTCCGATTAATTGACCCATCACGGTTCTTGGTCACCTGCATTTATCGAAAGGAGAAGAAAAGTTTCGTACCGATAAACGCAGTGTATATCGGCCCACCACTGCTAAAACAGATCTTAATAAAAATCTCTGGACCTCTTCAATCACAATACAAAACACTGATTTTCCTGCTGGTTTACTTTTTATGTATCTATTAAATAAGTTTTAAATTTTCTTTTTATTTTCAGAAAAAACTAATACGATGAAATCGGATCCGGTCATCGAAAGTCAATCGGATAAATTGTCGGAAGTAACGAATAATGAAGCGATGGCCGTCGATGTAGCAGCGACATGAAGATTCCACTTCTTTCTTATTTACGTACATGATCAATGTATAGACAATGAAAAACTTTATATTACTAAATTGTTTCATTTACAAAACTTAAACAATAAACCAAGTAACGATGCTGTCCATATCCTGGTTTGTTCCCCTTTTCGCCACTTACGGCACCCAGGGGACGATAGTAGTTGTATACACCCACCACTGCAGGGTCAAGTTAGAGCTATATCTACCATTGAATTATATCTCAAAGTACACTTCCATTATGTTTATGAAATAAATTGATATCACAGAAAAATTGTGGATTAATAACATGTCGATAGATGCCAACATATTCAACAATAGGGTTCTTAAAACCAAAATAATTGGGTTTAAGTAATTGATTGACTACTATCTCACTTAATATATATTATATTGTTAATGGTGATCTAGCCAAAGATAATAAAACGCTTTTGCTTCGTTTAATTTTACCAATTGTTCAACAAAAGCCTTTTCCCTCTTGCTTTGAAGATATCTACGTTGTTATCGGATGGGTCCTGACAATTTTTTATAGAATGAGGGTGAGAAACCAGCAAACAGTCCACCTTGATGGTAAGTGGATGCTGTGGCCCATGGACATCTACATTTAACCTCGATTAAGAATCAAAATGCAGATGCGGTGTCACCCCTGAGGACTAAGATGGAACGTCTCGTTTCCAGTAAAAAAGATCTCCGGTTCTCTAAAATCACCACACGTAACACTGAATATCAGTTACAATCCACGATAAAATGTTTGATCCGTTGTAGTGAAAAATCTGTACATTGGAAGCAAAACGGGGTGGAGCGGGAGAACATCCGTCGATGGATCGCGCAGCGAGCGTATTTTTTCTATTACTGCGGTTCAATCCACCCCGACCACATAAAAATCAAAAAAAAATTCTTGCAATTCACTATATGAGCATAAAAAATCATATAATTAAGCCACGATTCCCGGGAGGTACATTCATTTGATCATTGAGGAGAAAACATCAAAATGGAGAAAAACGAAATTAGAGCTGTCATCAAGTACCTCTGTTTTAAGAAAAATGTCTACCAAAGTCATACACAGCGACTTAGTGGAAACTGGAAACATTGGAGGACTTTTCTCCTCCATATTCCACAGTTGCATGCTGGGCCATCCACATGCCTAACTGAAGATAACGTGAAAAAAGTCGAAGATGGAAGCTTCTACGGTTCCTGCGCCGCCACGATTTGATGAATATGGATTCGCATAGATCTCGAGGAGATACGCCGAAAAGTAGGAATACAATTCTTTAATATCTCGCTTAGTTCCCCAGATAGCGATACTGAAAAATCGAATACTAAAACCAAATAAAAGCACGCTCCGACTCCACGTAGTCTTGTCTGCCCTAGTCTTAGTGTTTTGTACACTTGGGCTGCACTTCCCACAGCGTCGAGGCCGTTGCAGAAGTAACTTTGGATCAATATGGTTGTGTAAAAAAGTAAATTTTGAATATATATACAACACGTAACATAATTAACGCATTTTGAGAAAATAGTTTGTACAGAATCGTTTACTGAATCGATTCCTATCATTTTTAATATAGGTAATTTTTTATCTCAAAAATAATTAAAACTACGTAAATTACAGTCACACTAAATCTGTACAGTCAAAACAAACTAAAATGAACCGTAACTTAAGGCAATAAGACTTTTAAGAGTGCAGTTTTATTTGTATTATTCTGTCATTCAATTAATTCTGTCATTCAATAAAAATAAAGAAAAATGAACTTTATTTCAAGCAAGTTAAAGTCTTTGCGTTCGTGGATTTGTACTGTGACCACAACATTCTTCCGGAATTAGTATAACTAATTTGATAAATAATCAGTGCATAAAATGTTTAACTAAATATTCAGTGTACTAATTGGGGTGTCCGAGGGTGTGCGTTAATTAAGTTACATATTGTATATATACTGAACATCAATTTCAGGTATATAAATAAAATAAAACAAAAATAATATTAGATACACTTTTATTAATCAAGTTAAAGAAAAATTGTCTAAAAACTATTGAAATGAATACACAAGTTACAAATAAGACAAGAATAAGGTTTATTTTAATATTTACCTTATAAAAGACATTAACTAATGAGATTATTTTAGCCTCTTTACAAGTTTAAGGAATTTATAATAATAAATATCTGGCAGTAGAGAATCAGAAGTAAAAATATGTAATTTCAACAAACATTTGGCATATGCCGGATGTTATAATATAATATATAGTTTCTGTATATTCCTATCACAGCTAAAATCGGCAAACTTTTACATTGCTTTAGTTTTTTTTTTTATAAACTATCGAATTTATTCAAGTACCTTTAGATTAACCGCTGTATTGAATAATATATAACGTATTCTAAAAATTCCTTTCTAGAATATTCGCAGCACACATGTTAAAAAATGTCATTAATATACATAAATTGCGACAAATGTAATATGTAACGACGTTTTAATATTGACAATACTGTCACTTTAATACAGGGTGGCGCAATAGGATATGCATATTGCATCATCTTTTTCGCGGAGTTGTGGACGGGCGCAGATGGGGAACATAGTACGTTTGGGTATCTATGGTTCGACGGGAAGCGTCGCGTCGTGCATTTTGCGCACGCACGTTTTACGAGAATGGTCGTTTTTTAATCACAACTAGGCTAAACTATATATTGTTTTGAATATAGATTACAAGTTCGCGTCCAAATTTGAATTTGAAACACAAGCTTAAAGGTCGTCCTAGAACATCTAGGACCGCAGACGATATTGAGAGAGTAAAGCAGTCAGTACGACAAAATCCGCAAGCGTCTACCTGCAAGAGAGCGTCCGTTTTACTTGTCGCGACGAAGTTTGCAAAACATTTTGAACTTGGATCTTAAACTGCATCCGTATAAGATTTAATTAACGCAAGAATTGAAAGAGAATAACTTCGGACTAAGGTTGTTCGGAGTAAGGCGTTTGCTAAAGAAATGCTTGGACGATTTTCCAATTTTGACATCTTTTTTTCTGATGAGGCCCATTTCCATTTGAATGGTTTTGTAAATCGACAAGATTGTTGTTATTGGAGCAGTGAAATACATAGACTAAAGCACCAAAACACACCTCATAGCCTGGAAGGGAGTGTATGCCCGGCAATATTAAGCAAAGGATTATTGGTCCTTTCTTCTTTGAAGATTTGCAGGGTCGTAACCTCACTGTTACGGCCGACCGCTTTTTTGCGATGTTAAAAAGTTTTTTCACTCCAAAACTTGACAATTAAAAAAGGGTGAATTCAAGGACTTGGTTGCAACAAGACGGAGCACTCAATCACACGGCAAATGTCTCTACGGCTGTATTGAAAGGTTCCCAACCAGACTGATCTTAAGAGTTGACATTCTGTGGCCCCACGCAGACCAGACTTAACGCCTCTAGAATTTTTTGTGGAGATACTTCAAGCACAAAGTCTACATCAATAACCCGGGCAACATTGATCAGCTTAAAAATATATCCGGAGTGAAACGGCATCGATCACACCAGCAATGCTGCGGAAAGAAAGCTGAGTGCCGACACAGAGAGGTCCATCAGTTAAATAATATTATATTTTTAAAATAAACTGCATTTATTAACCTATAGATTCATAATATTATTTTAACTATAGCTTATATATTTATATTATTACAAATTTTTCAAATATGCATTTATCAAATCAAATATTCATTCTATTGCGCCACCCATTATCAATGAAGATAATAAAGGTAAAATAAGAAATCTATTATTTTACACGTTGATGAAAAGTTGTTTTAAATTAAAAAGAAAAAATATTTATAGTCAATAGAAATTTTTGATGAATTTTGTCATACTCATCAAAATTCTACGTACGAGTTTGCTCAGGATCATATGAACGTTTAGACCAGCAGGATGATTGTGTAGTGCCAGCATAAGGATTATGACATCAATATGTCAGTGTCATAATTTCATTTATAAAATATAATATAGATTGTATATGAAGAAATGAACAAAACAGGTTTCATTATTTCATTGAAGAAAATACGATAGTGTTTCTAGTCTAAACTTATGTATAGGTATGTCTAAACTTATGAATACACGATCTTATATTTATTTCACTACTAGAATTAATCATTATTTGTTATATAGATTAAAGATTACAAATATAATAATATAAGATATGTATAAAACTATCGACCTATGTAAATACTTCAATTTTTGTTCATCAAAACAAAGTTCGAGTCTACGTAAACATCAGAATAAGTCTTTTTATATTTGACAAATATTATGTAAATAATTTATTCTGGCCACTGCATATAATACAAATAACTTATGGCTATTCGTTCTGTATATCGATACTGAAAAGAAAACCACCAATTCGTAGCTAATTTATTATTTCGTTTTACGTCGTCTGTTCAAGTTATGTATATGGTTTAATATTATCTTCTGTATAAGATAAGAATTCTCTCCTAGAACTGGACCTCACCACCGCAGTACTGAATGCTACATACTGTAACGGTGACATTCAGTATTATATTTAAATATGTGTTTAGTATATTGAAATAGTATAATGATGGTACTTTTTACATTGTGTTTGTGAATAGGTTATAAACTTATATGTCCGTTATAGACTTTGAAATCATCCAACCGATTTTAATAAAAAAAATTGTGTGTGTTTGAATCACGGAGCAAATACAATTTTATTGTATTTGCTCCGTGGTTTGAATGGGTTTTTAGGTGGTTTATATTCACATTTGGATCCGGTAGGTGGCGTTGTCGAGTGATCACCCGTGCGAATGCGAGATGTATTGCTATAAAACTTTAATATATATTGAATATAAAACTTAATTAATGATTACCGTGTCAATTACGAAAGCGTTTAAAATCTCGTCAATTTTCATTTCGTTTTCTTCTTAGAATTAAACTATTAAAAATTATAAACCATTTTCAAGGAATTGAAAAGAAAACTATTGTCGAAATTAGTTGACGTGGTTATGAATTATTTGCCCTTAAGTCGTGCAGATGCCTTTGCTAATTAAAGAGTATGATGGTTTTAACCGAATTATATGTGACCATCCCTAAAGTACCTCCTTTCTAACAAATAAAGAATTATTAAAATCGGACAAAGTGGTGAAGAATTATCGTTGAACATACACAAAAAAACATTCCCAGGAATTGAAAACCGTCCTACTTTTTTTGAAAATGGGTTAAATTCTTATCTTAAACTAATAATTCATTCAGAATTTTGACTAAAATAATTATAAATAGCATATTATTGGGAACAAATCTTCACCAAATATCTATTACTAAAAAAGGATGAATTTATGTTAAATAATACTATTAATAATTTAATATAATAATATAATTGTTTCGTATTAGTGTAGTAAAGTTAGTAATAATTTAATATAATAATAAAATTGTTTCATACTAGTTTGACTACAAGTACAAGTAATTCATTTTTATACAGTCAATAAATATATTGAAACCTACTTAAAGTTGCTAAGTCTATAAAACACTAACACGCTCACATACAATAAAACTTTATTTTTAATAGCTATTTTCCTATAATATTTGTCGTAACGCCATTACATAACTGTCATAATTAAAATAGAAAGTAAAGAGTAAAGTAGATTTCAAATATGTGACATATTGTTTGTAGTAAATTCTTGACCACGTATACAATTTAAGTCTTAGACTATTGGAAGTTTTAGGCCAATATCACTGAAAACTAGATTTGCAACGAACATTCTGCTATTATCCGGTATTCGGCCTATTAGACTACTTTTATCCTATTCGTTCGAATACCGAATATCTGGGTACTAATCGGCCGATACCGAATACTTAAGTATTCTATAAAAAAAATAATTAAGGAAGAGGTTTTATTGTAGTCAGATAATAATTGGTAAGATGAAAATATTTATTTATTTTATAATTATATTTTTTTCTTGTAATCATTAAAGTAGTCGTAGGTATATAATCAACTTCCATATTCCTTCCTACCCTGCCGACTACTTTTGCCTAATATTCGGCGTGTGGCAGAATACCGAATATTCTACTATTCGATGCAAGTCTACTCGAAACACTGGCATTATAATAAAGTCCAATAACCCAAAAAGACACGCCCACACACACTAATTCATGAAATAAACATTTTTTATTATTATTTTAATGACAAGGGTTAGGAATGTTATTTCTGCAAATACATTATTACACTATCACTCAAAATGTAAATAGTATTATTTCAATTTTAGTAACTGACTTCTGTTGGCATTGCATTTTATCTGAAATCGCTGAAATCGGTCTTCAGCTGTATAGTGGGTTTGGCTGGTCGCGACTCAAAGACCGGTCTTTGCGGTTGGGACTGTTTATTGGATCGGCTGATCTGATTCGCCTTCACGGCGTTTTCTAACTTGGTACGTAGATCGGGCGACTGTTGCATCATTGTTTTGAACTCCTGGAAATGTTAAATGAGGTTTAGTGGCAAAATTGTCTAATATTGAACTGCAGATCCTAGGTTTAAGAATATTTTAATTTATACAAAAATTCCAAAATTATTCTCAATAAATATAGATAGATTATAAGAATACTTATTATCAGTAATTTATGCTTTAACCACTGGTTCTAAAAAAAATACCTGGAAAGAACTATCAAGGCACCCAATTATAAATGAGATAATTGCATTGGATTTTCAAGTAAGTAAGCATCCAGGGTTCGATCGCAGCGAACACCAAATGAAATTGTTAACTAAAATTTTAAGTGCTGCTTTATCACGTGCTCGGCGGTGTAGAAAAACATCACGAAGAAACATGCACATCTAAGCAATAAATTAAATATTTCGAAGACGTTATTGTAAAGTCCGCCACAACGCACTGGAGCAGGGTGGAGGAGTGATTTCTTCATAACTCTCTCAGAAATGAGAGAAGGCCTATTCTTGTCCAGAAATGCGAAGGTTTTTAATTTGCCTTGGTTACCTTCGACTTTTTCACATATACTCGTACGTTCACCTCGCGGATAGGTTAGGACTAAGTAGTTCTGTTTTAAGGTGCGAGTACACTTGTGACAATATATTTCATAAGAAGTCTGTTTCCTATAGTGTTTTGAAGATATCGCGATGATCGATTTCGACTACGAAACACTTCAGGACACTGTCGTTTGTCAATATCGTATTCTAAGACGAAGTGGTAGAACCTTTTATGTACGTTTGAGTAGGTACCACCTAATATATTTCTGCCTCATACCAGCAGTGAGTGCAGTGCTGCTAGCTACAGGCTGGTATATCATCTTAGTCTTCAGAGGTGACGGACAACACATCTGTAGTCTTCTTTGTTCAGAATTGGCTGCAGGTGTTTATAAATTTTAGTAGGCACTAAGCATCACGTGGACTGTACCAGGACAGCATCAACATGCAGGATGTATACCTGCGGGTACTTGGGCCCGACGCGCATGAGCCACTGCAGCGCGAAGTCGTGCAGCGTGCGCACGTGCGGCGGCGCACTCGTTAGCTCGTTGCCTTCGCGCAGGTACGATATCACTATCGGCACCAGCATACGCAGCAGCTGAATGCCTGTAATGAAAATATATATGTGTTCAATAAATTATCAGTCAGCGGGATGTACCTCATGATCCGTAATTGGTAGACAATTGAAATTTTCACAGAATGTGTATTTCTGTTACCGCTACAACAAATAATGATCAAAAAAAATAAATTAAAAATTAAAGGGGCTACCCTACTAGAGACGTGTTTTTACGTTGGTACGGAACCCTTCATCCACGAGTCCGACTCGCACTTGGCCGCATGTTTTACTGGATATGAAACATTCCATCTTAGTCCTCAGGGCTGACAACATATTGCATTTTAATTCTTAATCGAGGATAAATAGTTACGTAGTAGTAGAAATTTATGGGTTACAGTACCCACTTACATTCAGATACACTGTGTGCTTTTGGTATCCTTATTCTATAAAAAAAACAAGACGTTGAAATTTTCTAAGAGAGTTCTTATTCAACTTAAAAGCACATTAATTATTTAAATACTAAGTAAATAATTGTTTCCGTAAAGGATATTTCGAATGTTTTTATTCATTTATTTATGTCTTTCTCACCTTTATGAGGATCCTCTGTACGGCAGCAAGAAAAAGCAACTAAAATTAATATACTCAACACAAATCATTCATGTGATATAATACCTACTAATTATTTTATAGGTTTTTATTTTTCATACAATTATAATTACTTATTTATATTTATGTATAATTAGCAAAACGCCTCTTTTCACAAAAGGCTTAGGATTACATTTTGAAAAGGATTGGGATTAGATTTACATTTTGTCGGTTTATATTTAGAGAAGTGACAAGTTCGAATGGTAAGTGCAACTGACAAATGACAAGTCCTTAGTGCGTAAAATATTCACACTTATCACTTGTCACTGCCTGTTCACACGCACTATGCACTTGTCATTTGTCAGTTGCACCTGCCACTCGCACTTGTCACTTCACTAAATGTAAACCGGGCTTTACAACGGTTTGCGAGTCCAATATAATAATGCATTAAGGAGGTTGTTGCGGCTGCGGGTTCTGTAATGTGTTTGTTTACCGTGGTACGGAAAGATGGCTCTGATATTCAAGCTCTGATTTAACAGCTTCGCTATTAACCAGTGTTCATGGCAGCAAGAACAGTATACTGTGCACGTGCAGGGTTGACGCATAGCCCTTTTGTTGAAAAAAGCTCATATAAAGGACTTAATTTCTAGTGTGTTAGGTACTAATATAGTCGTTAAGTTTTTATAGATATTAACATTAATGAGTGTGATAGTAATGCTCCATATACAGCGTAGTACTTCGAAACTTTGATAGCGTGATTCAGGCTTCGGTGCATTTAGTTTGTAACACCGCCGCCACACGAGTCTATTATGGATGCTATACACGGCGTATAGTAAACTTGATGGTGTATGTGTCAAGTCAGTCAGTTAGTGTGCACGATAAGTCTACTTGAAGCAAAAATTTAATTTAGATTTTGCCGACTGGATCAAGCTTGCGTGCAAGCGTCATGTAAACTTAAACGTGTCGTGAGAGCGGTCGAATATGCATGACGTTAGTCGAAGCAATAAGTGAGAAACGCCCACTGGTGCGTCATCATGCAAACCTGACGATGTACTTGAACGTGAGTGGTCTGTATGAATATACTGGTAGGTGGTATATCTTTAATATATATATATATATATATATATATATATATATATATATATATATATATGTCTGAGATGCGGAATGTTTAAGATGCGGACGTCGGCTTATCGGTTTATTTCATTCTGCACTATATTTTAACATTTTACATTTGGTACTAATCTGCCTAAAAGAACTCTTGTTAGGTATTTCGTAAGCAACCCATAATTCTGTCATATAAATGAGTATACATTTACATTCTGATTTTGAGTACGGAAGATGGACACAATTTTAATGATATTGACAGGTTTAATAGAATTTTGTTTTATTGTATTGTGACTAATAACCTCTGACTAATAACCTAATATAGTCTGGCGAAGAAACTTATTTTAATATAAGGTTTTACTGCATTAACTGCCAATAGATTGTTAATTTCTACAATAGACCGTGGCATATTGTTGCTGACATAACTCCGAAAATATAATTTATTTACTTGATCGTGTTGAGTTTTGGTGCTCTCACTGCATCTTAAGGATGAGTGCGACTATTGTACCTAATCTGTACGAAATTACTCTCTACTTAACTAGATTCATTTTTGTGAAAGGCTATTTTTGTTAAATTATGATATTATGTTTGGTTTTGCAGTTAATTGAAATACAATTTAATTTTTCACACACCTTTTCTAAGCTTCTAAGCGTTTTATCATTTCTAGAACGAAAAATTTTAGAAAACACCAAAGTGAGTATTTTACACCGCATCCCTACACTAAAATACGAATAAAACAATAGCGAAAAATGTCATTAAATCAATTATCATTAATGTGTGTCTTATACACAAGGAATTAAAATATAAATGTATTCATGGTTATATGGACGTCAAATATCGTGCGGTATTAAACTTTACCGATAATATGACGTCCACATATAGAAATATAACAAAATCCAAAATATGGACGTCAAATATCATTCAGTATGAATGTTTTAGGATATTCGGACGTCCATATAAATATGTGTACACAGGTAGCAATTTAAAGTTAAAATTTTGGCGCACACAGTGCCCCAAAACATTTATCAAAAAAGAAATAAGAAAGGTTTTCTAAGCGTTTTGTCGTTTCTAGAATGGAGCATTTTATGAAACACCAAAGTTACTATTTCATACCGCATGGGCTACACTAAAAATAAAAATAAAACAATAGCGAAAAATGTCATTAAAGTAATGATCATTAATGTGTGTCTTATACACAAGAAATTAAAATATAAATATATTCATGGTTATATGGATGTCAAATATCGTGCGGTATGAAACTGTACTGATAATCTGGCGTCCACATATAGAAATATAACAAAATTCAAAATATGGACGTCAAATATCATTCAGTATGAATGTTTTAGGATATTCGGACGTCCCTATTATTATATGTAGCTAAATCTAAGGACACGAAAACAAATTGGAAAGTAAAATTATCTACTAGCACTGAGTACAGTATAAAAAAATAACAAAATATGCCTTGAGCACTAAATAAATAATCAACATAAATAAATAGTAAAATGCAATAAACAACGACAACTTTGGACATCGGATATCGTGTACGTCAAATAAAACTTAGTGTGAATATTTTAGGATATTCTTACGTCCGTATATGGGTAAATACTCCGTTCAATGTCCATGTCAAGTACATTAATCAACTTATACAAGTTTATTTACCCAAGTTAGTAGAGAATAATTTCGTACAGATTAGATACAATAGTTCGCACTCATCCTTAAGATGCAGTGATCATAAAAAGTAAACTTCCCACTGCGAGTTTACTTTTTATGATCTTTACTACTACTTTTTATGATGCACCAAAACTCAACACGATCAAGTAAATAAATTATATTTTCAGAGTTATTATGTCAGCAACAATACGCCACGGTCTATTGTAGAAATTAACAACCCATTGGCAGTTAATGCAGTAAAACCTTATATTAAAATGAGTTTCTTGCCAAGGTCATATTAGGTTATTAGTCACAATATAAGAAAATGAACTTCTATTAAACCTGTCAATATTTACAATTAGTACTTATTTACAATAGTAAAATAAATAATAATATAGTCAATCTAGAATGTATCTCGGCTGGGCAATCCTAGATATTTTTTCGTATTTAGTAAACTAATAACTAGTTAGTAAATTAATCATGATATCTGTTTTTTTTTCGCCGGAGACAAAAATGATATTGCGTATTTTTCGTAACTGCACATTCTGTGGATTTATTTCATTATTTTGAACAATATACGAAACTAAAGTGACTAAAATTAAATCTAATCTGAACCAGAATCATAAAAACTGTATTATTCGCGCTAAACGAATCTAATAAAGATCTGTTATTTTTGTCTCCTGCGAAAAAAAACAGACTATAGGAATCTATCGAATACCTACATAAACAAAATATCCCCTATAAATAAAATATTACAACGCGGATAACAATAAGAGTGGCAACGTCGCACCATATAAAGGAATTGCGTTAAGCAGGAGAATGAATTAAAAACTATGTATATTACGGGGATTCTGGATAATTTGTAATATGGAAGAGAGTCCTGATTGGTTTCGCTCCGTCTGGCAATATACGAATATTTGTATATCGACAATTATGGTAAATTTTCAAAGAAATGAGTAACACTATCTTTGAAATTGTTTAATGGACCAATATTCGCTGTCATAATGTATAAAAATTGCCTACAAGTGGTGGACGCTACAATAATGCGAAATGAAAGGATGTAGAATCAATATTGTGATATATATATAAAGATGAGTTTCTCCGATTACTTTTGCTTCCGTTCGTGTTTTGGTCACCACTAAACTGCTCGATCGATTTTGATGATATTTCGTGTGTCTGTGTAGGTCCCTAGATGGTTTACATTCATCATCGAATCACCAGTGCGGAACCGGGCAGATTGCTATGTGGACGCCGGTTCAAGCGTGCTCCAAACTTGACGGTAAACTGGATCGTGTATGGCATCCATAGGAAATAAAAGAGGACAAGGGCGGTACTGACGTGCAGCGTCGGGCGCGGCGGCGACGAGGTCGTCGAGCGCGGTAACGGCGGCGACGGCAGCGCGCGCGTGCGCCGCGTCGGCCGGCCGCCGCGCCGCAGCCGCGCGCGCGGCTACTCGAGCTCCCAGCGCGCGCGCCCACCACGACACCGCACCGCCGCCATTGTCACTGCCACTGCTACGCGACCACACGCCGCGCAGCACGCCACAGCACGCCGCGAACAACTGCACACACACAATCATACCGCTACCGTTAGAGTGTGCACATACGGCGCGGTGCGTTTCGTTGCGTTGTCGCAACGCAAATATTTTGGCACTGCGTTATCGCAAGTAATCCATATCAATTTCTTTAATGGTACTCATTTTACTCTGCAAAATAAACTCAAAGAAAAAACGAAATTAGCTTGGGGTGCTAAAAATCCCCGGAAGAGGGCAGGATACCACAACAAACTGGATCTGACAACGTACTATGGACGAACTCTTAGACTTAAGAGTTGAAAAATGTAAGATGGCACGTTTTAGGGTTGTGGAAACAGGCAACCTACTCTACTATCACGAGGGACATGATCTTTCTCAGAGTGGAGTGGGCTTCCTCGTCAATAAGTTCTCTGTGTCAACATTTTGGAAATCTCCAGTGTGTCGACAAGGGTAGCGTCTTGTTTTAAAACTAACTGAAAAATATCCTATAAAGAGTGTACAAGTTTACGCACCAACTTCGACGACACACTGGGACGATGAAATTGAAGATATGTATGAAGACATAACGAAGACTTTACACAAAACCACTAAAGCCCACTTTAATGTTGTCATGAGGGACCTTAACGCCATAGTTGGGAAACATACAGATGTTTTGTGATTATGAGACCGCAATGTTTTGGAAGCGGAAACCACAGGGGGCAAATGCTGATCAACTTCCTCGAAAAGGAGCGGCTTCATTTTTTTTATAGAAGAGAGGGCAAACGAGCATGCGGCTCACCTGATGTTAAGTGACTACCGCCGCCCATGATCAACCGCAACACCAGGGGAATTAGTACCGGCCCTTTAGAAAGGAGTAAGCTCTTTTCTGGAAGGTCCCCAGGTCGTATCGGTCTGGAAAAATCGCCGGTGGTAAACTATTCCACAGAGAGGTCGTACGCGGAAGAAAACTCCTAGTGAAACGTACGGCGGTGGACCGCCAAGCATCCAGATGGTGTGGATGGTATCGGGACGTTTGCCGCGCAGTGCGTTCACGAAATTTGGCGGCTGGGATTAATCCGAACAATTCCTCAGAGCACTCCCCATGGTATATGCGAAAGAAAATGCAAAGAGATGCAACATCTCTTCGCAACGCCAATGAATCGAGCCGATCGAAAAGCACTCGGTCGTCGACGATTTGAGCCGCTCTGCGCTGGATGCGGTCAAGTTGAAGGAGCTGGTACTGGGGAGCCCCAACCTAGAGATGGAAACAGTATTCCATGTGCGGCCGAAACTGCGCCTTGTAAAGTTACAGGCGGTGTGCCGGCATGAAATACTGTCCCGCTCTACTGAACACGCCAAGCTTTTTAGAGGCCAATTTGGCCTTCTCTTCCAAGTGACCACGAAACTGCACATCACTCGATATGTCGACGTCGAGGATTCCGATACTGGCTGAAGCAACAAGGGGAGTACCTTGAAACTGAGGAGTTACGACAAAGGGGTTCTTTTTAGCGGTTAACGCGCAATCTTGTGTCTTCTGAGGGTTAAGCTGGACTAGATTTAGTCGCCCTCAATCCGAGACTCTGTTCAGCAAAGACTCGACTTCATACACAAGTTTGTCCCGGTACTCGGAGACGTTCTCCCGAGAAATATTGGCACGGCCGATGTACAGAGCATCGGCTATGGCACCATAGACTACATCCACACAGTAATGCAAATTATACATAAGTCGAATGAGTATAATCGGCCTCCGTGTCTGGCCTTTGTGGACTACGAGAAAGCCTTTGACTCCATTGAAACTTAAGCTGTTATAAATTCCTTGCAGCATTGTCGGATGGACTGGCGATATACAGACGTCTTGAGACATTTAAACACTACAAGCTCGATGTCAGTCCAAGTACAGGGTGGTCTTACAAAAGCTATCCAGTTGCATCGTGGAGTGAGACAGGGGGGCACAATATCCCCGACACTGTTCACAAATGCACTGGAAGATATTTTTAAGACGCTAAACTGGAATGGACGTAATATCAAAATAAACGGTTCACACATCTCAAACTTACGCTTTGCCGATGATATCGTCGTCATGGCAGAATCACTGCAAGAACTAAATCTCAACGTGTCGGTCTGCGTATGAATTTAATGTTATGAAAGGTATGAAAGTCATGTTTAACAGTCATGTCATACCAATTCCGTCGTTGATGGTGAAATTGCTAAAGTTGTTCAAGAGTATATATACCTCGCCCAGATAATGCAGTTAGATAAAAACAACTTCGAGAAAGAAGCCGATAGGCGGATTCAGTTAGCTGGGCAGCGTTCGGGAAGCTTTGTCAGGTCTTCTCGTCGACCATAAAATGTTTTAACAAGCGCTGATGAAATATTATTTAACACCATAGAAAAGGTAGCCTCAAAGCAGACAGTGATTATTGCAGGTGATTTCAACTTACCAAATATAAAATGGCCTCTCGATAATTTAACCGGACATAACAAGCTATGCGAAAGCTTTGTAGCAATGTATTCAAACAGTAATCTCAATCAGCTTGTAACACAAATCACAAGGAAACGTAATAATGCAGAATCCCTACTAGATCCTATACTGTGTAATGATGAAACTTTAATAACTGATATTAAGTATCTTCCGCCCATTGGAAAGAGTGATCATTTGGTCATACTGGCTTCTATGCAGATAATTAATAACGATAGTAAAGTGCCGATAAAAAAAGATTTTTTGATTTTTATAAAGCTGACTATAACAAAATTAGCAAAGATTTAGCAGAAAACTTTAACATAATTGGAAACCAAGTAGATGAAATGTGGCTATCATTTAAAAATCAAATACATACATCACTTGAAAATTGTGTAAAAAAAAATCACAGAGAATAAATAAATCAAATAAGAAACCATGGATAAATAAGGAAATTTTGGATTTAACAAAACGGAAAAAAGAGTTATGGAATATATATATTATTAATAAAACAGAAGATTCGTACCGAAAATTTAGAAATATTAATCATAAAATTATTAAACTGTCGAAATATAGAAGAGCTCAATTTGAAACAAATGTTATAGACTCTGGACCGAAAGCTTTCTACGGATACATTAGAAGACAATTCTAAAGTCACCATTCCTAACATGCTTAAAACCGAGTCACAATTACTTGTAGAGGAACCACATAAAATCGCGGAGCTGTTTGCCGATCAATTCGTTAATAGCTTTGTAAGAGAACCAGATGGACCAATTCCCTCCATAAACATGCCAATGGCAACAAACTCAATTGATGACGTAAAATTTACAACCAAAATCGTACTAAAGACCTTGTTAACCTTTGATGATGCTACTGCTACTGGTCCTGATGGAATACCATCTATATTACTAAAGCGGTGCTCATCATTGCTTGCCGAATATATATCAAGCATTATGAACAAATCCATGGAGGATGGACGCTTACCCGCTGATTGGAAGAAAGCTACAGTCGTACCTATTTATAAAAACGGCGATAAGATGAGACCTAGTAACTACAGACCAATAAGTTTGACAAGTATCCTCTGTAAAGCCATGGAAAAGATCATAACTGAAAGATTAAGAGAATTCCTATTACAAGAACAACTGATTTTAGATGAACAGCACGGGTTTGTACCAAAGCGATCAATCATTACAAATATGTTACAATGTGTTAATGAATGGGTCTCAAACCATGACAATGGATTACCTACAGATGTGATATATCTTGACTATGAAAAAGCTTTTGACCGTGTGCCATTAAGGCGACTTATATGCAAATTAAAACACTTTGGTATACGCGGGAAATTGTTGGCCTGGATAAGTGATTTTCTGTCAGACAGAACATTCTGCGTGAGAGTTGGAAGTACAATGTCTAAACCCAGGGAAGTACTCAGCGGAGTTCCGCAGGGATCTGTTCTTGGACCATTATTATTTATCCTATATTTATCGGATTTGAAGAGCACGTTACAGCTACCATTCTCATTATTTGCCGATGACACAAAATTTTTTGGGAACCCTATTACGCAACATCAAGTTATACAACAAGATCTAAATGCCATCTACGATTGGACTAGTGATTGGCTCCTAACACTGAACGCAGACAAGTGTACGGTTCTACATATAGGGAAAAATAATCCACGAAATACATATTATCTAGGTGATCACCATTGTCTTCTGTTGAATCACAAAAAGACCTTGGCATTACAATAACCAGTGACCTCAAATGGGAAACTCATATCCTTAACATAGTAAAAAAAGGCAAACTCCATGATGTATATGATTCGAAAAAGCTTTATGTGTCTCACTCCTAAAATATTTAACAAGATCTACCGAACGTACTTAAGACCTCTTTTGGAGTTTGCATATGTGATATGGGACCCGTATTTTCGTAAAGATATAATAATACTGGAGAATGTTCAAAGGAGGGCCACAAAAATGGTAAAACAACTGCGAAACATGACATATGAGCAGCGAATGAGAAAGCTTAACCTCACAACACTAGAGAACCGTAGGCAGAGAGGTAGTCTGATTGAAACATACAAAATACTGACAGGATATTACAATGTTCCTACTCTGCCGAATTTGTACTTACTAAATAGCAACAAACGTCTGAGAGGACATCAACTTAAACTTTGCCATAGGACTGCCAAGCGGAATCCCATGAAGAATTTTATAACAAACCGTGTTGTCACCGAGTGGAATAAGCTACCACAAAATTGATTGATCTGTTCTTGAAGGCGTTCAATGTAGGAAACATTGAACGCCTTCAAGAACAGATTGGATAAAATCTCCAAACATTAAGATGCACACGCATCAGCTTTTTTAGCTGCTAGTGTGTTTATGTATAAATAATAAATAATAAAAAAATAATAAAAATATGGACTCCCGGAGGAGTCTGGGGGTGCAAATTAACTAAGGAGGGGCGAACCGGGCCAGGAGGAGTCTGAGGGGTGCGGGTTAACTAAAGAGTGGCGAACCGGGCGAGGGGGGAAACCCAGCAGCCAAAAGTCCCCGAATCGGGCAGTAGTGGGATAGCGGTAGCGATCCTCGGTAGGAACCGGTGTTCTTTCGCGAGGATTTGTGGTCTATCAAATCTGATGTAATGGTTGGGGCCGTCTAGGATATGATCACAAACTTCAGACTTCCCGGAACTTTGAACCAACGGGAACACCGGTTCCTACCAAAGATGATACGTGAGGCTATTAAGATTAAAAAACATCCTAATTTCAATAGATAAGGAGGCTAGGTACTACCACCTGCTTGGGACCCTATAATCGATAAAATTAAAACTAAACCCAAGCATACCACTGCAAGACCTCAGGACATAGTCAGTTCATTTTGCATAGACCAGACCATAAACAATAATTTAAAAAAAGGCTGAAGGTACTCCGGGTTTAACAAAGACATCGGGACGTCAGTCACCTCAGTCCCCCGTCACCCTCAGTCCCCCGTGACCATGGGTGCTGGAAAGCACCCGAAATGTCGGGAATTAAAAGTAAAAATAATTAAAATTAAACGCAATAAAATCCGTAAAAGTAGTTTTAATCAATGTGTAGTGTTCGCGTAAAATATAAGAAATCATTAAGAGACATTAATTTTGACTTCATTATTGAAAATTAAATAATAATTAATCTAAACAACGACAGCTAAATTAGTTTTACTGAAAGTGATTGAATAATTTTTTCTAATCCGGTTTAATGCCATAATATAAATTTTTATAACTGAAATAATATATAAAATTTTATATTATGGCATTAAACTTTTATATCTTATTTCAATTTTCAAATTAATAATAAAGTTCAAATTAGAAACTGATAAATCTTGGGTTTTAAATTTATTTTGGTATTATTCAAACCAAACTGTAAATGATTACCAACTCTAAATAATCGATATCGATTTGTTTAAGAATCGAATATTGTACGTTCCCATTTTTTGGTTGGCATGCCTGGTGCAATAAGTCTGACAGCTGTCAAAATGTATTTTTTAGATTTGGTTGACTAGTATAGCGAATGCAGAAATCCAGAAACCCTTTTTACTGGTAACGAGACATTCTATCTTAGTTCTCATAGATGACAACGCATCTCGGTTTAAAAAAATTTATTTCTCATAAGAACATACAATGGTTCACTAAAAATGAGATACAAAGTAATTATATACTACAGTAAAACTATCGCATCTACCTCTAGTGCTGGAGGTGTTATAGTTTTGAGCTTATTTACTATGAGATATAAGATTAAGATTATTTACTATGTCAGAAAAGATTACACTGTACGTACGTATTTCCTAAGTTTACTTTTAAACAATTTTATGTTATTGCAATTTTTTATGTCATCTGGTAGTTTATTGAACAGCTGTGCTCCCTCAAACAACAAAGTTTTTTTGCCATAATTAGTTCGTGTAGTTATTAATTGTAGATTATTTTTACTTCTTAACTTGTGTGTTGTTGTTTTTTTATGTAATTGTATGTTTGATTGAATAGAATTAGTGGTAATGTTTTTTATTAGAATGCAAGTGCAATAAATGTATAGTTGTGTAAGGTTTAGCAAGTTAGTTTTTTCGTATAGTACTTTTGTTGGCGTTAGATAATGATAGTGGAATAATGTTTTGATAATTTTATTTTGTGTCCTTTGAAGTGGATTTAGATTTGTTTTAGCAGCTGATCCCCATATCTCAATTAGATATTCGATATGTGATTTAACTAAAGAGTTATATATGATTGTACGAACCTTTTCCGGGATACAGTTTGCGACTTTACGTAGTGCACATAGTAATGACGTCAGTTTTGATTTGACGTGATCGATATGCATTCTCCAAGTGAGTTTATCATCTACCAATAGACCTAGATATTTTTCCTGAGTTGAACGTTTTATTATTTTATCTTCAATAGTAAGATGTGCAAACTCTGGTAAATTCTGCATTCATCTTTCAAAAATCTGCATTTTGATTCTTAACCAAGGATAGCTGTAGATGTCTATGGACCACAACATACACCTACGACCAGATGGACTATGTGCTCGTTTGTCACCGTTGTTATATAAAAAAATATCACCTTAAATTAGACGATAACATTGAAGTACAATAGGTATTTAGAACTTGTAAACAAACCTTAGTTATAATATCGGCTTTAATAATAAAATATTCTAAAAGTATGTAAAAATGATCAGTTACGTCGTTGTCTCGCGTGTCGAGGCACTGCCGGAAGTGGTTAATGCAGGGGTAGTGCAGCTCGGGCGCTGGCGCCGCGCGTCCCAGCACCGCCGCCATCCCGCGCGCGCCCGTGATCGCCTCTATACGCTGTTCCGCTGCCTCTGCAAAAAAAAACAAACCAATATTCACATAAATAAATCAATAAAAACAAGGTTTTTTCTTCATTTACAGCATCTAGACTTAAAATATAGATCAATAACTTAACCTCTCAACCCCCTGGCGGTCTCATGAGACCGCGGCCATATTCCGTCAAATCCCTAGCGGTCTTATGAGGTCGCAACCACCCACAGCAGTTTCATGATCATCATCATCATTACAGCCCTTCACAAGTCCACTGCTGAACATAGGCCTCCCCCAAGCAACGCCACAAAGCACGGTCCTGAGCCACCCGCATCCATCGACTTCCTGCATGTCTTACTAGGTCGTCACTCCATCTAGTGGGGGGGTCGCCCTACACTACGCCTACCGGTACGAGGCTGCCACTCGAGAACCTTTCTTCCCCATCGGTTATCGGTTCTTCGAGCTATATGGCCGGCCCATTGCCACTTCAGCTTACTAATCCGTTCGGCTATGTCGGTCACTCTGGTTCTACTGCGGATATCCTCATTTCTGAGTCTATCACGCAGAGAAACTCCGAGCATAGCCCTCTCCATAGCTCGCTGAGCGACCTTGAGCGTCCTCATACGGCCAGCGGTGAAGGACCACGTCTCTGATCCGTAAGTCATCACTGGCAACACGCACTGGTTGTACACTTTAGTTTGCAGAGATTGAGGTATACCTGACGTGAAGATGTGTCGTAATTTCCCGAACGCTGCCCAGCCGAGTTGAATCCGTCGAATCAGAGCAGTTTAGCCCATAAATACTTATATATAGAGACTACTTTTCTATGAAGAAGTTTGGTATTATATAATCAATATGAAATACTCTATCCTCTAGTGCAATAAAAAAACTGTTATCCTATGAATATTTATTTATAATCTATGTTTATTTCGTACGCCATTTTCGCGTGAATGTTATTGTGTTGATTTTTGGATTTTTCTAGTGTTTTAGTATAGTATTTTATTATAAAATTGTAATGAAAGTTTTTGTGTGAATATAATTTATCTTTTTACGTAAATGATTTCGAGTAATATATATTGAAATAATTGTGATTTTCACGCTGCCGATATTCGCTTGGCATGTTTTTTTTTTTGTTATCAAAATACAATAAAATCTTTTTGTAATGAAGTAAAACCTGACTTTTGTTTAGACCACAAGATAGAAAATTTTGTATATATTTTATAATGCTAAACTTCTTCATAGAAACGTGGTATCTAAATATAAGATCTCGGGATTTGCCGGGCGCATGCGACTGCATGGGATTTTTATGACGCTTGAAGGGTTAAAATTTTATGAAAACAAAACTATGACTAAGACATTATTTAGAGAACTTTTAAATCTTTCTTTTTACGATTTTTATGCGCTTTGCGGCTGGTGCGCAATTGTAGTGCTTTTAAACAATGAAATGACTACGCATAAGAGCTATTAGCAGAAACTATGAAACAACTGCTTTTTTGATTATCTGTTCTCCGGATACTTCGCAATATGGCGCTAGAACGGACTGTTTTCAATTACTTAAATACTAGCACAATACAATTAGTAAATCTAACATGGAATTGTACAAGACAAAAGTAAAAACATCGATAAAAGCTTGATAAGACATTAAGAGGAGAGACCAGTCTGTCTCAGTCGACCTACCTTGCAATTCGTACGGGAGGTACGCAACGCATACGATGCAACGCTCCTACGTTAGTGTACATTCTTGACCTACGTATGTAACGTCGTTTGACATCAGACGACAGTCTTTTCACTTTTTAGCGGACGCACGAATACAAATATATTGCATGTTTTCTAATTCTGAGAGTAGGTTTGATAATGATTTACTTTGATGTTCATAAACGAATATACAAACGTCTCAAAGAAAACATTTAGGTAGTAATTCTGTTCAAATTTATGATTTACAACGCAAACAAAAATATGAACATGTGGAATACAATGTGTTATTTCCGTAATATATAAAATAATGTTTCATATCTTAATATAACACTTAAAACTACAAAAAAATACTTTTTTTTGCGCCTTGACCTATTCTTTTCACGTTAATAACAAAAATTATAGCAGTAGGTGGATTAGTACTCACTAGGTTTACCATGTAGCTTTGCTATCAATTACGTTATTTAGCATCACGATATTCCACACGTATAATGTTATAAATACATTCGTATCGCCTTACTAAATCGATGACCTGTTCATCTCCCATTCTGACAATAAACACACGCAATACACGTGTTTTGTCTATTGCAAAGGTCTATATGTTTCTGACGTGCTACGCGTAAGTTCTAGGTCTTACCCATTGCATGCGAACATCCCCTCCACCCTCCTTCGCCAATGTAGACATCGTAGATCGACGTTGCATTGGACGCGTGTGATAGGTTGCATACGATAAGTGTGTTTCTAATGCATAGTTTTTCATACAAAATCAAGGGTCCAGATGTCATAATGCGTTGCATACGTTGCGTACCTGGGATGAAGCTGTCTCTGCCGTAAGAGTATTATATACACGTTATCGTTATCTTCTGAAAATTAGGCTCTTTGAGAAACTGGCATAAAGACGGTTCTAAACTTACGTAAGTTGCAATTTAATCATGCCACGATTATTACTCAAAGATTTTAAGATATTGTAAGCTCGTTGTGCGTAGATTGGACAAAAATTAATATACAAAGCTCAAGGTAGCCCGAGGTAACTACAACATTGAGACGTCAAATATTTCAGTCCCCCTCGTGGCCATGGGTGCTGCAAAGCACGTGAAACGTCAGGAATAAAAAATAATTTAAATCTAACGCAATAAAATCCGTAAAATTAGTTTTAATGTAGTAAATAAATAATGCTCGGTAACCGGTCTTTAGTGTGTGCGCGACGCGAGTACTGTGCCAGCTAGTAAATAAAGAAAATAATAAAACGCACTTACCGGCATAAGTAAAAATAATCTCTAATCAGTGTGTGCGCGACGCGAGTACTGTGCCAGCTTGTAAATAAAGAAAATAATAAATAACGCACAGTTACCGGGCTATTAAATGTACAAAGTTTAATGATCTGTATCTGCCCTATATAGGAGCAACGAGCGCGCTAGTAAATAAGCAAAGTTCAATGACCTGTGTTAACATTGTCGAGCAAGAGTGCGTGCGCGCTGTGCAGCAGCTGAGCGGCTAGTGACTAAATAAAAATAAATAAAATATGATAAAATAATCGGTAACCTGTCTTGACGCTGTCGAGCAGCTTGGCGAGCGCGGTCTGCAGCAGGCGCGCATGGGTCGCGCTGGTGTCGGGTGCGGCGGCGGCGCGGCAGTCGGCGGCACGCTGCAGCAGCAGCACGCCCGCCTCGGCCGCCGCGCCGCCCTCGCGCAGCACCTCCGTCGCCACGTGCAGCACCGTCGGCAGCACCGACACCGCGCCTGCACATCGTGCATATGCATTCTCTACGCGGTAGAGCCATGCTAAACCTATGTTATGCTTGTAACATAAATGAGGCGGCTCCACCGAGGAATGGTCACACTCTCACAGAATACTATATGTAAAATAGCAGCTTAATGCTGCTGTGTTTCGTATGGTGAATATAGAGAGCCGGAGACCCTTTTTTACTGGAAATGAGGCATTCCATATTAGTTCTCAGGGGTTACAACACATCTGCATTTTGATACTTAATCGAGGATAGATGTTCATGTTTATAACCCACATCCCACATCATCCACTTACCACCAGGTAGACTACGTGTTCGTTTTCTCCTTTATTATATAAAAGAGAAGCACATTGCTTATTCGTAACGAGATGAGACTTTCTCGAAGTTAATAGAATCTTTTTTCTTCGCACAATTTAATTGTGAAAACGGCTACTGCCAGTGATTTTTCTAGGTCTCTAAGAAGAGAACTTATTCTTTTTTTAAAGTCGGCACGCACCTGCATAGTTATTTACGATCAAGTGAGCCGCATGTTCGTTGGACCTTTTACTAAAAAAATAACATAACAGTTCTAGAGCGAAATAGTGTTAGCAAAGAAGTTCTAAATTTTGACATTTATTTATCTTTACAAATATTCATATTTTATTTTTAGGAAAACGAAAATACACAATAAATGACGGACAGCTGCACCAAGGGCATACGAATTTGCCTGTATGAATTGCAATACTACGTATTGATTGTTCGAACGTGTGTCACAACAACACAAATGTTCGCATTTTCCCGACAATATCACCGCTTACAGCTTTGTAAAGTCCATTGTTGAACATAGCCCTCCCCTATAAATTGCCTCATAGGGCAATTTTGCCGTAATTACCATGCTTGGCAAGCGGATTGGCAAGCGTGTTTTTTATTTTTAGTCGTTATTAGGAAGACGCTGCTGGCCATCTCCTGATTTGCTGCCCTCTGTCGCCTCTACCACAGACACGAGATATGGGGTAGTGTTAGACCGGCACTAGACAGTAAACAGTGTGTGATGCAATTTGTCTGGTGTAGTGTGCGTGCTGGTGAACCTTGCGGGCTGGTGAGGTCGGTGAGCTGCGACATGGCGGCGAGGCACTTGACGAGCAGCGCGGCGGCGTGCGGGCCCAGGCCGCGCGGCACGCCGATGACGCCGGTGAGGCCGCGGCGCGGGCCCAACGCCGGCAGCCGACGCACCACCAGGCACGCGCTCGCCCTTAGCGCGCTGGCCGCCACGCAGCGGCTGCCACACACGTCGCCCGTCGGCCCACCTTCGCCCAGCGTCGCCACCGCCGTCGCCATCTCCTCCGACACCTCCCCGGAGCCTTCCCCCGCACCCAGCGACAGCTCTGCGCAAGGAAACGATTCAAACGTGAAAAGTTCATTAGAATCGCTGTCATTTGAAACTCGATGAAACGAAAAAGCAACACTAAAAAGAGACAAACATATATGTACATCTATAGGATTTAACCTGCGGTAGAATAAGATAAAATACAGTACGATAAGCCTCATTTACATTCAGCCTCTGCCACTGCTCCTCGCGCTGCCGGCCATACTTCGCTAAATACCGCCGTAGCAGGATCGAGAGAAGTGTGTATTTATATTCTGCTCTACCATTCACACCACTTTCGACTTTTGACTATGGCAGACGTCGAAATAATTACAGCGTCCACGCTGTCTTCTTGTTAAAAATTAAATTATATATTTTTAAGACACAGCGCATATAAAATTTATAATTCAAAAGGAAAAAAATTGTCATCGTAGAAGTTGGTGGATTATGGTTTTTATCGTTGAATCCCATATAGTTTTTTCCGATTCCAGCAGTTCTAAAAACTTAATTGTATTTTCGTTACTCCACTCGAAAGGCATTTTGGCAGATCGTACTTATTTAAAAACAAGAGTGCACGCAGGTCCGTTCGTTCAGGCGTTTGGTGCGTCTCAAGTATATATTCAATAATCTATGTGAGCGATGGAGCAGAATGTGAACACTCACTGCCGCTCGCGCTGCCTCTCCTTTGACTTCCGTACGAAAAACAGACAATCGAGGGAACGTCGGGCAGAGTATTTACATACTGCCCTGCCCACTTCCCTGCTCACTTCCCTGCCCAAAAAGACTGAATGCAAATACAGTGTTTCTCATTAACTTGGTATCTTTGTGCGGTGCTTCGTTGCCTCCCCACTCTTGTCCACTTTTCTGAAGGTTTCACTTATACCGCGTGTTAAGGTGTTTTCTGTTTAAGTCGGCTATACATGTTGGCCGAGCGAAGGCGAGCACCAACGTGATAATTATTAATATTAATATGATGATAATTCTTTGGGATGTTCAGAGGATAGCGTTGGTCGTATGCCACTTACACCAACCAAACAATACATTTTAATAGGAATAAGTGCGGTGGTCTTGTTCTTCAAAAAAGGTGACAACGCCCTCTTGAAGAACTACAGACCGATATCCATACTGAGCCGCGTCTACGTGCTGTTCCGTGCAGACTCGACGACTTCCAGCCTCCCGAACAAGCCGGTTTTTCGAAAAGGCTTTAGTACCATAGACCACATACCCTTCGGCAAATTGTACAGAAGTCCGAAGAGTACAATCTGCCACTTTGCCTCGCGTATATGGACTATGAGAAAGCCTTTGATTCCGTCGAAATTTGGGCGGTGCTACAGTCTCTTCAGCGGTGCCAAGATGACTGTCGGTATATCGAAGTGCTGAAGTGTTTGTACAGTACGGCTATGATGGCTATCCGAGTACAGAACCAGAGTACGAAGCCTATCCAACTGCAGAGAGGTGTAAGACAGGGTGACGTTATTTCCCCGAAACTCTTCACCGCTGCATTGGAAGACGTTTTCAAGCTACTGGACTGGAAAAGATACGGTATTAACATCAATGGCGAGTACATCACTCACCTTCAATTTGCCGACGATATAGTCCTTATGGCAGAATCGCTGAAGGACTTAAGCACTATGCTCAATGACCTCAATAGTGCCTCCCAACGGATAGGTCTTAAGATGAACATGGACAAAACAAGGATCATGTTTAATGTCCATGTCACACCTATGCCGGTAGTGTTGGGAGCACTAAGCTCGAAGTTGTTGACGAGTACGTGTACCTGGGACAAATAGTCCGACTAGGTAAGTCCAACTTCGACCGAGAGGTCAATCGACGGATTCAACTCGGCTGGGCAGCGTTCGGGAAATTACGACACATCTTCTTGTCAGGTATACCTCAAAACCTGAAAACTAAGTTGTACAACCAGTGCGCGTTGCCAGTGATAACCTACGGAACCGAGACGTGGTCCTTAACTGCTGGCCGTATGAGGACGCTCAAAGTTGCTCAGCGAGCTATGGAGAGGGCTATGCTCGGAGTTTCTCTGCGTGATAAACTTAGAAACGAGGATATCCGCATTAAAACCAGAGTGACCGACATAGCCCAACGGATTAGTAAGCTGAAGTGGCAATGTAAGCTGAAGTGGAAGTAGGAAAAGTGACATATGACCACGGCTATCCTCTTTATATCACTATAAATATGTATCTATTAAGTAATTATCACAGACATTGATTAAAACTACTTTTACGGATTTTTTCCCATCATCCTTCACAGTTAGTTACCGTGGGCAAATCTTTGTTTCAGAGAGCACGAGGGATCTGTGACAGCAAACACCTGGCCGCCGAGCTTCAGCACGTGAAGCAGGTTCTGCACGACAACACGCTTCAGGTCCCGCGCCTCCGTCACAGTGACCGAGTGAAGCCGGCCACAGTCGAGCGTGTGCCTGCTGTACTACCATATGTCAGAGGTGTCACAGACAAGATTGGCTACATCTTGAAGCGAGCTTCTATTAGAACATTCTACAAGCCGCCGAAGAAGATTAGTCAGTTCTTACCATCCGTCAAGTGTCATATTCCTCTACAAGATGCAGGAGTGTACAAGCTTGATTGTGATTGTGGTCTCTCATATATAGGGCAAACAAAGAGATCAATTAGAACCCGCGTAAAAGAACACATAGCTGATGTGAAGCATCAACGTTCCGGGAAGTCTGCAGTTTGCGATCATATTCTAGATGGCCCCAACCATTACATCAGATTTGATAGACCACAAATCCTCGCGAAAGAACATCGATTCCTACCAAGGATGATACGTGAGGCTATTGAAATTAAAAAACATCCTAATTTCAATAGAGAAGGAGGCTGGGTACTACCACCTGCTTGGGATCCTAAAATTAATAAAATTAAAATTAAACCCAAGGATACCACTGCAAGACTTCAAAACACAGTTAGTTCATTCAGCGTAGATCGGACCAAAGACAATAATTAAAAAGCTGAAGGTACTCCGGGTTAACTTTGACATCGGGACGTCAGTCACCTCAGTCCCCCGTGACCATGGGTGCTGGAAAGCACCCGAAACGTCGGGTATTAAAATTAATATAAATAAAACGCGATAAAATCCGTAAAAGTAGTTTTAATCAATGTATAGTGTTCGCGTAAATATAAGAAATCAATTATCACAGACCTTAAAACAAGAGAAGACAAAGCAAAGCTCAAAAATGTGAAATCTTCTCATTACCTTTAATCTTTGCTTGCATGCTAGCGTGAAGCTGTTCCTTGCCGCCGAGAATGATCAGCTGCAGCACGTCGGCCGCTAGCAGCAACGCCTCGATGCTGTCCTGGGTAAGTCCTATCCGATGAATGATTTGGCACAGTTCTATCGCCAGTGCTCTAGAAATTAAAAAAACCATTGTTTTTATTCCTTCATTTCGTTCACATTCCATTTGCATACACTAAAGCAATCGAGATATTGCGCAAATACTATGATCTCACAAGCAACCTACATAGACACTCACCTGTGCTAGCCGATCCATCTTAATATATATAAATTACGTTTCACGTTGTTTGTCCGCGATGGACTCCTAAACTACTTAACCAATTTTAATCAAATTTGCACACCGTGTGCAGTTTGGTCCAACTTGAGAGATAGGATAGTTTTTTTTGCCCATGAGTGACCCACAATTTTTTTGGGAATTTAGGGATTTTTAATAGGACATAACAAATGGACATGAAAAGGGCAAAACAGCGGCTGCCTGGCAAGCTAGTATATTACATAATGTAAAGCTCCAACTCCTACTGCATTTTATTTGTAAGAAGCACTTTTAGATGTCGTCCCATATCTAATTAGCGACAATATCGATCGTGATAGCGATCTCGGGTCGTTCGAAAAATCATAGATCCCTGCTCACGCTTAAAAGTTAGTAAAACTGATAAAAAGTTAATGTAAATACATCTCTAAACCTCCGCTAGTTCAAGTACCATTGTACTGCTATAGTACTGCGCAGTCATTTTTATAGAATAAGGGAGACAAACGAACCTACAGTTCACCTAATATTAGTGGATACTGTGGGCCATAGACTACATCTATTCTCGGTTAAGAATCAAAATGCAGATACGTTGTCACCCCTGAAGATTAAGCTGGAATGCCCCATGTAAAAAATTTCTTAGGGCATTTAGCCCGGACCCCCGCAAAACTCGCCATGACCTCCACAAGTGACGGATTGTGGTGAGAGTCTTTCAAAAATTATATCTGTTGGTGCCACTGCATTTTTAGGTGACTGCAAAGTAGGAACAAAACTTTCGCAACGTAAAGGAGAAATAGCATGACGATTTGCTACACTGGCTGTGTTATTTACCCTTCTCTCAGCAGCTTGAGTCGTGTGCCGGACTGGGGTAGAGTAAACACTCTCTGACACGTTGTTCACATCATTCGTATCAATATACGGAAACTCATCATAGGATTCAGTTCTTGTTATAGACGAATTGATGTCATTGTTATTGCCAGTATATGCTTAGTTTTGCCGCTAAATGCTAAATTAGCCGCTGGTATTCTGTGAGTTATTTCTACTAGTACAAGCAAGTTATTTCTACAAGAGTCATTTTTGCAAGTCTATATCATAGTCGTTGTTCTGTCCATCGTCTTTTTAGTTCGTGTCGCACTGAGATGGGCTGTGATGCTGTGAGTTACTTCAGTCATTTTGGTGATATTTTCTAACTTTGATCCACACTGCAGCTATATTATGGTTTTTTTTTGTTTTAATAAAAATATTAGTAATCTTATTAATTAACATTACTAATATTCCCTTTACCCCTCCTGGTAAGGTTGAAACGCTTGTGTTATGGGTGGTTCACGACAGTAGTCAAATGGATTAGAACCCACGACCCTTTGAGTTCGCGGTTCGCGCCCTGCCATTAGGCTACTGTTTATGGAATTGTAACACAGTTATATACTACTAGCGACCCGACCCGGCTAAGTTCGGGTGATTTCTGGATCTCAACAACAGCGCCACCTACCAAGTCCAATTGTGAATCTAAACCATCCAAGGACACAATCAAACGCATACAAAAAATTTCATCAAAATCGTTCCAGCCGTTTTCGGAGTTTTAGCTAAACTAACGGATAGCAATAATTTACTTTTATGTATAATAATAATGTCCTCCAGACCGAATTTCGGTCACGGCGGCCTGCCTCAACGGAGGTTAGGCATCGGCGCAGGACAGAATTATAGTGCCCTAGTGTATGCGCAAGCACAGGTGCACTCTCTATTCCCTCACTCTCATAATCCGATGGGACGGTAAACCGACACGACCGGAGAGAGATCAGGCGCAGGACCAACGGCTTTACGTGCTTTCCGAGGCACGGAGGTGAGACACCGCCAACTTCTTGACTCCGGGCAACTACTGAGAATTTCTTGAGGGAAAAACTCAATAATTGATTTTTTGGCCCGACCCGGGACTTTTATGTATAGAGATAACGTATCAGATCAGGTAAAGAATCATTTGTATTTGTGCACAGATAATTTGCACGTACACAACAGTGCAATAAGTATGCAACTATAGCCAACAGTTACAACATTAAAATATTCTTCCATTGTTAAACTGCCCTTCCAACGTGATAAAATGTTTGCTTACTTGTCTTTAAACAATCTTGCTCTATTTTCCGGAGCGTCCAGCAGAGTCACCAAAGATAGAAGCACAGAAACTATGTTACTATCGCTTATATCGCGTTGTGCACACAATGCCTCCATACATATACCTGTAAAAATGATATTAAGGTAATGTAAATAACTTATGATGAAACAAGTATTACGTGTTATTAATATTGTATTATTTGGTCATATTGAAAGAATGAATGAGAAAAGAGTAACAAAGCGAACACTACACATTGACATAATACTAGTTTTTACGGAATTTATCGCGTATATTTAACTTTTTAAATACCCGACGTTTCGAACGCTTATAACGCTATAAAATTTAATTGAATCTATGGTATGGAATCGGTTACCATAGATTAAATTTTAATCTATGGTAACCGCGGTTAACTATGACATATGTATGTTGAAGATCTCAGTCCCGCCCGTGACCATGAGTGCTGTAAAGCGTTCGAAATGTCGGGTATTTAACAAGTTAAATATACTCGATAAATTCCGTAAAAACTAGTATTATTTCAAGTGACAAAGCAAATTTATTTATATTTAAAAGCTTTATTGTTCTAACCATAAACATTACAAAGGGCGGACTTAAAGCCAGTTAGCATTCTCTGCCAGCCAACCCATGCCATGGTGAGAAATTAGTAGTAGGTGACGTAAATAACCAGGTAGGTGTGTGGCGGCGCTGTTGTCGCGCCGCAAGCGAAAACACACCGAAGCCTAAATCACGCTATCAACATTCCGAATCATAACATAAACACTCACGCCTGTCACCCAGAGGGGTAGACAGAGACTACAGACTTCCATTTGGCACGATCCTGACACACCTCTCTCGCCTCCTTCACATCCATACACCTACGCATGCATACTACCAAGTGTTTATGTTATGTAATATTGTATTATAATTAATATTATAAAAGTGACTACGAATAATCGATAATTAATAAAGAACAACTAATATGTCTACTTATTTGTATGATAAAATATTTAACGCTTACCGAAAAGTAAATGAAATCTTTCATCCACAGGTTCGAAAAATTCAAAGTTGCCATTTTCTGTTTTAGTTGATCTGTTGTCCATAGTATTGTCAGTTTTATCTGAAACAAGTTTTGTTTAATATTGTAAGTAAAGTTAGTACAATGTTTGGCATAAAATTACCCAAGCACTGTTTTTTTTTTAAATAAAGTAGTTTTTTTAATATAACTTGTTTAAAATGGCGAAAACGAGTCTCGTTTTTACCCGTATGCCCGAGAAGGGTAATATTTTTCGAGTGTGTCTATAGATGTACGTGTCTATGGATGTCTATCTTTTAACACGCTTTGTAGCCTAAACGGCTCGATAGATTTTATGATTTTAATATACGAGATGTCGTTGGATTTGTCTTAGTTGTGGAAGTACCACAGCAAATGAAAAAAGTAACACCAATTCCTTTTTATCTTTTTTGTAAACTTTTTTTACGCAGTCGATTTTTTTTTAAATTAATATTTTAACCTTGACTTAAATTTTACAGATAATATTCTTTTATTTCCCCTAAACGCCCTTCTAACGCAGCTGTGGAAGTCATATTCGTAGTTATAGTCATTTATTCTGTAAACTAAATACATTGTATGGGAAAGTATCATTATAAGTTATACAGTAAAAGAAAATTAGGGTAAGGTTTACAATTCGGTCGCCTGAATTTGGGGGTGGGGGTAGAGGGAGGAGTTGTAGAGTCACCCCTACTTCCACATTCTGCCGGACGTGCTTAGTTTTTTTTTATAAATTTTTAAAAATCTCATTTTGAGGTTATGTTTCGTAATTTTTATGACATTTTTAACCTGATTTATGGGGAGAGAGAGTTAGGGGACGGAAGCCCCACGCCACTTAACATGGTGCAGTCGAGGGAAGTCCGGTCGACGAAGCCTCGCTTCGCGGGGCTTCTACTTCTGAGTGGTTTACAAAAAAATGGGGGAAGAGGGAGGAGTTGTAGAGTCACCCCCTACTTCCATTTTCTGCCGGACGTGCTTAGTTTTTTTTTTATAAATTTTTAAAAACCTCATTTTGAGGTTATGTTTCGTAATTTTTATGACAATTTTAACCTGATTTATGGGGAGAGAGAGTTAGGGGACGGAAGCCCCACGCCACTTAACGTGGTGCAGTCGAGGGAAGTCCGGTCGACGGAGCCTCGCTTCGCGGGGCTTCTACTTCTGAGTGGTTTACAAAAAAATGGGGGAAGAGGGAGGAGTTGTAGAGTCACCCCCTACTTCCACTTTCTGCCGGACGTGCTTAGTTTTTTTTTATAAATTTTTAAAAATCTCATTTTGAGGTTATGTTTCGTAATTTTTATGACAATTTTAACCTGATTTATGGGGAGAGAGAGTTAGGGGACGGAAGCCCCACGCCACTTAACGTGGTGCAGTCGAGGGAAGTCCGGTCGACGGAGCCTCGCTTCGCTTCTACTTCTGAGTGGTTTACAAAAAAATAACCACCTGTAATAAATATATAACCAACCTCTTCTAACCTAACCTGTCCGAGTCGGGATGCTCCACGTCCCAGGCTCGCTTCGCTCGCTATTGCACTCGATATAACACCAAAATATTAACTTTTGTAACTATTTTAATTTATAAACATAATTTATGACTGCCATCATTTATAAGAAAGGATCTTTGCGATATTTAGCAGTATTCCGCCACCACAAATATTTCACTATTCACCAAAATTCTGAAACTCTGAAGCAACGGCATGATGAAAAGCTGTCAACAAAATGGCCGGCCTAGTGATTAATTTTACATATTTTTAAATCGATTCAAATCGAAATTGGATGAATCGATTCACAAAAAATCGAAATCTTAAAGATCGATTTCGCAAAAATCGATCTTTTTTTGATTTGCGTTAAATGTTTATATTTACAATGTCAAAAGATACAATAAAGTACAGATAACATTGAATGATTGAATTAAAAACTATCATTCTTTACGAGTTGGGATACATTCAACTAATTGTAAATAATTTTACAAATCTTAATAAAACAGAAAAAGATTCGATCTCGATTCTCTAGGGTGAAATATCGATTTACTAGATCGATTCAGTACTATATATCGATATGACATTGACAGATGAAACGTCAAAAACGTAATTAATTAGTCATTTACCAATATTTTTATAAAATAATTTAAAATACTTCGACGCTGCTCCGGCAGCAAAAATCGAGTGGGGGTGCTTCAGATAAACCCCCTTGACCCACTCACATTGACAGAATCTTCAAATTCAGGCGACCGAAATGTAAACCCAACCCGAAAATTAATTAATATTATTCGTATTTTCTCCAAAATTTCTTGAAATTAAATAATATTTAAATTATGCATGCAATACTTTTATTCAAATTCAGTGTAATCATTTCACCGCTTCTCTTTTACTAGATAATTTTTCAAAAAAAAGTTAACCTTTGTATTATTACCTTTAATATTTTTTATGGTTTGTAGGGCATAAGGTAGTCTATTTAACAGTTTGTAGCTATTTTAAAGTATCTGTAATTTAGTTTTTAAAAAATTGGTATAATGCAATGGGTAAGGTGTCTCACCGGCGGCGGCGATGTCCCGGAAGCAGGCGTTGTAGCGCAGCGCGGCGGCGTACAGCAGCTGCGGCCAGGCGCGCGCGTAGTGCGGCCGCGACGCTTCCGCGCTCTCCGCAGCGTAGAACGCGCCGCCGCCGTGCGGCAGCTGCGACGCGAACTCTGCACGATACCGACCGCTTATACTTCACTTCACACACTCATTATCATGTCTCGTGATTACGCGAACACTTTACATTGAATAAAACAACTTTCACGCCTTTAATTGAACTTGTTTTAAGTCCCAACGTTCCGAGTGCCTTGCATCACCCATGGGCACGGAAGGACTGAGATCTTTAACGCCCGATGTCCATGTTCTTTCAGCTTTAAATTAATAATTTTGGTACTTAAACATAAATTTCTACTATGGATCATAAATGACATTATGAAATCCTAAATTCAAAATAAATAATTAAAAGTTGAAGGCAATAAAATTCTTAAAATAGATATACACATACAAAGGAGACGAGCGTTTTTGGGCCCACTAGAAATTTTAACAATCCTCAATAGTACTACACAAAAAAAAAGATACCAATTTATTATTATAAATAGCCTAAAGATTTTTTAAAAATCTAAACGGAATCAAGAAATGTGAAAAAAAAAAGAGTTGTTTTGATATTTGTGTTCAGGTCATTGGTTCTAGAAATGTAATATTGCATAAGCAATTGTATTAAAGATATACCAACAGAAAATCGAAACCAGTTAATTCGAGTTAAACTTGGCTTTATTCATATTGAATTGAAGTTGACAGTGTCTTACCCCCGTGCCTCGGAAAGCACGTAAAGCCGTTGGTCCTACGCCTGATCTCTCCCCGGTCGGGTCCCATTGGATTATGAGAGTGAGGGAATAGAGAGTGCACCTGTGCTTGCGCATACACTTGGGCACTATAATCCTGTCCTGCGCCGACGGCTAGCCTCCGTTGAGGCAGGCCACCGTGACCGAAATTCGGTCTGGAGGACATTATTATTATTATTCATATTACTTTAATAAAATCAATACATGTCAAAAATATAATCCATACGATATTTGTGCACAGACAGGCTATATTTTGCCGGAACTAGTGAAAAGATTTTCTATCGATCTTAAATTACCTATAAATGCTGAATATACCTACAACTTTGTTTTATATGTACTATATTTTATAATACCGGTGAAAACTACTAGAAAATCACTTTCAATTTGTTTTTAGGTTATTGTTAAATTCATATTTTAATGGCTAATTTCTCAGTACTCCGTTTCGATGCAGTAAAAACAATAATACTATTGTAATCTATAGATTATAAGGAATAAATCGACATGCATTTCATTATGTATCCTTAAAATTTGTGGTGGGTACATTCTACATACAAAAATAAATTGTCTCCTTTCACTCATTTATTCATTATAGCCAGTTAAAAGTCCACTGCTAAACATAGACCTGCCTGATAATTGCCTAATAAGGGAATATTGGCCGTAGTTGTAATAATGCTTGATAGGTTTGGTTGCAGGATAGGTTACCGCAGTTTTTTTTTTTATTATTATCAGGATGATACTACTGTCCATCGTCTGTTTCGCCTCTTACAAAACAACCGAGAGATGAAAGGAGATCGAAAATACTATATTTTCGCATTCTAACATAATTTAAAGTGCTTTTTATCGTTATTTATATCAAAGTGTTGAAAAAGTTTGTAAAATCATTATGTCACCCAATTATAAAATAAATAAACTATTATGCGATAAAATATAGCAAAATATATATATATATATATATATATATATATATATATATATATACACAATATGTAACGTAATTAACGCACCACCTCAGGCACCCCAATTAGTATATTATGTTATAATCATAATACACACACTGAATTTTTAGTTAAACATTTTTATGCACTGATTATTTATCAAATTAGGTATACTAATTCCGGAAGAATGTTGTGGTCACAGTACAAATCCACGAACGCAAAGACTTTAACGTGCTTGAAATAAAGTTCATTTTTCTTTATTTTTATTGAATTACAGAATTAGTAATAATATAAATAAAACTGCACTCTTAAAAGTCTTATTGCCTTAAGTTACGGTCCATTTCAGTTTGTTTTGACTGTACAGATTTAGTGTGACTGTAATTTACGTAGTTTTAATTATTTTTGGGATAAAAAATTACCTATATTAAAAATGATAGGAATTGATTCAGTAAACGATTCTGAACAAACTATTTGCTTATAAACTTCGTAAATAAATCGTAAAGTTTTTCTTATTTACTCACCGGGGGGCAAACTTAATAACGCGTGATCTCTCAAAGCGGCGAGCCAATTTTCTCCTAAACTTTCTAACTCTGGTTCTACCAACTTCAATAGACTCTCGCCTTTCGACTCAAATTCCCCGTACTCTTCGTCATCCTCCTCTTGATTTGCGTTGTCTATTTCATTGTTGTTTTGTAGAACCTTCAAGAAAATATAAAAGGTAAAGCGAAATGGACCTTATTATATGTTATAGGATTCATATTACTTTACACCCTCGCTCTCTACTCGCTACTCAAATAAAGACCTTTCGAATTTTTGAAGCTAGATAAAACCTTATTATAAAAATTATTCGACGTAATTAAGTATTATTTAAACACCCGATAAAAATATTAAGCACCAAATTGAAAACTCTTCGATCAATAATACTACTAGATTCCCGATAAGCGCTTCAAAAACGGCCCGAAAAATAAGACCACAAATACTTTTGTGGTCTTATTTCAAATTAGTATGGTCCAATCATAACCATTTTAACTAACATTGAAATGTAGTACCAAGAATAGAATAGAGTAAGCACGAAATTTTTAACATAATATTATTAACCTTATCACTTATACTTTTAGCTTTCATTGTAGAGTAAATATTTGTGTACTTATGACTTTTTATATTCAAGCGATATCTTTTTTGGATGCCATAACTTAAATAAACATATTTTGCAATGGCATTTAAACTTTATGTTTGAGTGATAAGGTTTATAATAAAGTGAAGTTGTTAATATTTTTAATATTTTTTTCTATATTTCATAGTAAGAAATATAGATGTTTACGCGCTAAAGTATAATCATTGATCGAAGTGAAAACTGATATAATTTTTCGTCCAATCACAATTAAATAAATAGTTTAAACAAAAGTTTACACAGAGACATTAAAATATAAGTACATAAAAATTATATGAGCACCTGATTACGCCACTTGACCAGCTCAGCTTTAATATTGAAAGGTTTCGTATCAAGTTGCTTCACGTAGCTGCCCGGTGCGCTGTCGTTGCTGACCATTGCCACTATATACACCTGGGTACACAATATAAAAGCTGAACATCATATTTTTACAATTCGGAGTACACTATGTACAGTTTATACGTGGTAGAGCCATGCTGCAGTTATATTAGTAGTATAGTTGTAGCACGAATGGGTCGGCTCGACCGGGGAAGGACCACGCTCTCACAGAACACCAGTGTAAAATAGTAGCTTAATGCTGCTGTGTTTCGTATGGTGAGTGTAGAGAACCGGAGACCCTTTTTACTGGAATCGAGGCATTCTATCTTAGTCCTCGCGGGTGACAACGCATATGCACTTTGATTCGTAATCGAGTATAGATGTAGATGTCTATGGACCACAGCAACCACTTACCATCAGGTGAACTTTGTGCTCGTTTGTCACCCTATCCTAAAAGAAAAAACACCTGACACTGCTGCATGACCCTGATACTGACTGATACTAAACTAGACTTGCAACGAATATTCGGCTACTATACGATATTCGACTGAATACGAATATCTAGGTACTATTCGGTCGAATACCAAATGATAATATTCATTCTTTTTATTATCGTTTTTTCTTGTAATCCTTAAAGAAGTCAGTGAACATAATCAACTTCCATATTATAAAAATAACAAAAACAAATATCAGATAAATGTTTATGTACTTGAATTATCGCTATTAAAGTGGAAGATAATAGTGCGGAAAACTAATTTTTCTTCATTTTCAGGATGTAGTTTTCTGCTATTCTTCTCGTATACAATCCCAGCTTCAGAAAATAGACACTGAAGAGTAAACAGAACACTTTTGCCTAATATTCGGCGACTCGGCCGTAATATATTATTAGTTGCAAGGTACTGAAATTTTTTTTAATTCTAAACAAAACTTGGGAATTACGTTCCTATTTAAAGATATGCTGTGTTTACTAGTAAGTAATCACTACACTTAGCTAAAGAAACTCTTCTTCTGTTATTTAATATGTCATTATGGTAGTTGACTGTTAGCCTAGCCTGTTAGTTAGCAAGCCATATGAATAAAATAAAATAATAATTTGTTCATGATAATAAGAAAAAAAAATATTTCGAAGACATGCGAAGTTCGCCAACACGCATTGGGGCAGCGCGGCGGACAATTCCTTGCCCTAAAACCCTCTCAGAAATGAGCGGAGACCTGTGCCCAGCAGTGGGACGTATATAGGCTGTAACTTTACTTTACTTTACTTTACAAACTGCTAAAGACGAGCAAAATTACATGTTTCACAAGATAAAAAAATATTATTTTAACATACCTCAGCCCATGCTTTTAAAATTGACAGTTTTTCAAGCGTTGCCATACTTTCGTTGTAAATTAATGTAGTATTTCCTTTTTTATTGAGTTTATCTAAGCTAGAAACCAGCAACTGGTGAACTCTGAAACAAAAATATTTTAAGGCAGTTAATATTATGTACGTTTAAATTCAATTCCGTCGCAATTATTAATTTACAAGAGAATTAAAAAATGCACGAAAATGACCGATTTGTATAGGTTTCTAAAAACATAACCAACCAACATGCTTTTACAACCAACATGGAGACAATATCGATTTCCATAAATAATTATATCATGTTAGTAGTTGTTAAAAATTCCGAAAAAAAAAACATTTTATAAGGCGCTGATAAAGTTACGGTACAGAGAAAAAAATTCAATGCTTGTGTTTGAATATCTCGCATTTCTCATGCAGTTTCCGACAGCGTTGGGAACCGCCATTGCAGCAGCAAACAGCAAGGAGCATCATATAGATATAAAAATACCACGTGGTAGCAGGAAACATATACATACTCGTAATATAGAACACTGTATACGAATTAGATTTTTTAAGGAGAAAATTATCTGTACTCTGGGTAGGGTTTACTCTTCATTTTTGTGAAATTAATAAAGTTCAATGTTCTGTATGTGAATCTCCCAAGCACACGACTTGACTCGATGACATCGTTTGAGTAAAGAGAATTGAACAGATAACTTCTCAAATAGTGTGTAAATAGCATATGTTTTAATTTCTCGACCTTGCGAACAAAGTGCATCATTTAGGTTGTATGAAAATTTTGTTTAAGCCGTCCATCCCTTCAAAAAAAAATTTAAACACTGTTTTCTTTAATGTATCAAAAACGTTTGCATTGACAAAGAACATATTGTAGAAAATTGACAGTTGTACCAACGGAAACAAAATTTTGAAAACAAAGTAGAATATGTCAGTTGAAAGATAAGTTTCAATATCTATTGAAAAATTTACACAGGAGTGCGAACGTCACCATCAACAAAACAAGTTGATGTTTCTCAGTGAAAACATACTGTTAGAACAAAAGTTTCGTCACAACTGTGGATCGCGCGGTCGCGTCCCACAGTTACACGATTTTAGGCAAATACGAAATAAAGTTTCATAGTTATCTGAAATAAGCTTTAAATCACGTTGACAAAGTGATTAAATTAAAAGATTTCTTAGTTACATTAAACGAAATCAGTGTTAGATTGTCGTAAACGTTCGCGGTTTATAAAATAAAGACCTATTTTTCTCGTCCGCGTGCTGTCGACAAATAGGGTCACGGATTATTGACCGTAACTTAGTGTGCAATGTTTTATACTAATGTTAAAGACTCACTACCCGCGGTGCAAAAATATGGGGAAACAAAATCCTGCCTGTTGCTGTTTCTGGCAGACCTGCCATAAAGCCCGTAAGTAAGTAGTCGCGAGCGAATGTAGTCCCGTCAGCTAGTACGTATACATGCAAGTGTTTGCATAGAGACATAACGCAAGGCTATTGGTGTGCAGGCACCTGCGCAGGTCGTCGATGTCGCGCGCGACGCCGCAGCCCAGCCAGGCGGAGCACAGGTCGCAGGCGGCCGCCGTCACGTGCGACGCCGTGTCGCGAGCGAACGCCGGTCGCACTGCTGCACCCACCTGCACACGCAAACAAACACCACGCTCTCTTATGGTAGCCATACACGTTAGGATATACCTGACAGGTTAATTTGTACAGTTCAACAGTAACCGGAGTGTGTATGTTGCATAGCCGCTACGTGTATGTGCTCTATTCAGCTTGAGCTGAGTCTGATAGATGAACTGTACAGGCAAACCTGACAGGTACAACCCAGCGTGTATGGCTATCTTTACCCTTCAAACTCACATCTACTATATCTATTAGACTGGCCATACACGCTACGGTCTACTAGAGAAATATACCCGTGCAGGTGTGCAAGCACACGTAAAATGGTGCGTATATTGGAATAAACAGACAACAGGTGCAAGTTTGAAATTAAATTTTCTGCGCGTTCTAACCTGCACGAGCAAACATTTTCTTTAAAACGTAACGTGGCTATGGTATGGCTTACGTTATACGTGGTAGAGCCACGCTACAGCTATATTATGGTATAGAACGAATGGTTCGACTCCACCGGGATAGGACCACGCTATCACAGAATATCAGCGTACACTGTGATGCTGCTGTTTCGTATGGTGATTGTAGAAAATCAGAGAACCTTTTTACTGCAAACGAGACATTCCCATCTCAGGCCTCAGGGGTGACAAAGCATCTTCATTTTGATTCTTAATTGAGGATAAAGGTAGATTTCTATGGATCACAGCATCCACTTAACATCACGTGGACCATGTGATCATTTGTCACCCTTATTATATAAAAAAATACCTATCTAGCAGCACCAGTCGTCACCAAAGCCTTAATATACACAATACTGGAGTACAAGGTCGCTGGTGGGTGCTGTGAACATTCTTTAACGTGAGCTCCGTTAGTTAATATTTGCCATTCATTGGATATTCACGTGACATTCGCCTGCAAAATGTACATGCGCAAATGCCGACACTTGGTGCTCACAAGAAGCGCCACTATTTACGAGTGGTTAGTGTTACCGACACGCATTAGAGTCCGCGAGCTCAAACCTAATCTGTGCCATAAAAATGTAATCTCTCTTTTCGCGCACCCCGCACTGCCGCACAGAGTCAGTTCTAGTATTTATTACATAATGATTTTAATGTCATGTCATTCATTATTTCACTAGCTTTTACTACACGACTTCGTCCGTTTAAAAACAAAACATAAACCTTGAAGATTTATTATTCATTATGAACTTAAGGCTTAAGGTTTTCAGTAACTCAAAACCTACTTTAAAAAAATCTGCTAGTATCTAGAAAACTATGCGCAATATAGGAAAATTTTAAAATAAAAACATGACAAACAAACATAGGAGGGGGAGGGGGTGAGGGCTATGAGGCAATCAATAGGAAAAGACAATGTTCAACAGTGGGCTTTTGACTGAAGTTTTGAATGGTCTTAAAATACAGAAAACTATTTAACAACGAAAAACATAAATTCATATCGAAATAAATAAGTGTTACTGTCAGTAACGTGAATGCAATAACGATGAAAAACGAAAAAGACGCCGGTCCAAAGTTAAGAATAATGTAATTTCTTTGTAGACCTTGTTGTGTGTTGTCACAAACTTACCTGTGCCTGATACTGTTCAAGGAGCAAATGTCCAGGAAAGTCCGGTTCTGGGGCGCGAGCGAACAGCTGTATGATCATCTGCAGTGTATGTAAGCCGCTCAAACGCAATGCGTCTGACTCGCCAGTTGCGCCTACAAACGCCATGCGGACTAGGTCCGAGAGATGAAGCGATAGATAATCCCCTAAAAAACAGACATCAAAATGACTAAATGAGTCCAAAGATATATATCATCAAAAGCATGCAAGACGCCAGACTGGACGGATGATGGAACTGGATGCTCACCTTACTATAAACCCATGGCAGGTACACAGAGTTGGGAGGATTTGGCATCATCACTACTCTTGTCAAGTAAATTGGCGTCGCAATACCAAGCGCTTTAAACATTCGAAATCTCAAAAATACAATTTTCAAAAAATGATTTTTTTTTAATAATTTTTAACACATGTTACGATCAATTTCAAAATTCTCAAAAAACGTCGTCGATTGCAGTAATCCGCATCAAAATCGGTTAATGAGAGAAATTGTTAGCGAAATATTTCGAAAAAAGTATTTTTTTAAATAACTTTTTTTCTTGATTCGATTTTTTATGTAATAAATTAACTATGAATGTTTAAATAATAGATGGAGTTTGGGCCACTTTGCATTTGAAATTAGCGGTAAGTTCCAGGAATGGTTTATAGGCTCAATTAATTGTGTACTGCATTATCATAGTCCACACACTTCAGTTAGGTTTCACCTAACGTACATTATTGTTTATCGTAATAAACTTATTACTGTACCATTTATAAAGGATGTTATTGTAAATAAATAAATTAAAAACTTTTAAACGATACTCTATAGCTCTATACGATAATAATATTAGAGATGGGCCGAATATTCGTTTCATATTCGGTATTCGGCATATTCGGTAGCTTTACCGAATATTCGTATTCGGCCGAATATTCGGCTAAATCACCGAACATTCGGTAAAGTAGTATACTCAGTGTCCACTGTATTGAAATGTATGAATTGAGTAATGTCATGTCTTTCATAATTTTACTGTTGAAATGGCATTAGATTTTATTAATGGGTTAAATCTACTTGTATTATTTTTAGATATATTATATATTTGGATTTATTTCCAATTATAGCAAATAGAAAGCTTGATAATTTTTTTTTGGAATCAAACAAAGAAATATCACATTACATTAGTAAATTTCACTTTACTTTGGTCGTCAGTTTCTCTAAAATAAGTCCAAATAGTAAATCTCCTGCCACTCATTTTTATCATATAATTATCAATTTTTACTAAGAATAACACGAAGAATTTTTTTTCGCACAATCTAGTCAAAGCATAAGTATGTGCGCCGGCAATTTGTTCAGTACAAGATGATGATACAAAGGCATGTCAGGTGTGGCGGGGGAGTGAGTGGCAGGGTCCGGCGCTAATCCCGCGCGCTTTACGGTAACAAGTTTCGACAAAAATTGGTTAGGTACCGAGGTGATCCTGCCGAATAATGTTCGGCCGAATATTCGGTCCAGTAAAAGATTTACCGAACTTTCGGCCGAATATTCGTATTCGGTGAAATCCATGTTCGGCCCATCCCTAAATAATATAATAAGTCGAAACTTCACGTCTATATCTGGTTAAACGTATTGTATAATTATGTCAAACACGCGATCCGCCTTGGTGGTGCCTGGTTAGGATCTATTAATGTGGCATTATTTAGATTTAGGATAAAAAAGACTATTTATTTTATCAATATCTCTAAGTTTTTCAGATAAAATATGGTCTAGACCACAGCTGGCATCGCTATCTCTGTTTATGAAGTTTGATCACAATCGTTTCAGCCGTTCCGTAGACTAACCCGAACAGACGAGCAGACAAAATTAAAAAAAACCGGCCAAGAGCGTGTCGGGCCACGCTCAGTATAGGGTTCCGTAGTTTCCCGTCCGTCACAATAAGTGTTCCCACTTATGAGTTTAAAGGTGGGTATCCATTATGTTCGCGCTCCAGCAGCGCTCCGCGCTCCTACAACTGCTCCCGGTAGTGGGTACTGTTGTTTCCATCCCAAGTTCAAAATTATTTTCCTAGAAAGTCCTTATAAAGTTCTACTTTTCAGATTTTTTTCATATTTTTTAAACTTATGGTTCAAAAGTTAGAGGGTGGGACACATTGTTTTTTTACTTTTGGAGCGATTATTTCCGAAATTCCGAAAAAACTATACAAGTTTAATAAAACCATAATCTTCGTTAAGTATTTTAAATCCTTATATTATTATTGGAATGATTAATTGAAAGATCTTGATTTGGTTGACTATAAGTAAATAATAAGAGTAAACACTAGATGTACGCACTAGATTATATAAATTAGAATATAAAAGTATTTTTCCATGCAATATGATATGACGAGGTGGCCGAGTGGTTAAGGCGTTGGACTGCTAATCCAATGTGCTCTGCACGCGTGGGTTCGAATCCCATCCTCGTCGATAAATTTTGTATCATTATAGAATGACATTTCTTAATTTTATGACGCTCAAAATTAAATTTTGTTAGTCATACGACATTAATTTTAGTTAGCAGATCCCCGCTGCAAGTAACGTCTGTAAATGGATCTGCTGGACTGAAGGAGCCATCCTTTACTATATCACATTATGTATATTGTCACAAAATTTTACACCATATAAAAAAACATCAGAAAATATATATTTACGATAGATTTTGTAAAAATCAAACGAGAAGTTGAGATGACGATTATGAATATATTCTTACACTTCTACAACACAATAAATAAACAAGTCATAGATAAAATATTTTTGAACTCGTTGAACCAAAGCTGCTCATTTTTTTATGCCCAATTGTTAACGAAAAGTAGACAAAGTTGTTGTTATCGATTAAAGATTCAACGTATTACTGACCTAAGCAGATAATCAAAAAATAAGTTCAAATGTAAAGGTACATACCATTAGGATCATTTTGCAATTTTTCTTTGGCTTTCACGAGATCGAAATGCGCACTGTCCCCTGTTGCTTCGCAAGCACTCATGATTTTCTGAATGCATTCCATTGCAAACACCTAGAATAGAATCAACAATGTGTTAGTTTATAAATAAATAAAAAAATTGAAAATACAACCCGGAGCTCATAAAGTGAACTATAACATTTTACTTCAATCACCTAGGTATTTAATTTGAATGTTATTCATTTTTCAATTGTGCTTATTTACACAAAATCGTGTGGTTAGCGCTAATAAAGCAGTCAATCAGCTTATTTTTCATAGTAATTTTGATATTAATAAAACAGCCTGTGTCGCTCGAAAATAGTATTGCTTTCCACTAACAAAAAAAATATTGTTGTAGTTTAATAAGAAATGAAAACCACGACTCAATGAAGAACGATATAGCAAAGAGGAACTTAATTGACGAAGTTAGTCTTTGATGCTAGCTTTGTCTTGAATGCATTGATCTTTAGATCTTTGCATTGCCATACTCCTTTATATGTTTAATATTTCCTGTTAAGTCATAGTTCAACAGCTGGCCTTAGTTAATTACTACGCAGAATTAATATGTCAACGTAACTAACGCAAAAGTTAAAGAAGTCAAAATTACATCATAAAACATAAATGTTTGATTAGCAAGCTGATTTCTAAAGGAATTTTAAATGTAAATGTTATTAAATTTACTATCACGACATAGGTGCTTTAGAAAGAAATCTTATAAAAAAGCTGAAAATATATATACCTTTGTAGACCATCTCGGCTGAATAGCTGGATGTGTGGACTGCTCTGATTCTGCATGGAATTCCGCTTGGTCATCATCACCTTCGCCATCAAAATCTGTTTCTTGGTTGTTGGTATCTTCTGTAGACAAATAACAACAGGCCGTACAGTAACAGTGCATTACGATACAGTACAGTAAAATATAATACGATACGAGTACGATACAGTAAAGTGCGCTACTCGTACAGTGCAAATCGGTACAGCATAATAAGTACGAAACAGTACCATGCGATAAAGTAGAGTATAAAATATTAAAATCCAGCTTGTAGCTGCGTGTGCGTGTGTCAGCCCCGCCTCGTTCACTAGCGTACAGTGCAGTGGAGTACAGTGCAGTGGAGTGGAGTACAGTACAGTACAGTGCAGCACAGTACGCAGCACAGTACAGTGCAGCACAGTACAGTACACCTACCGAGCCGCACGGTGAGCACGCGCTTGGCGAGCAGCAGCCAGTCGCGCAGCTGGCGCGCACCGGCCGCGGCCAGCAGGCAGCACGTGGGCGCGTCGCGTGCGTGCGACAATACAGTACAGTACAATGCAGCACAGTACAGTACACCTACCGAGGCGCACGGTGAGCACGCGCTTGGCGAGCAGCAGCCAGTCGCGCAGCTGGCGCGCACCGGCCGCGGCCAGCAGGCAGCACGTGGGCGCGTCGCGTGCGTGCGACACTACAGTACAGTACAGTGCAGCACAGTACAGTACACCTACCGAGGCGCACGGTGAGCACGCGCTTGGCGAGCAGCAGCCAGTCGCGCAGCTGGCGCGCACCGGCCGCGGCCAGCAGGCAGCACGTGGGCGCGTCGCGTGCGTGCGACAATACAGTACAGTACAGTGCAGCACAGTACAGTACACCTACCGAGGCGCACGGGTAGCACGCGCTTGGCGAGCAGCAGCCAGTCGCGCAGCTGGCGCGCACCGGCCGCGGCCAGCAGGCAGCACGTGGGCGCGTCGCGTGCGTGCGACACTACAGTAATACACAACAGTACAGTACACCTACCGAGGCGCACGGTGAGCACGCGCTTGGCGAGCAGCAGCCAGTCGCGCAGCTGGCGCGCACCGGCCGCGGCCAGCAGGCAGCACGTGGGCGCGTCGCGTGCGTGCGACACTACAGTACAGTACAGTGCAGCACAGTACAGTTCACCTACCGAGGCGCACGGTGAGCACGCGCTTAGCGAGCAGCAGCCAGTCGCGCAGCTGGCGCGCACCGGCCGCGGCCAGCAGGCAGCACGTGGGCGCGTCGCGTGCGTGCGACAATACAGTACAGTACAGTGCAGCACAGTACAGTACACCTACCGAGGCGCACGGTGAGCACGCGCTTGGCGAGCAGCAGCCAGTCGCGCAGCTGGCGCGCACCGGCCGCGGCCAGCAGGCAGCACGTGGGCGCGTCGCGTGCGTGCGACAATACAGTACAGTACAGTGCAGCACAGTACAGTACACCTACCGAGGCGCACGAGGTAGCACGCGCTTGGCGAGCAGCAGCCAGTCGCGCAGCTGGCGCGCACCGGCCGCGGCCAGCAGGCAGCACGTGGGCGCGTCGCGTGCGTGCGACACTACAGTACATTGACAGTACAGTACACCTACCGAGGCGCACGGTGAGCACGCGCTTGGCGAGCAGCAGCCAGTCGCGCAGCTGGCGCACACCGGCCGCGGCCAGCAGGCAGCACGTGGGCGCGTCGCGTGCGTGCGACACTACAGTACAATACAGTGCAGCACAGTACAGTACACCTACCGAGGCGCACAGTGAGCACGCGCTTAGCGAGCAGCAGCCAGTCGCGCAGCTGGCGCGCACCGGCCGCGGCCACCAGGCAGCACGTGGGCGCGTCGAGTGCGTGCGACAATACAGTACAGTACAATGAAGCACAGTACAGTACACCTACCGAGGCGCACGGTGAGCACGCGCTTGGCGAGCAGCAGCCAGTCGCGCAGCTGGCGCGCACCGGCCGCGGCCAGCAGGCAGCACGTGAGCGCGTCGCGCGCGTGCGACAGCGCGGTCTCGTCGCGCTCCGTGTCCAGGTACGCGAACAGCGCGCCCGGCAGCCCGCTGTCGCTTATTGTCACTCCTGCATGAATACAAACAGACAGATAAACAAACACTGTTCAATGTATACTATAAGTCGGGCTCTCCGGCCTAAATACATTGCGCACTAACAGATTTAAAATTGAAGTTCTCAGATTTTTCTCTAAAGCTACGTTCATATTTTTAGACATTTCACATGCATCTTTACTTACGTTTCATATTTAAGAAATATTCCAAATTACAGTTATATTATTACAGTTATTCTATGTTTGTCTAAGTTTATACTTTATACTTAATTAAAATAAAGGAAAATTTGATACCACCCATAACATACATAAAACATATATATGTATAAATATAAATATTCATACCACAATACGGTTTTGCAGGGACATGGTCTTTAGCTAGCATGGCGTAGCGGCAAACCTCCGTTGCCTCTTTCTGCGATAACTGTCTCAAACAGCAAAGTGCAGCACGTCTGACTGCTAGTTCAGAGCTTGATAAGTCACGCTAAAACAAAAACAGATTTATTAATAAAGTTAAAAAACCTTTAGCCCGATACAGAAAAAAATAACAAAAATAATAGTGTATGCTAAAACCAACGTTTGAAGAACTCTCCTGAGTTTTATTGAATGATGGTTAAATTCTCTTCGGTTCTGGTTAGCTCAGCCAAATTGCATCAAACTAATGAAAGTTTCAGATCAAGAGCCGATAGGATTAAACTTGCTTAGTATAAAATTAAAAACATGCGTTCGGCATCTAACTTCTAGTCTAATCACGGCACGGTTGTGGGAGTGTACTCACACAGAGCTGCGGCACGAGCGCGTGCAGGTTGATGCTGCGCGGGGAGAACATCTGCAGCTGCTGCAGGCAGCCGATGCTCTCGGCGCGCGCTCCTCCGCCACTGCACTCCTGCAGCGCGGCACACGCACAGAGAAATCTACTCACCGCGCCACTTCCCACTGTCAACATTAAATCGACAAATGCAGACAGTTGTGAAACGCCTTAAATGTCAGGCGATGCCGCCGCCCGCATAGGTTTTACGAGGCCAGCGTGTATGCTAGGAGTTTTCATAAAAATAGAAATAAAATAATTTTGGATATTATAATATTCATTATTATTATAATTTTTTTGCGCCATGGTAGCTCAGATGGTTAGCGCTCGCTGTAAATCTCACAGTACGCGAGCGACCCGGGTTCGATCCCCACCGGCATAATGAAATTGTTAATTGCAATTTTTAAGTTCTGATTTACCACGTTCTCGGCGGTGAAAGGAAATACCATGAGGAAACCTGAATGTCTGAGGAAACCTTTTGGGAAATTGTTTTGGTGCTGAACCAGGATCTAACCAATGAGCGCTTGCGATTGTCATAGAATCAATTTTTCGTCGCAGATAACAATGTGGTTAAAAATTCCTTCGTTTGTGTGCCTGTTGAGCAGTGCAAGGCACGTCGCGACGCGTACTTCGCACTGTCGGTCATTGAGTTCGTGGGGCACCTATTTGTCAAGCTTTTTACCTTGCCAATTTCGACCATAAAACCAATATTGTTTTATGCTAACGTCAAAAGCTGCTGCTAATTCAGCAGCAATTTTATTTCGTTCTTATTCATCATTGTCGACCAAAATTTTCGGACGACCACGGGATTAAATTTCAGGTCGAAATTTCTAGAACAGATGCGGGAAAACGAATAACAGGTGGTGCGTTCGTCTGTAGTATTTGTTCCCTGAACTTCGTTAATGTTGCTTGCCACTTGTGCTGCGTTTCTGCCACGATGATACTCATATTCCATAATTCAATCAATGATCACGAAAAAGATTCAAGTGACTAATTTTGAAAACTGAATTCCATGTTTTAAAAATTAAATTAATCGTAAAATTAGAATTCTTAGAAAAACAAAAATTATTCGGATTTGAAATAGCCAGTACTGCAGAACGGCAATTTCATAGGATAAAGACCTATTATGATCAAATATTTTTATGCAAAATCGAGAAGTTGCTTTTGACAACTTCACTTAGCCCGCCAAAATTTTGACATCACTTCATTCAACCTAATTTATGACTCAATTTAGAGTTTTTTTTTTATAGAATAGGGTGATAAACCTCATGGTAAGTGGATTCTGTGGGCCATAGACATCTACATTTATCCTCGATTAAGAATCAAAATGCAAATGCATTGGCACCCGTGAGGACTAAGATGAAATGCAGTTTCCAGTAAAAACAGTAGGCAGTTCTCTACACTCGGCATGCAGCATGCATCAGCAGCATGGAGCTGCTATTTTACGTTAATATCCTATGAGACCGTGGTCCTACCCCGGCCGAGCCGACCTATTCGTGCTAAAACCCCAGTAAAAAGAGTATGCGGTTCTCTAGACTTACCATACGAAACACAGCAGCATGGAGCTGCTATTTTACGTTGGTATCCTATGAGACAGTGGTCCTACCCCGGCCGAGCCGACCCATTCGTGCTAAAACTCCAGTAAAAAAGATTATGCGGTTCTCTACACTCACCATACGAAACACAGCAGCATGGAGCTGCTATTTTACGTTGGTATCCTATGAAACCGTGGCTCTATCACGTAAATAAAAGTTCATGTATTTCTAATATAATGCCATCCCTCAGACCTAGAACTCTTAATAGCAAAACAGGGTAATATATTGTTACGAGCTTGAGGTTCGTGACAATAAAAACTGCCGATAGAATTACCAGAATTAATACTTTAATTCGAACCCTCCACTGAACACCAATTACAACGAAAGCACACTCATAATTAATCACACTTAACACTTTAGTGCACTTTATTTCTCTCCGAAGTCTTCGCTTGTGTTGCCAATTCAATACTGACCCTGTCGCGGTCCTCAACGCCTTCACATAGGACTTTTTCAACTGAAACATCCAGAATGCTCGAGCACACACTGGTCCCGACCGACTAGGTGAAGAAAGTTCTCTCCCAGTTCCGCCACTCGACACTAGATGGCGTTAGTGAGAAAGTTTTAGCATGGAACTTTCTAGAAAACTCTCCTCTGCTACCCGACACTAGATGGCGCTAGTGGCATTAATTATGGCTTGCAACAATATAAATGAACAATCTCGAAACACTTTCAAAATGAACATGATTTAAAAAATCTTTACATATTATTTAAATGACATTACGGAAAGAACACAAGAAAAATAAGCAATCGAAAATACAATACAGATTAAAAATTAATATTTCATGGAATTTAGGTTTTATACATGTCTTAATTATACATCACACAAACTTCTACTCAATTTCAAGGACTTTGAAGCAGGAATCTACCATACTGTCCCAATGCGTGTACCTATTGCCGGACTACATGTGTTTTCATAACATTTTTAATGATCATAAAAAACCACATACTTAAAATTTTAAGACAAGAGCTTTTCTCCTAGGCTGCTTTGGCACTTGTTCAGGGTCTATACCGTATACCGTCAACTGTACTCCATTTCATTAAAAAAAATCGTCTTTCATTTAAAAGCCTACTTTAGCAAAAATATTAATAAAGTCAGAAGTAAAATTTTTAATGAAATTTAAACTATAATAAGAATAAATTAACTTACCTTGCAACTCAGGTCCAACAACAGTAATCAAAGCGGACAGCAATCGGCCGATGCTACGGTGAAGATCCTCCTGGTACGGTGGTGAACTAAACAACAACTTCAGAGCCAGGTTGAGGGTCGACTCCACATGACCACGGAACATAGGCCCAGACGCATCCACTAGAACTGATAACGCGTGCACAGACCAGACCTAAAAACACCACATATTCAAGTAATTCAAAACTAAGAAACAATAATGATGCAGTGATGTGACTTTTGGTATGTTTTAAATGGTAATATATTTTATATTCAAGTAATGCAAAACTGAGAAACCATAATGATGCAGTCATGTAATTTTTGGTATGTTTTTAATGGTAATATATTTCATATTCTAGTAATCCAAAACTGAGAAACCATAATGATGCAGTCATGTGATTTTTGGTATGTTTTTATTGGGAATATATTTTATATTCAAGTAATCCAAAACTGAGAAACCAAATGATACAGTCATTTGAATTGTATGTTTTTAATGTTAATTTTCATATGCTCAAGCAATTATAAAATTATTTGATAAGGATTGAAATTTGATCACCTTGCATGATATAAGGTCAATGCTTATCGCAGTGGTCTAATTCAATTGCTATAGGACCAGATATGCAAATTATAAACTAACAAAATTTATATACTGCACGGCCATTTTTGACCGTGCAGTGGTAAGCATATCCACTGCCCCATGTCATTCCGTGGGTGTCGTAAGAGGCGATAGAGCGAAACAAATCAGGAGATGAGCAGCAGCGTCTTCCTAATAACGACAAAAATAAAAAAAACTGCGGTTGCCAACCCGCTTGCCAAGCGTGCCAACTATGGCAAATATTCCCCCTATGAGCCGATCTATGGGTGAGGCCTATATTAGCAGTGGACTTTAAAAGGCTAACGGTCATTTCTAAATAATATAACATGTATAAATGCGTATGAGAGAGAAAACGTTATAGAATGTAGAACGAAACTGACCTGCAGCTCGACTGCGGCCGAGTCTTGCGCCAGTGCTCTCAACACCGGAAGCGCTGCAGCGCTGGATGCAGCCCCACGCGCCCGCTGCACGGCGCCCACTGCAGCCGCTGCAGCAGCCCGTACCGGCCTGTTGGCCGACGTCCTCGCCAGAGTAATAACGCGCTCACTCAGCGCTTGAGATTCAGCTTCCGACACGCAACCGCACAGTCTGCCTGCACAAGAAGCAGCTGCAGCACGGACTGTTGCACTGTTCGCTGATAGACCATTCTGTAAAACAAATTAAATATCACTTACAGCAAAGATTAGAATAGAGTTTGCTTGGACACGTTAGTCTTACGAGCCGGGTATTAATTAACTTAATATAACCTTGGAATTATTACTTTAAAATATTTAATATGATCATTTTGAGATTCAGGACACGTGTTATTCACGTGAGTTACTGACGTGTAATCTTCATAATTAAAATAGAGACAGAGGGCCATATATTTCTATTAAATTATAAATTAAAACTTACAATTATAAGTTCAGTAGCAATATTCTTCACGGCGTCTTGTCCCAACGAGCTCTTTAACTCCGCCAACGTACGCAGAGCTAGCAGCAGAGCGGTGTAAATGTTGATTTGAATAGCCTCTTGACGAACTCCTTTTGATATCTTTATGCATTCAGCGAAATGCTCTAGCATTTGTTGTCTGCAAAAGCATATCTTTGCTTAAAAGGAACAGTAGTAAATCATAAGATCAATGTACAACATCTCTTGAAACACCTACGGAGTTTGGCGCCCGTTAAGCCGCGTATCGATCATAGCTCCAAGAGGTCGAACATTGGCGCGCGTTCCAGCCACGTGAAATGGATACCGACTTAGAACGCGCGCCAAATTGTTCGTTAGAACGCTTAAACGTGGAGCGGGCCGTTCCATCTGGTGTCGGTTTTTTTACCGCGTATCAAAGCAGTTAAATTTTGGCGCGCACGCCTGTTGATTTCATCATTCGTGTGTTCGTTGCATTACCAGCTATGGATAACCAAAGTTGCCGTAAATTGATAGTCATATGGTTCAAATGAACTGCTGTGGAATAGCAATCGTTTTATCATAATAAAGCGCTCAGAGAAGATGCATGGAGAAAACTATGAAAGCGGCAGCTGCTCGTAAACGACCTACATCCATGTTGAAAGGTCAAACACTGGAACAACCGGCGCGCGCGCCAGGCTCGCATAGTGGATATACTTCAAACATTTAGAACGCATTCCGCGGAACGCACTGGTCGCAGCGGTCATTCCTGTTGCTCGAGCCAGGAGCGCGTAATCGATATCCTTCTTAAAGACGCCTACTCTTTTATCGGCAAGTCGACACCCCCAACGACGTTTGTACCAAACGTGGGTATACATTAATTTAAATGTAGAAATAAGCTGCTCCTTCATATCATTTCACAGGGTGGTGGCACAGCGTAGTGTAAGAATATCCCCTATCTCTCCCGACACTTCAGAACAAACCAGGAGATGGGCAGCAGCATCTTCTTATAACAACTAAAATATAAAAAATACGGTTGCTAATCCTCCTGTCAGGCGTAGCAACAATGATAAATATCCCATCTATGTAGCAATCAATAAGCAGTAGACTTTTGTCGTTACTTTAAACGTTATCGTTTATAACGGTAACGTTAATTTAAAGAAATACATCACCTTCAACGTTATTTCCGTGTTTACGTTACATTGATTAAATATTTTTTTATTTAAGCTATCAGAATGCATTGACTATAAAGTTTTTGGTGTGGTTAGTTTATTTTTAAAGAAGATGGGAGAAAACGAGCGTCCGGCTCACCAGATGGTGTCGGATGTAACGCTACGGGAATTGCACGCAGTTTGATGGTCTTTTAAAGAAAAGCTAAGCTCGCCCTTTGAAGGTACCAAAGTCGTATCGACCCAGAAAAATTGTCGACGGTTAATAACACCATAAATAAGTAATGTTAGGGAGAAAATTCCTAGCAAGTCGCGCAGTGATGAACCACTGTACATCCAGGTAACAATTAGCTATAACAACTGGTTGCAACTAGCAAGGGATGTGCTTGAAAGTAGCTGTATCAATAATTTTGGTAATACCTGTCGACATCGAATATTGATAATTTGTAGTTTTTAGAATTTTTTCTATGTATACGCCTAATGATCTAGACAAAAATTTTAACGCGAAGAGGCCCAGGGTTTTTAATTCTAAGTTTTAAGGGGTCCTTAGGTATGAAAAATTACAGGTGTATATATAATGTTTGAACTTAGATGTGTTTGAAATAGCTTGAAATAATTCATGTAAAGATACTGCCGATACGTCGCTTTTCTCTTCCAAACTTTGTTATTTAAATTAAATAATGCTATGTATTTGTCCTTTATACACCTTAATTCACATATTCTTAATTCTTATATTAAGTATTCTGTAAGTGAAGACTTGTAAATGGTATTCATTTTTGTTATTATTGTATTATTTTGGAAAATAGCTGTAAGTTTTCCAAACAGATAAAATAAACAATAGCCTCGGAAAACGATCCAAGCTCGTCCATACCCACCGGTGCTTATTGGCCGCCCTGGCGAATATGTGCGGGAAGAGCACAACGGAAGCGTCGATCACTGCGACGCCGAGCGGCGGCGCGCCCGCTGCGGGCGCCGCGGCGCGGTACAGACAGCACGGGTCGTGCTCTAGCGCGCCCGACCCACTCGCGCTCAGCGGCGAGATCAGCTGCCACACGGATCACCATTAATCCAGAATTACTCACACTACCAAACAACGTATACTATTAAACACTTACCCCGTTGCACTTCTAAAATTAACGTTCCACGAATATAAGCTTCTATTTAAAATTTATATATTTAAGCAAACTTATACGCCTTTAAACTTTAAATGTCTGACAAGAATTACCGCTACGTCGTACTATTATTTATTCTGTCACCACTCGTTGCAAACTCTGCCCTCAGCCGTTCGTCCCCAGTTCCTACCCTCCAATCCTTTTATCAAGTTCGGAAACAAGTACAATCTCAATTATCAAGTTAATTGCCACATTTTTTTATCATCACACCTAATCATCAAACTTACAAACATTCCATTTATTCCTACATACATACGTACATAGGAATAAATGGAATGTTTGTAAGTTTGTAAATAAACTGTCACGCCTGTTACCCGTATTTGTATCCTGATAAGCTTATCCCATTTCTTTCACATCCGTATACTTACGAATACATACTCGTCTGTTAATGGTGTTCTTACACAGGGACCATGCTTATTTTCTGGCAATGCAAAAAAAACGTGATTGGCAAACGATGGGGTCTGATGCCAAAAACTATACTGTGGCTATACAAAATCGTGAATCAGCCCATGATCACATACTATGATCTGGTATGGTGGACCAAGACAAATGAAGCCAACACTATTAAGAAGCATCAGCTATATCAGAAAGATTTCAGTATGTCTGCTACAGGCTGCATTAGAACTACACTAACAGCAACCTTGGAGCCTACGCTGGGGCTAACCCCGCTTCACTTACATATACAACAAGAAGCGACTTTAGAAGCCATTAGACTCAGGGCCCTAAATCTATGGAGTAAGAGTAAGAGTTTCTCATACAGATATAATTGATATAATTTACACCAAAACTCCTATCTTATAAGCCAAGTACGATAAGATCCCTTAACAATTTGTATTTGATAAGAAATATAAGATACAATTAAGTGAAACTAACTAGTCAGAGGGATGAAACCCAAAAGAACTCAGAATTTTCACGGATGGTTCCAAAACAAATGAAGGTACCGAATCTAGGACTTTCTTGGAAGACTTTAATATCCACATATATACACTGCTGGGTACCCACAACACAATCTTTCAGGCAGAATCTATGGGTATCATCCAAGCGGCCATAGCAATACATAACAGGAAGGTAATAGACTCCTCCATCAGAGCGCTGACCAATAGTGTGGTGGTACTACACGCTCCGAGTTGAAATGTGGTGAACTCGGGACTAAAATACTATGTAAGCAATCAAAGACTAAATAAGGTATATGACTCGGCAATGGATAAAGGGACATAGTGGATCCAGGGGTAACGATGCGGTAGACGAACTGGCCAGAAGAGGATCGGCTCTCGCCACCACCAATAAACTTTGGCAACGGTCGTTTACTGGTAAAACTACACTACACACTCAACTTTGGAAAAATCTAGAAGACTGTAGACAAGCCAGTGAGGCCCTGTTTGAAATAAACAGTCGTTTAATCAAGGTTCTAATGAGACTGAACAAGCCACAGATTAGGATTCTATAGGTCGCGCCACGAAAGATTAAATTAAATGGAAGTGCGCAGAAGCGAAAAATAGGTGTCGGTGAGGTGTGAGGTACGGGGAAGCGAAACCATAGCAACGGGCGACGCGCTACTCCTACGTCGTTTCTTCCTGCGTCCCGTCGCCCGCGCACCTTCTTGTCGTCTTGTGTACAATCGATATCGAACGTGTTAGCGACTACCTGTTATAAAATTTTAAATTTTTACGATTATTTTTGTACTTTTAAAAATATTGTATATAGTATTTTCAAATAGTGTGCAAATATTTATTACTTTATAAATTATTTTGGGACCATTTAAAATACCGTAATTCGTAGTATATTGTATAAAGTTTATTTTGTTATGTTCTACAAGATGATTTTTTGGCAAATTATTGCATTTAAAATATCCTTATAATCGAAGGCTATCGCATAGTATAGTTTAAACAGCAATTGCAAATACAAAAATATTAATACAAAATATTTTATTTCTTTAACTAAGTGTACATAAAACGCAGAATATTATTTAGAAGCAGTTGAAACCTAACGATGATATACAAATATATCGTTCCATTTTCGTGGAGACTAATGTGTAGTTATTTTTACATATTTTAATGCCATAATAAAATTTTCATTGTTCTGCTTGATTGTACATGCGCAGTGGACTCTATTTAATTTCATTTTTGGTGGCGCGATCTATAACAAGCGCTATCACATGACATGGCTCTTTTACCAAACATTTATTTACCATAGGTGTCACAGATAGTCCCCTTGCACAGGGCATGTATGGGGGAGAAAGAAACGGCTGCCCACGAGTTGCTGACATGTCCTGAGGTCGCCGCATACAGAACTAACCACCTCGGCACGCCGAGATTACCTCCCGAAGTTGCTCACAACATCAAAGGACTGTTGAACTTCTTCAGGGAGATTTCATGGCTCGAATAATTACATTATTCCTGCCCACACGCAAAATACAGGCTTAGACGTAGAGTTGCGAAAAACAGCCCGTCGTTATCTTATCATAAGGTTGCTCTTAATTTATCTTTTTTATAGAAAATGGTTACAAACGAAAACACAGTTTACTTGATGGTAAGTGGATGCTGTGGCCCGTAGACATCTACATCTATCCACGATTAAGAATCAAAATGTAGATGCGTTGTCACCCCAGAGGACCAAGGTGCAATGCCTCGTTTCCAGTAAAAAGGGTCTCCGGTTCTCTACACTCACCATACGAAACACAGCAGCATTAAGCTACTATTTCACGCTGGTATTCTGTGACAGCGTGGACGTTCCCCGGTAAGCCGACCCATTAGTGTTACCACGTAAAACTTCAATAAATCCCCAATTTGGCCGATAAACTTCCGTGTAGAGCGTCTCTTGCCAACTTTGCGACTCATTTCACTTTTGTCACTCTTTCATCAGTCATTCTTTTTTTTTATTTATTCTCTTAATCATTGTTAATTAATTGGAAATGACATTAAATATTTGGAAAGTGAAATTAGAACCTATTGCTAGTACCTGTTCTTCTATTTCAGCATGATCTGTATCATAAATCCAGCTTTCTTCACCTAATAGTATCGTATCTCGAGGATGCATGGCGTTTCTCAGCATACCTGAAGGGATTTTTAATAATGATTAATTAAATTTACGCGAACACTACACATTGAATAAAACTAAATTTACGGATTCTATCACGTTTATTTAACTAACTTTACTTATTCTTAATTCCCGACGTTTCGGGTGCTTTACATCACCCATGGTCACGGGGGGGGGGGACTGAGATGTTTGACGTCCCAATGTCATTGTTAGCCCGGCTACCTTCAGTTTTTTTTTGAATATTAATTTTTGGCCCGATTTACGCAAAACGAACTTAAAGTATCTTGAAGTCTTGCAGTGGTATCTTGGGTTTGGGTTTAATTTTGTTAATTATAGGATCCCAAGCAGATGGCAGCACCCAACCATCTTCTCTATTGAAATTAGGATGTTTTTTTAATTTCAATAGCCTCACGTATCATCCTTGGTAGGAATCGGTGTTCTTTTGCGAGGATTTGTGGTTTATCAAATCTGATGTAATGGTGGGGACGATCTTGAACATGTTCACAGACTGCAGACTTCCCGGAGCGTCGGTGCTTCACGTCAGCTATATGTTCTTTCACGCGGGTTTTTATAGATCTTTTTGTTTGACCTATGTAAGATATGATAATGATAATTTATTACTTTAAAATAAGTAGTAAGTTGTTAAAATATTGTTGGGCACCCTCTTTTAAGTAAATACCTGTAGTAGAGGGCCCCGCTCTTCCTTATTACAATTATATTACTACTTTAAATTAGAATTAAGTAAATAACACAAAAAAATAAAATAACAAAAAAAAACATAAGAAAATCAAAAGCTAAACAATTTAAACTGCAAGTAAGGTATAATTAGCGATATTTGCGTGATAGTGTGAAAAAATGCCTGTATGAGTGTAAAAAATCATAAGGCAGTGTTTTCGAGAAGGAATTCGATTTCTTCATAGGAAAGTTTTCTTAACCAGTCTGTTACGGTTTTTTTACAGTCATGGTAATTCATAGAGTAAATATTGATTTTTTGGTTTATTTTATTATATAAGTAAACTGAACGTCTAGTATACTGTCTTGATGCAAACTTAGTCTTAAATGAATCTTCGTAGGGTATTTTATATTTTCTACGTCTGGTGATTGAAGACATATGGTAATTTATGGAACTATGAAGTTTTAAAATTGTTGCTAAAATGTAAAGTTTTCTTACCGAAAGTAAATTACTCCATTCATAAAGTTCAGTTGGAGAGAATCTATAGAGCTTTAAGTACATAACTTTAATTAAGGATCTTTAAGCCCTTTCAAGCTCAAGGAACCTAGTTTTTGCTGCCCCACCCCATATAGGAATACAGTAGCCCGAAGTTGACTGAGCCAGAGCTATGTATATTTTATTAAGAAAAGACTTCGTGGAGACATGTCGTACAGACTTAAATATCCAAATAAATTTTCTGAGCCGAGTTTCCAATAATTCTAGATGTGAATACCAAGATAGTCGTTGGTCAACCATGACTCCAAGGTACTTTATATTTGAGACTTTATTTATTTGGGAGCATTTACAACTAGAGCTTTGGACGTCAGAGCAATCGTGAATTTTAATATGAAAATCAGGTGTAGGTTGGGTGCTGTTATACATAGTAAAGCAGATATATTTAGTTTTGGATATATTCAAGGTTAGTAGATTCTGATTGAGCCAATTTGCAACCCTAGCAAGGCCTAATTCTGCTGCTTTCCTTACGGAGTCCCATGTGTTTCCTGTAAATACAATGGCAGTGTCATCTGCATATGAAAAAATCTGCCCATTATAAAGTTTCATATTACAAAGTTCATTAATGTATATCAAAAATAGAGTTGGACCCATCACACTTCATTGTGGGACTCCATAGTTAACAGTTATAGTTTCACTTACAGTTGTTCCAATTTTTACCGACTGTTTTCCGTTTCTAAGATAGCTGCCAAAAAGAGGTAGAGTTTTATCTCTTAAGCCAATGCTTTCTAGTCTTTTTAACATTATGGGTACGGAGACTGTATCAAAAGCTTTATTTAAATCCAAAAATACTGTTACAATTAATTTAGTAAGATCCCCAACAGCATCTTCAGTAGATAAGCCCTGTCGAAAACCATACTGCTGACTGAAATTAATTTATATTTATTAAGATAGCCTAGTAGTCTTTTATTTAATATTTTTTCCATAATTTTAGAAATTGACGTTAATACTGATATTGGCCTATAATTAGTTACTTCATCTCTGTTACCACTCTTATATATGGGTGTGATTATAGATTTTTTAAAGGCTTCCGGAAATATACCCTCTTCAAAGCTTAAGTTTATCAAATTATTAATTGCAATAATGACAATATTTTTAGACTTCTTAAGAAAATTAGTCGGAATTTTATCCCATCCTGTTGCGCTATTTGAATTTAAGGACATAAATGTACTCTCTACTTCAGTTGGATTTGTATTCAATAAGACAAATGAATTCATCTTAAAGTCAGCAATAACTGCGTTAGTAGAGGTTTGGATGTTACCACTATTGATAATGGCTTCGGCGAGAGATTTACCTATTACCGAAAAGAAGCTATTTACCTGGTTCACTGAAAGTAAAGGATTCTGTGTAAGGCTAAGATCAGAGCTAGGAATTTTTGGAGCTTTAGATTGTATTATGTCGTTAATTGTGTTCCATAATAATTTTGTGTTATTCGTAGAAAGAAGTAGTTGTTTTTTTGTAATACTGACGTTTCAATTTTTTGACCAAGTTGTAACAGAAGTTTCTGTACCTTTTATATGTAATTTTTAAAATTTCATCACACGGATTACAACGTAGCTTTTTTTGCATTTTATAATTTCTTACGTGGATGCAGCGTAAAATTCCCTCGGTTACCCACGGTTTAAGTAGGCGTTTATTACTTGTGATGGGGGTGATTTTGGTGTTTTCTTTTAGGCTGTTTGAAACTTTTCAATCAATAATGTTTGCAAAGGTATTAGGGTTATCACTTTGTTTGTCTAGCTCTGAAAGATTTTGTAAAACTAAACTATGATATGCTTTATCAAAGTTTATGACAGTTTTGTAAAGTCTTTTCTCATTATGATTTCTATTACAAGAAATCGATAGGAATATCATGAAGTGATCAGTTATTGTAGTGTTAAGAACTGCAGTAAAGGCGGAATACTTCGTTTTTCAGGTTTTATAATAAAGTGATCAATGCAGCTACTTTCTCTTGTCCCGAGATTGCTAATTATTATTGGCTAGCCTTTGCGTTTTCCCAAACCAATATAAATCAGGGGTGTGGCTTTGTTTTTGACGACAAAAGATAACGTTCCTGCGCGTGCACTGATTTGATAAAGACAATAAACAACAATAATTCACAGTACCTTTTCACTTGGTTACAAGTTTTGAAAGTACCAGGGCAAAAGCGTTGTGCAGGAGATTGCTAATTATTATTAGCTGGCGTAGACTTCTTCTTGATTCTGCGCTCCTATTTTTCTTTGTTGATTATTTTCACCAAAAAAGCAGTTAAATTAAAGCAATTTAAAATGCGGAGACTGTACACGTTAGCACCTTACGGCGGTCCGGGGGGAAGAGAGACCACATTCACGATCTAACTTGTACACTCCTGCATCTTGTAGAATGATATTACACTTGACGGATTGTAAAAATTGACTAATCTTCTTCGGCGGCTTGTAGTATCATCTGACAAAGTAACTGCATTTTTAGACCACCTTAACTCTATAAACTCTAAAATACAATTCACAATGGAGTTAGAGGCAAACAATTCTTTAGCTTTCCTAGATGTTTTAGTCATTCGAAATCCTGATAACACTATTGGTCACACTGTGTATAGAAAAAAGACCCATACCAACCGATATTTAAATGGTGAATCTCACCATCATCCTTCACAGTAAGCTACCGTGGGTAAATCTTTGTTTCAGAGAGCACGAGGGATCTGTGACAGAAAACATCTGGCCGCCGAGCTGCAGCATGTCAAGCAAGTGTTGCAAGACAACAAACTTCGGATCCCGCGCCTACGTCACAGTGACCGAGTGAAGCCGGCCACAGTCGAGCGTGTGCCTGCTGTACTACCATATGTCAGAGGAGTCACAGACAAGGTTGGCTACATCTTGAAGCGAGCTTCCATTAAAACATACTACACGCCGCTGAAGATGATTAGTCAATTTTTACCATCCGTCAAGTGTAATATCCCTCTACAAGATGCAGGAGTGTACAAGTTAGATCGTGAATGTGGTCTCTCTTACATAGGTCAAACAAAAAGATCTATAAAAACCCGCGTGAAAGAACATATAGCTGACGTGAAGCACCGACGCTCCGATAAGTCTGCAGTCTGTGAACATGTTCAAGATCGTCCCCACCATTACATCAGATTTGATAAACAACAAATCCTCGCAAAAGAACACCGATTCCTACCAAGGATGATACGTGAGGCTATTGAAATTAAAAATAACATCCTAATTTCAATAGAGAAGATGGTTGGGTGCTGCCATCTCCTTGGGATCCTATAATTAAAAAAATTAAACCCAAACCCAAGCATACCACTGCAAGACTTCAAGATACTTTAAGTTCGTTTTGCGTAAGTCAGACCAAAAATTAATATTCAAAAACTGAAGGTAGCCGGGCTAACAGTGACATTGGGACGGCAAACATCTCAGTCCCCCCGTGAACATGGGTGCTGTAAAGCACCCGAAACGTCGGGAATGAAAAATAAGTAAAATCAGTTAAATAAACGCGATAGAATCCGTAAATTTAGTTTTATTCAGGGATTTTTAAGCTAATAATTTATTTATAAAGTTGCTGTTATATTTAGATTACAAAATATTCATATTATTATTAAATAAAATAAAATGTGGAAGTATCAGGCTGAAGCTTTATTATAGTTGCAGCGGGATTATGGGTCGACTTGACCAGATAAGGATGATCTCAAATATAAGATGATATAAAAGTAAAAATTAAGTGTTGCCCAGTTTAAAGTGTAAATTTTATCATCTTTAATATAACGAAAGTAATACCCGATTCCAATCATTAAAAACAGGCATTTAAGAATTATTTTCTTTATTTAATTAGATTTAAAACTGTTAAAGAGAGATGGTCTATCAAAATGTAAAAATAGTGTTTTTTTTTATAGAATAAGGATAGCACACGAATACACAGTACACCTGATGGTAAGTGGACCCTGTGGCCATCTACATTTATCCTCGATTAAGAATCGAAACGCAGATGCGTTGTCACCACTGGTCCTCAGTGGTGACAACGCATCTGCGTTTCGAGTAACAAAGGGTTTCCGGATCCTGCACTCATCATACGAAACACAGCAGCATTAAGCTACTATTTGGCGCCGGTATTCTGTGAGAGCGTGGTCCTCCCCGGTCGAGCCGACCCATTCGTGCTACAACTATATTACTATTATAACTGCAGCATGGCTCTACCACGTAATAAATTACTGCGTTACCGCTAAAAAGGTAAATTTTATTTGTAAATAACGATAACATAGTATAAAATTATACTATATTATCAGTATATAGTAAATATCAATCAGTGTAGTTTGTGAATAAGTTGATTGCATTATAAGAGTGGCAGTGAGAAGTGCTGCTATTTTAAATCTCTTTCTTTTATCGATCAAATCTTTAACTTAACAAGCAGTATATGCTGATCTTGCGTTAGTAGGCAATAACTAGTACAGGGAGTTCTACTTACACTGAATGGTCATTGACATTATACGCGAAAGCCGTAGGATGAATTTTTTTAATGTTTTTTTTTTGGATATTGGAATGGAAAATTTTGCCTATCTAGTTATATTTTTACAAATTTTACGAATTTTTTTCCGAGGATAGCTTCTATTCCACTTACAAAAAACACCATATTTTCCAGACGGTAAAAATAGTCACCCAGTGGTGTCGGTATGTTACCGGTGGCGACGTTGGCTCCACTGGGGTCCGCAGAGCCGGCGAGCTCGGCGGCCAGCAGGCGCAACAGCGGCGCGGGGGGCGCGGGGGGCGTGCCGGCGCCGCGCAGTGCGCTGCTCGCCTGGTATAGCCGCAGCCGCAGCAGCGCAGCCGGCGCTTTCAGGGCGCCACTTGCGCCGCGCACCACGTTGCCCACACTAAAGCAGTCACAACAGACATCTTAGCGGGAAATTCACTAGACGGACATGGCCACGGGCTATCAGGGCATGTCTGTCGTTGCACTACACTACACAGACTCATCAGTTTGTTTTAGACCGGCTACGTGATTAGTTGTGCGTGTATATTAAGATGACAACCTAGCCTTTATTTATTTTTTAATAATTTGGTGCTAAGAATGGTATAAAAATAGAAAAAAATTTAGCCATATCAAGTTACATAAAGAAAAAGTTACTATCAATAAAACTCATTGCAAATTAAAAATCTCCAAAGTTCATTAAATAATAATAAAAAGCCGTCTGCACTGGTTGCTGTCGCTCTTGTGCCCGTAAACAGATAGTCCGCAGTTAACATTCAGGTTCGAGCACGTCTGTGCCCGCGCAGACAAAATGAGATCGCGCGGACGTTCAACAGGCAAATCTGCCAGACCGACTGCGACGGTCCTACACAATCAAACTTTACACACACCTATAGTAGCCAAGTCGGGCAGGCATGTCTGCAAACATGCCCGTGGGCAAGTCCTTCTAGTGTCCGTTGCCCTTTTCATAAATTCAAAGCTCATGTAAAACAAATTTACATGAAAAAAGAATATACGTTATAAATTAGATGATTATTTAAAAGATACTCTCATTCTCATTGTACCTTAAAGTAAAAAGTAAAGTAAAGTTACAGCCTATATAGGTCCCACTGCTGGGCACAGGCCTCCCCTCATTTCTGAGAGGGTTTTTGGGCAAGGAAGTGTCCGCCGCGCTGCCCCAATGCGTGTTGGCGAACTTCACATGTTTTTCTTATTCCTCAGACATGCAGGTTTCCTAACGATGTTTTCCTTCACCGCCGAGCACGTTGTAAATCAGCACTTAAAGTTGCAAATAACAATTTCATTGGTGCCGGCGGAGATCGAACCCGGGTTACTCGCGTTCTGTTATATTTATAGCGAGTGTTAACCATCTGATCTACCACGGCTCTCATTGTACCTTACTCTCGATTAAATAAATATTACGCTCACTTGGTAAGCACAGCAATAGCACCATCAATGGGTTGTGTCAGTCTCTTCGCGGTATCATCATTATTAACCAGCGATGGACAATGAATGAGCAGACTATGTAACGCTGATAGTGCTCCCGCACGGCCTTCCAATGTCACCTATAACAAGTTTTACAATTTAATAATTAAATTAGTCAATAATATAATATATAAAATTTTATAATTTAATCACAATCTTCACCTGCCAAGTAAAAGCATCTCCTCTGGCCTTTTCAGATTCCAGTTCTTTGGCCGAACGCGGAAAACTATTTCTCCACAAAAGCAACATTCGTGGCAACAATCCACGCACCACGGGAACCCCTGCAACATTATGATTCTTTAAATAAGACTAGGAATTAGAGAAATTACATTGATGTAATTTTATAATGTTTCAACAAAAGAAATTACATTGTTGTAATTATATAATGTTTCAACAAGAGAAATTACAAGTTTTGTAATTTTAAAATGTTTCAACAAGAGAAATTACATTGTTGTAATTTTATAATGTTTCAACAAGAGAAATTACATTGTTGTAATTTTATAATGTTTCAACATTCATCAATTGATTCATTTATTACAGCCATTACAATTAAATTCCTGATGAAGAATTGATCTCCCAGTGTCCGCATGCTTCGCAAGCAGGTTGGCAACCGCAGTTTTTTTATTAGGGTTTTTTTCATAGGTTAGGGTGACAAACGAGCACACAGACCACCTGATGGTAAGTGGTTGCTGTGGCCCATAGACATAAACATCTACCCTCAGTTACGAATCAAAATGCAGATGCGTTGTCAACCGTGAGGACTAAGATGGAATGCCTCATTTCCAGTAAAAAGGGTCACCGGTTCACTCACCATACGAAACACAGCAATTATTAAGCTACTATTTGACGCTGGTATTCTGTGAGAGCGTGGTCCTTCCCCGGTCGAGCCGACCCATACGTGCTACAACTATACTACTAAATAACTGCGGCATGGCTCTACCACGTAAAAATTAGTATCAGATGGTACTACCCCTGATTTAGTTTCTCTCTGTCACCTCTTAAATTACCTACAGGATGATATGAGATAGGGAATTCTCTTACCCCGCTGCTACAGAGCAAATATAAAAAAAATTGTTTACCAGTAAGTAATTTTTGGCTTTAATAACTGTAAACCATACCGAGGGTACAAATAGCGCCGACAATTAACCATCCCGCGTTAGTCCGAGCGGCAGTTAGCCGACTGCTTTGGCCGGCTGAACGCAACAGTTGCTCCGCAGCGTTAAACGCCACTTTTCCCCTGCCGTGAGGGACTCCGAGCGGCGAGAGGTGAACTGCCCCAAGTATGGCTGCCAGGGCCGCTGAATAACCTAAAACATTTAAAAATTATTATATAGGCAAAAGTCTATGAATCGGCACCCATTAACTAACGTGAGATCGAAATACGATATGTCTTACGACCTCCATATAAACTATGTGTAACCATACGCGTGCGTCCACGCAGCGGTGTATTTATTTTATTTTTTTTTATTTTATTTTAATAAGGATAACAACAGCGTATATCACTAAATACAATTACAAATTTACTTCAAGTATGCCAATAACAGTTATCCACATATTAAATATAAAGGTAAGCTATTATTAAGATAAGAAATTAAACAAATTAAAACAACTTAATAAAATAACAGTAATAAAATTAAGTAATTTTAGGTTTACTAACACTAAGATATTAGGTCTTTCTGTAAAATTCATGTGTGATTTACTTTTCGAGTTAATTTTGTAATTCATTTATTTATATCATGGCAAAATATATTCTATATATCATTACATATATACATACATACACATACACATATATATATATGCATATATGTACATATATATATATATATATATATATAAATATATAATTCACTAAGGTAAATTAAACAACAGAAGCTGTGTTTAATATGCATGTACGCATACCCTGTTTCTAAAATCACTTTTACTGCTTATAAAGGGATCGATGGTATTAAATGTTTTGTTATAACTTGATAGCAAACGTGTTGAGATACTATTTTTACCATAAATTGTGGAATGACGAGGTATACTAAACAAAGTTTTCTTGGTGATTCTTGTACGTTTTCTTTGCACATTAAAAGTAACAGTATTCAGTAAATCCGGGCAGTCAATACCATCGCGTAAGATATCGTATAGAAATCCCATATCTAACAGTTTACGTCTTTCTTCAAGCGTAAGAAGGTTAAAGTGTCGGCAGTCATCTAAATATGATGAGCTTTTATGTTTAAATTTATAGTTCAGGTGTGAGATAAATTTACGTTGAATTCTTTCAATATTATTAATGTAAATTTTAAAAAAATGGTGACCAAACCTGGCATGCATACTCAAGAGTGGATCTTACATACGAGAAATAAACTATTTTAAAACTTAGTAATTCCGTAAATGGAAGACATGTACGCATGACAAATCCAAGATTACGAAATGATTTACTACATATACTATTGATATGATCTCGCATGGTCATACCGACATCAAAGAGTACGCCTAAATCCCGAACAACTGTGACCCTCTTAATTAAAATTCCATTAAAATTATAGGGAAATACTATTGGGTTTCGTTTTCTGGTGAAAGATATACATTGACATTTGGATATACTTACATTAATGCCGTTAGCTACGTAATAGTTGTATAAAGAGGTAAGATCTTTTTGAATTGACTCGCAGTCTTCAATAGTACGAACTTTGAGAAAAATCTTTTTATCATCGGCGTAAAGTAAGTGATGGGAGTTACTTATAAATTTATGTATATCAAATATGTATGCGTTATAGAAAAGAGGGCCAAGATGAGAGCCTTGAGGCACGCCAGATGGGACAGTAATAAAATCTGACCTGTAACCTCCAAGAACAACTGCCTGAGATCGATTCGTCAGATAAGATTTGACCCATCTAAGCAGATCCCCATGAATTCCGAGCGCCTGGAGCTTTTGTAGCAATACAACATGATTTACACGGTCAAAAGCTTTTTCGAAATCTGTGTATATAACGTCAATCTGACCACCATTTTCCATATTATTAAGAACGTACTCAGTAAAGCAGGCAAGATTAGATATTGTAGAGCGTCTTTTTAAAAAACCATGTTGTGAATTAGGTACACCTTTTATAATAATTGGATAAATTTTATCAAATACTAGTTTTTCAAAAATTTTCGCAACAGTGCTAAGAATCGAAATCGGGCGGTAATTATCTATTTTAGTTTTGGTTCCTTTTTTATGAACAGGAATTATATGCGCCCTTTTCCATGAGAATGGGAAAACAGAATTTTGTAGAGAAAGTTTAAAAAGTACAGAGATTGGGTAACTTAAACTGTCGGCGCAAGACTTCAAGAACACAGGAGGCACTCCATCATAACCAGCGCCTTTGTTTGAATCCAGGCTTTTAAGATACTTAAGGACAGCTTCGCGGGATACATTTATGCTAGAAATCTGATCTACACTCATATTGGTATGATTTTGAAACTCACTTGATGGTAAAGCAGAAGCAGAAAATACGCTTTTGAAATAGCTATTAAATGCTGAGCAAATGTCCTGCCCATGACAGTAATATTTATTGTCAAGAGAGAAATTTTGAGGATAAGTGGATGTCCCTCTTTTTGACTTAACATATTTCCAACAGAACTTTGGCGACGTCTTCAATTTTTTTTCAGTATTATACGTGAAGTATTCAAAACATTTATTTTGTATACGATGTTGTCTATCTCTAAGCAGTTTAAACTCTTCATAGTCACGAGGATTCTTCCATTTTTTCCATTTTTTATGGGCTTTTGATTTCTCCCGCAAAATTTTTATCAATGCAGGGCTGTACCAACATGGATAACAATTATTACAAGAAGACACAAGGGGAACAAATAGATCAAAGCATTCATTTAGTTTTTTATAAAAAATTTCTACAGCATGATCTACTGACGCGGTATTCATAAGTAACTCATTCCAATCAACTTTATTCAAAAAATCATTGATGATTGTATAATTACATTTACGGAAATTATACTTCGGTTGAGATTTCTCTTTTAAAGGTTTAATGGAGAGATCAGGGACTTCAACCATGAATGGAGGATGAAAATCATCCAATCTGGAAAGAGGATCCGATTTATTTATTTCTAAGTGTAAATTTGAAAAACACAAGTCAAGGACATTATTACAACGATTTTGAATAAAATTAAATTGATTCAAACCTAAAAAACTAAGATCCTCGGCCAAGGTATTAGCAGCTACCTGAACCCCATATTTGCCAATCGGTATTAATGACCAACCATCAGCATTCCATGTTAAACAAGGCAAATTAAAATCACCAATAATCATAAAGAAGTCCGAATGTGACGTTTGATAAAAATGCTCAAAACTGATTCTAAATTCATTAATATACTCAGCTAATTTACCTTCATCTGGTGGTATATAAACTAGTATAATATTTAAGTTGTATTGTGAGCCGAGAGATCGGGCTGGTAAGCTGACACATATAGATTCAATATAATTACAACTCCAATCTACACGCTTAGTCGCACCTAGTTCACGACGGGTACAAATCATTACACCTCCACCTGAACTCTTATTCGTAGCCACCAAGTCCCTGTCACAACGGAATATATCAAACCTCCCATCACATAATTCGTTATCAAATATATCATCTTGCAACCAAGTTTCAGTGAGGAGTATAACATTATAATTACATGATAGTATATTATTATATAAGTCAAGGCATTTTGTACGGAGACCACGTACGTTCTGATAAAATATATTTAATTTCCTATCTATAGACATCATTAAGGAGTGAATATGAATCTATAAAGTTTTTTTAATAACTTCCCGTACAACCAGCACGGTGCAAACAGTAAATAAAGATAGTGAGCAGTGAAAGTAAACCCAAGAGTACGTTTTTGTATACAGCATAAATAAGTAACAGCCTCACAACAATTACAATAGTGTATTACCTTAGAGACGGCCAAATCGTGGATACGGATGGATATGGTGGATACGGTAGACACATATGGCGGCAGTGACGATATGATTCCTACGATGCGGTAAATTATAATAGTTAAAAGAGTTTTACAAAATATGTTTTGTATACACCTATATATAGGTAGCAATACACACAATAACGTTATGAGGCATGTTTTATATAAACGTTTTAAGGACTTTATATAAATAAATGAAAAAAATACTTTATACAATAGTACGTATAAATAAACATATAATCTTATTGTTATACATACATACATATTGATATTATTGATAACAACTAAATAATAATGCTTACCTAGATAAATATAGCCTAACTTTGTGCACAACACAGTATGTTTAAATATAATATATAAGTACTGGTAGATGCAAATTACGATTAGATTAAAACGTACAAATAGTCAAACAATTTTTAAAATATCCGAGCTGTCTTTAATACGTAAAGAGTGAGTGGTATCGTTTTTCCTGACGAATATTTTACCATCACGAACCCACAAATATTGGTATAGGGCAGACTTCATTTTTAATTTAGTATTTTTAAGAAGTAGTTTGTTAGACGGTGTTAAGTGTTCATTTACATATATATTGGACCCCTCGTCAGGAAAGCCGATGTCACAAAGTCTAAGTCCTTTTTTTAGCACGCACCGCAGCAAGGATTGAATCGCGTAGCAAACGGGAACTCAGCTTCACTACAATTGCTTTGGGACGACCGGGAACCACCTTAAACGGACGAATCCTCGATATGTGAATTACGTCATTTGCTGATACTACGATTCCCAGGAAATTAGTTAAGTTACTAAAATGCAATAACAAATCCTCTCGTGTTTTTTCAGGGATTCCAGTAATCTCTAGGTTGTTAAGTCTAGCTTGTTGTTCAACTTCGTCCATTTTGATCTCAAGGGATCGAACTTGTGTGGACAGTTCTGTAGATTGAGAAGTGACACTCTCACATGCTTGCAATCGACTCTCAAATAAATCCAACCTTTGTATGGACGTGCTAAGAGATATTTCCATTTCGGATAAACGTGAGTTGGTTTCAGAGAGTGATTTATTAATTTTAGAGTTATCCTCAGTAAGTTTTTGTAAGGTTAAATTTATTTCACACAAGTTCGAAGTAACGTGTGATAGTTGTTCGGTAATTGCAGAGTTGACGGCGGTTGTAATACAGTTAGTAATGCTGTCATTCAAAAGTTTCATTTGCTGTTCCATCCTTTGCTCAAAAATTGCAAACATTCCATGATGTTCGCATTCCATTTGTTTCCTTTTACGCGAGTTAACGTAAGATTCCATATCTACCGACATATTAGATAAATATGGGTTTCGAGGAGATTTTGATCGGAGATGCGCGTTGCGAGTTGTTCATTGTTTACGACGACACAACAAGTTACACGATGAGTAGGACCGGGACGAAAAATAGCAGTCAGACTCTTCAAGCGGGGGGTGAGGCGCCCCTCAGTTATGACCACGAGCAGCGGAGCGAGTACGAAATCGAAACAGTGGCAAAAAAACAAAAATTAAATTGCACTGCACTTTACGCACACAGTATTAGCGGTAATCGTTATTGCAACTAGGGTGATTATAACATGCACATTATAGACTAATTATCGCAGAAAGTTGTACACAACTGTTCACAAAGGCAGTCACGGTAGTAATGATATGATGATGTAGCGGTGCAGCGGCGCGCACACTTACCGGAGATGTTGTGCGACGTAGGGCGCGCTGTGTCCAGCGCGTCCACGCAGCGGTGTAGCGGTGCAGCGGCGCGCACACTTACCGGAGATGTGGTGCGGCGTAGGGCGCGCTGCGTCCAGTGCATCCACGCAGCGGTGCAGCGATGCAGCGGCACGCGCACTTACCGGAGATGTGGTGCGGCGTAGGGCGCGCTGCGTCCAGTGCGTCCACGCAGCGGTGCAGCGGTGCAGCGGCGAGCACACTTACCGGAGATGTGGTGCGGCGTAGGGCGCGCTGCGTCCAGTGCATCCACGCAGCGGTGCAGCGATGCAGCGGCGCGCGCACTTACCGGAGATGTGGTGCGGCGTAGGGCGCGCTGCGTCCAGTGCGTCCACGCAGCGGTGCAGCGGTGCAGCGGCGAGCACACTTACCGGAGATGTGGTGCGGCGTAGGGCGCGCTGCGTCCAGTGCATCCACGCAGCGGTGGAGCGGGGCAGCGGCGCGCACACTTACCGGAGATGTGGTGCGGCGTAGGGCGCGCTGCGTCCAGTGCGTCCACGCAGCGGTGTAGCGGTGCAGCGGCGCGCACACTTACCGGAGATGTGGTGCGGCGTGGGGCGCGCTGCGTCCAGTGCGTCCACGCAGCGGTGCAGCGGCGCGCACACTTACCGGAGATGTGGTGCGGCGTAGGGCGCGCTGCGTCCAGTGCATCCACGCAGCGGTGCAGCGATGCAGCGGCGCGCGCACTTACCGGAGATGTGGTGCGGCGTAGGGCGCGCTGCGTCCAGTGCGTCCACGCAGCGGTGCAGCGGTGCAGCGGCGAGCACACTTACCGGATATGTGGTGCGGCGTGGGGCGCGCTGCGTCCAGTGCGTCCACGCAGCGGTGCAGCGGTGCAGCGGCGCGCACACTTACCGGAGATGTGGTGCGGCGTAGGGCGCGCTGCGTCCAGTGCATCCACGCAGCGGTGCAGCGATGCAGCGGCGCGCGCACTTACCGGAGATGTGGTGCGGCGTGGGGCGCGCTGCGTCCAGTGCATCCACGCAGCGGTCTAGCAACGGTGTGATCTGGGCGGGAAGCGCCTCACACACGCAGCGCGCGCACCGCGCAGCCGCAAGTCGCGCCGCAACGCATGGGTGCTCCAACACCTCCACATGACAATTAATAACATTATAATTATGGAGGTAGGAAAGTGACGATCCTATCGCCCGCTGACGTAACAGTTAAGGGACAAAACTGCTACGTCTGCGATTTAAAGGTCCATCTTCTATATACACCCTTATAAATAATTATAATTAATTAATAAAAAAAATATTCTAATTTTAAATTAAAAATAATTGTATTCTTATACATTATTAATTGAAATATTATTTTACGGAATCTTAAAATAGTTAATTTAATCCGCGCACCGTTAAACCATTGCTCACCGATCTCTAATCGGAAACTCGGAGAATTACGTAGACGCGCACAATTCCCCGTTCGGGCTCTTCTTTGTTCATTTCTACTTAACACTGCGTGAGCCTAAACGAACAACAGTTGAATTTGCTTACCTACTTTCAAACTTTAAATTATTCAAAGTGCAGTTGATCCCGCTGGGCATCTACCTAAGCCTAACTTACTGCCGTTCTGTAAGCTAACGGACTGTTGGCCTACCATCCTGCCGAAACAGGTAAGAAACAAAATATTTGGACTTGGCTCAAGAGGTAACTTATATGTGGAGCGGTATACCGATTTAAATTATTGCTGTCGTTGTTACTGCGAACAGGTTGATCACGATTAGCCCTACGGTTCCTCTGGGACTCCGTAAAAAACCGCTTCGGGCTCAAATGCAGAAGACAATGCCTTTTAAATACTGCCGGCATCATCCACCTGCATGAATTCTATTAAACATATATTTTAATGTATCGTAGTTATTTGTATAGTATATCTTAAGTATTTATCACACCCATTTCAACTAGACAAGAGAACTAATAAAAATGTATTATATAAAATGCCATTCCCCTTTTTATCATAAAAAGATACAAACATAGAAGCACTGTCATATTTAACTACATAGCATCACAGACTTCATCTATCATCAACTATTTCAATATTTTAAATGGAAATGTAAATAATTACTATTTTAGCAATTGAACTCACCGTGAATATGGTGTCAATCATATTTAAAGATGTATCTGTTACAAGATTGTGAACGGATGTGCCGAGTTGCAGAGCCAATTCTCCGGCTTCTGTGAGAGCACAAACTAAGAGGTGCTGACTGAACAGGGTCTCCTGAAAATTAACATATTAATGAAACTACGGTTTCAATTTATTTTATATATAAATTCAATCTGTTAGCAAAGGCCTACTGGGGCCATAGACACTTATATGCTATATCGTCAATCAAGAATTAGTTTAAGGACATCTTTTTTTTTTCAAGTGAAAGCTGGGGCCCATAGACATCCACATGTATCCTTGATTAAGAATCAAAACGCAGATGCATTATCACCCCCGAGGATTTGATAATTCAATCCAACACCTTTTGCCTAATAAATTTTAATAATGATATGTACAAAACTAATTCAAGTCAATAACCATTTAATACATATTAGAAAACAAAATAAAAGTTTGTAATAATAAGGCCAGTCTCAAAGGAAGCTAGCCATCTGCGCAGAACAGTAGTTGTTACGGCCTCTAGTTACCCGGGCAAGGTCGTGGGACCCGGGCCCATCAGGGGTTCCACTCGACGAGTAACAGGAGGTCGGCCTAAATGGCTTGTGGAATATTACACGTTAGCGGTAAAAAAGGGAACCAAACAAAACTTACTTATTTCTTCGAAGTAGGGTCAACCCTAGGAAGATTCAGGTGTAAGTGTGTGCGTGCTGTATTGTGTTGTGTTGTGTTATATTATGTAACCTGACTTCCCGCTGGTTGCAGAACCGCCGATCCCAAGGCTTCACCTCTATTCTTTATATCGAAGTGGCAGTCCGTCACAAAAATTTAAGAGTCTCGGAAATTATACTCGTTTCTCACTTGTTAATTGGAGTCAAGTCAATTATCATTAGGTTAGTCCAATAAATTCCAACAAGATTTAACCGAACGCGCGTTACAACAAACTCGACACTTGTGAAAATGCAATATCACCGGGCCGCGTTGCAAACAACTCAGGTTCGCGAAGTATAGGCGTCAGAGGCAGCGGGCGACTCAGCTATTAACACGACGCGCAACTACTCAGTTCCAAGCTCTGCGGCAAGTGTCCCAAAACGCTGACGCCGGCGCGGCCGTCTGCCGCACCTGCCCGCACCCCCCCGCGCCTCCGCCGTCAGGTTCGTTTCCCGCTCGACCCGAGCGCCGACGCAAGTTGCCAAACGTTAAAATTAGGCCTAAACAAGCCCCCCGTCCCGGACATGAGGATCTAGGTCCGCGAGTAAATTGGCAAACGGGATAGGGTAGAGACGGCACGTTGCAAAACCGAATCTCCAACCAAAACCTCGGCCACCCTAGGCATCCCATCCGGTCCATACGACAACTTGACAATGCGCCCACGGCGCCAATACAAGGGCGAGGCGTTAGGTTCTTTAACTAACACGAGGTCTCCAACCCGAGGGGGGGTCCGTCTTGTCAGACCACTTAACGCGCTGCTGCAAAAGATGTAGGTACTCCATAGACCATCGGTGCCAAAACCTCTGAGTTATTTGTTGCAGCATGTCAAATCTGCTCAACCGCGAAGAGATTATTTCCCGGAAGGGGTACTCGGGCAGGGCGTTAAGCGGCTGGCCTATCAGGAACTTCTTGGACATCGCAGTAGTTAAATAGGTCCTGTTGCTAGACAGAAATTCAACGACCTCCTTCAAATACCTATCAGTACCCTTATAATTCGTTCCGCAATCCGACCGGATCAGGTCCGGTAAACCGCGACGCGATACGAAGCGACCCAGTGTGGACAAAAAGGCCTCCGTGCTAAGGGCACTTACAAGTTCTAAGTGAACAGCCTTAGTGGAGAGGCACACGAAAACGCACAGATAGGCCTTATGAGCACGCGCGTTACGAAGGTTAGAGGACTTGACGAGTAAGGGGCCAGCGAAGTCAGTTCCGACTCCCGCGAATGGTCGGATGGCCCTGACGCGGTCGGGTGGTAAGTCGCCCATCATCGGCTGTGATATGGGGGCCTTCAACTTATAACAAGATATGCACTTAAAGATGACGCTCCGAATGGTGCGTCGACCCGCCAAAATCCAAAACTCCCGCTGCAAAATAGCCGAAAGAGCGTTGCACCCAGCGTGGGCATTCTGAACATGGTAGTGAGTTACCAGCAACCGAACAAAGGCGCCGTCCTTGGGGAGCAGGAGAGGGTGTCGAGCCTCGTACGGCAGTTGAGAATTTTTCAAGCGTCCGCCCACGCGAAGCATCCCCGAGTCATCCAGGAAGGGGTTCAGGCGGGCCAGCGCACCCTTGACAACTAAGCCCCGCTTCAAGGTATCAATCACGAGCTCGAAATGCTCCGCTTGGATCATACGGGTCCAATGCATCAAGGCTTCGCGCCGCTCGTTAGGGGACAAGGCGGAATCAGATATTCGGTTAGATGGGTCTCTCGAGTTGCGGACAAATCGACGCAATCAAGCAGTCACTCCCAAGAGCTTGTCGAGAGAGCTGTACCGTTCTAGTAAGGAGAGATCACGAGTGGGCTTATCCTTGACCACTCCTACTCGGGCTCGTAGGCCAGGCAATTCAATTGGTTCAGAGTATTTGTTCTGGGGCCAGAACGCCTGAGACTCAGTTAACCAGCCGGGCCCCCACCACAGCGGGTGATCAACCAAATAGGAGGCTTCACAGCCACGAGAAGCACAGTCTGCTGGATTCAACTCCCCCTGGGACATGTCTCCACGTTAGACAAGTGACAGAATTCTGGATTTGGGACACGCGGTTCGACACGAAGACCTCAAGATTGTGAGGTGCCGCTCGGAGCCAACAAAGTACTATCTCACTGTCCGACCAAGCGTAGACGTCCGTAATGTCGATTACCGACTTCAAGGAGGAGTGAACGTGGTTGAGCAGTCGCGTGAGAAGAGCAGCTCCAGACAGTTCCAACTTAGGAATAGTTAAGCGGGACCTAATGGGAGCCACCTTGCTTTTAGCAAGTACGAGATGGACGGAAGTATGGCCAGAAGAGCTCACCGTCCGCAAATATACAACAGCAGCATAACCCTTCTCAGAGGCGTCGCAAAATCCGTGCAGGGTAACCCTGCATTTCCCTGGAGGGAGGAAGCACCTTGACATGGAGACCCGGTCGATGTCTGGAAGGAAGGACACAATTGAGAGCCACTCTCGCAAGAGAGCACTGCTTATAGGATCGTCCCAGCCCAACCCGGATATCCAGAGTTTTTGAAGGAAACACTTAGCCAAAAAGATGACCGGAGTAATCCAACCATTAGGATCGAAGGTGCGAGCTACAGTTGACAACACAGAGCGCTTGGTCCATGATTTAGGGGGGGGATCGAGCTTGACTCGATACGTGAAGGTATCCTGAACAGGCTGATATTGAATGCCAAGCACAGTCAACAAATTAGGATTGTCAGGGTGCTCGAATAGATGAGGGTCTTGTTGATCCTCTCCAGGGAGGTCCTTCAAAATATGAGGGGAGTTCGACAACCATTTGCGCAGCTCATAGCCTCCCGACTTCAAGATGGCAATCAATTCGTCTCGCAATACGAGAGCCTCCTCGACGGTGGAGGCACCCGTACAAATATCGTCCATGTAGACCGAGGTCTCCAAAATAGAAGCCCCCCGAGCGTATCTTAGGCGCTCTCTCTCAGCGAGTTCGAGGAGGGTTCGCATAGCGACATACGGGCTGGATCGGAGTCCATAGGTGGTGGTGTTCAACTCGAACACTTGTATCGGATCGCTGGGCTTCTCGCGCCACAGGATCAGCTGATATCGACGGTCATCACGGTGGACCACTGATTGTCGAAACATCATCCGAATGTCGGCTACAAAAACAACTTGATGCCGACGGAAGTGGGTCAAAATGTCGGATATGTCCTTGATCAATTTAGGACCAGAGTGGAGACACTGGTTCAGGGACACCCCATTGGACGAGGGGGCGGAGCCGTCGAAAACCACCCGAATCTTACTCCCAGGGGACTTCAAAACCGCGTGGTGGGGGAGGAAGTAGTGTTCATGTGATCGCCAGTCGAAATGAGAAGGTGACATGTGACCCAGCTCTTGATATTCGCGCATGAACTCGATATACTTGTCGCGAAAGGCTGTGTCGCGACGCATACGGCGCTCCATAGAAAGCAACCTCTTTTCGGCCATGGTCCGAGATTGGCCCAAAGGAGGCCGTGAGTCAAGAAAGGGTAAGCGGGTGACAAAGCGACCGTCGACACGGCGGCCGGTATTGTTCTGGTAGAACAACTCGCACTCACGGTCCAGAGGGTTGACTCGAGGCGTGTGTGGCGGCTCCTCAATTTCCCAGAACCGCTGGACGACGTCCGAAAGAGACACGCCCGCCACAGGGAGCGGGTCGGCTGCCTGATGCGGTGGAGACCACAGAACCGGTCCAAAGAAACTGTGCCCAAATACAGTGGACACGGCTGACAAGCCATCGGGCTGTAGGGCTCGTATCTCGCCTAACAGGATGAACCCCAGCACGTCGGCCCCCAGCAACAAATCTATAGGCCCAGGTTGGGACCATTGAGGGTCTGCCGGTCTCAAGCCAGACGTACAACAAACCGCGCTATCATTTATACGGGCATTAGGGAGAAAGCCTACAATATCATCGAGGACATTTACCTTAACTAAGATGTGGAGGTGTTCGCTTGCAGGACCAAACACCAGCCTTGCTTGTCCCCTAGGAGCAGGAGGCTCTGCACCTCCAATACCTACCATTGGACATGATTTAGAGCTCCAGGGGGAGCCCTAGTCTTCCACCAACCGAGTGGAGGCCACACAGCGTTGTGAACCTGAATCCAATAGAGCGCGAACAGTTAAGCAGTCGCCACTCGGGTTGTACACCTTCACGGCGGCCGTCGGCAATAGAACAGTTTGACAGGTGGACTGCGGACGGCTTAAAGGATCAGTGAAGGCGGCCGTGGTGGGCGCTAGGGCGGCAGTTTCCTAGCGGGAGCTGCCTTCGTCGGACCGGCACTCAAGCCGGGGGGTCCGGAAAACGGAATTCCGGCGGCATCTCACTGACCCGTGGACGAAAATCGCAGAACGGGCCGACCTGGGGGGCTTCTGGGAACCTTGGCCTGGAGGCCCTGGACAGCTTCGAGGTCTCAGGGAGCCCGTAGTAGCGGGACCGACCAAAAGGGGGGGGTGGTACTCCAGTCGCGGCCTCTCTGCTAATGGGGGTGAGAAGGATCTCGCTGACCGCTGAGTGGCCGTGAAGTCCCTCTCGACCCTCCGAGGGGGGGTGACGAACCCCCCGCCCCCTGGGGGGAACGACCCCCCCGACTGGTCGTAAGAGGAACCCCCTCCAAACCCAGGTGCAGGGTCGTCGGTAGGAGAGCGACGAGCGTCACCTGTCAGAGGGGGTGGCTGGGCGCCCCCGCCCGTGGGGGATGAGGGCCCGGCAGAGCCCCGAGAGAAAGAGCCGTTCGCGCCCAGGCACAAAACGGCGTGGTGCTTGCCCTGGCAGTGCGGACAGGGCCGCTGGTGCGGGCAGTCTCGTTGGAGGTGCCTTTCTAAACATGAATAGCACCAGCGGCGCTCCCTGGCGATGGTTCGTCTCGCTGAGGCAGGCTTGCCTAATAACTTAGGGCACGACGTCACCCGGTGTTCTGCTGCTCTACAATAGGAGCAGGGGGGGCGCCTTCCTGGCCACTAGGCCACTATAAGATGATAGGAGGGGGCGCCCTCCCGCAGGAGCACCACTCGGTCTGAGGGGGGTTTACAACGACTTGGCCGGGGGGTTTCGCCTTTCCCTGGTCACGGTTCGGTTAGCAGTCCGTAGATCTTCGGCGGTGCCCGCTGCGTTTTCGATCTGCCGGCACTGCTCCTCCAAGAACCGCAGCAGATCACTAAAGGGAGGAATATAGGAGGCGCCGTCTCCGCCGTACCTCTCCTCAAAATGGAGTCGAAGATCGAGAGGTAGGCGGGACAGCACAATATGGAGCAACAAAAAGGACCATTCGTCCACCGGCAAATCCAGCCGTCTCAACGAGTTGCAGGCCACCAAGACCGGATTTACGATGTCCGGTCGTAGTCGGGCCCGGTCCTTTAGCAGCGGGAGGTTCAACAGGAGTTTGACGTGCTCGTCCGCAATTCGCCGTACGTTGGCATACCTTCCGGCCAGGAGGTCCCGAGCGTTCAGGTAGGCGTCGTCCGACACCTTCAAATGGCCGACGACGCCCAAGGCCTCCCCCCTCTAATGAGGCCAGGAGATACGCCATCTTCTGGCTTGGTGTTAAATCCCTCCGGGCATCCACCAGGCTGTCAAAAAGTCCCACAAACGTTAACCACTCGGAGAGGACCACCCGGAGAACCTTGGCAGGTCCAGAGTGGGAAGTCGTCCCAACAGCTCCGGGTGAGTGGGCTGCTTCCGAGGGGACTCGAGCAGGACACCCAGCCGAGCTTCACGTGCGTCACTAGCCTGCTTGGCCCCTGCCTCAATCAGGTCATCCGTGAGAGCAAAAAATTGCTCATAGTCGGAAAGACAGGAGTCTAGGACTCCCTGTTCCGCTCCCGAAGCCATAATCTCGGAGCATGCCTCCTCCACTACGGCCCTTCGGGTCATGACTTGCTCGAGCCGCTTCTCCAAGCTATGGATCCTATCTGGTCTCCCTATCAAGCTGTGAGCATTCGCAGCCCAGCGCAGTTCCGCTTGCAAGCGAAGCGTCGGTGACCGGTGTGAAGGCATCATTACAAGGTACGATTATCACCGAATTAAATTTAGTACAAATTACTTTACACAATTAGTTTAATTACCACAATAAAAATAATACAATACAAAATACTATTTATCCAATCAGTAAATTATACTACGCAATTAATTTAATTAGTACAATTACGGTTCGTCCTCACGATTATTATAACGAGAGTACAATAATTCCTTACCACCACGGCTTACGGGCGTGGCTCAATTCTAACACTTAACAAAGTAAGCGACCAGATAAAGTAAATAAAAAACTCAAAAAATACGGTTACTACACGGTTCTATACACCGATCCTATGCTAACAAATAACAAGCGAATAAAACAAATTATTATTACGTATTGCAACAAACACAACCAGCAGCCACGTGGTTACAACCGCTATCTTGCTACCAACTTACGTATTGCGCTGGGAGACTACGCTACTCCTACCAAAACGTTACGTATTGAGCTGGGAGTGGTTTCAAAACCCATCAGGAAAACCACGCACTGCTACCAAATGTTACGGCCTCTAGTTACCCGGGCAAGGTCGTGGGACCCGGGCCCATCAGGGGTTCCACTCGACGAGTAACAGGAGGTCGGCCTAAATGGCTTGTGGAATATTACACGTTAGCGGTAAAAAGGGAACCAAACAAAACTTACTTATTTCTTCGAAGTAGTGTCAACCCTAGGAAGATTCAGGTGTAAGTGTGTGCGTGCTGTATTGTGTTGTGTTGTGTTATATTATGTAACCTGACTTCCCGCTGGTTGCAGAACCGCCGATCCCAAGGCTTCACCTCTATTCTTTATATCGAAGTGGCAGTCCGTCACAAAAATTTAAGAGTCTCGGAAATTATACTCGTTTCTCACTTGTTAATTGGAGTCAAGTCAATTATCATTAGGTTAGTCCAATAAATTCCAACAAGATTTAACCGAACGCGCGTTACAACAAACTCGACACTTGTGAAAATGCAATATCACCGGGCCGCGTTGCAAACAACTCAGGTTCGCGAAGTATAGGCGTCAGAGGCAGCGGGCGACTCAGCTATTAACACGACGCGCAACTACTCAGTTCCAAGCTCTGCGGCAAGTGGCCCAAAACGCTGACGCCGGCGCGGCCGTCTGCCGCACCTGCCCGCACCCCCCGCGCCTCCGCCGTCAGGTTCGTTTCCCGCTCGACCCGAGCGCCGACGCAAGTTGCCAAACGTTAAAATTAGGCCTAAACAGTAGTGCATAAGTGTATGCACAAGCACAAGTGAACTCTCTATTCCCTCACTCTCCCAGTCCAATGGGGCGAAAATCGGAGAGATGAGGCGCAAGACCAACGACTCTATGTGCTTTCCGAGACACGAAGGTGAAACACCGACTGTAGAATCTAGACTACTGTTCACAATTTCTTGAAAGAAAAACATAGATCACCAGTCGCTCATTTGACCACTAGACAAAAATAACGGGCAGACATTCAACGAGTGGTCGAGATTAAAAAAAAACAATAATTATTTAAATGAAATAATAATGTAACCAAATTAAAAAAAAATATTATGTAATTTTTTATTTAAATACCTGATTGCAATCCTTTGCATTTTCTGGGTTAAAATCGATGCTGTTCATTTGCTTGGCAACAATCTGTATAATTTCACGACAAGCGGATGCTTGTGCTTTCTCCCCAAGCATTTTACCTAATGTGTTGCGTAGTATATAATTTATGCACTTCCTAAAAATATTAAATTCAATAATTGTTAATGGGTTGAAATGCGACAAACAAAAATCCAGTCTACCTGGTCATAAACGCCGGCTGTGTCCTATAGACACTGTGGCCAACAAAAAAAAAACACAATGTGTGAATCAAAATGCAAATGTTTTGTTATCCCTATAGACTTTAAAAGGGTAAACATTTCACATCTATGTAGGTATTTTGTGTGTAGTTAAGCTGACTCAATTTTTCTTCGGCAAGCATATTATGCATGGTGGCATGAATTGCCTTGCCACAATGGCTCATGAGGCTAATGGCTCACAATAAATTTTACAAGACGCGAGCAATTAGAATCCGATTCCCAATAGAGCCAATTAAATTGTTGATTGTAATTTTAATTGCTTATTTACCATGTAGCCTACTTATTGTATATTATACGTACATATACATAATACACACATATATTATTTATTTAATATTATTTAATATATTATATATTTATATTATTTGTTTTATATATTTACATAATTATATCTAATTATTTACAACTATTAAATAACCTGAATTCCACCGTTACATATTAGAATACAAATATAATATTTAATAATAAATCATTATTTACATTTAACCTAGTGTGCATTGGAAACACGCTAAACAACTATACCGTTGGAATGCAGTTCCCTGCGCCTGGGCAGTCAACGCCGCGCACCGCGCTTATCAGTCCGCTTAGCGACAGCATATGCGAAGCCCATGTCGCCTGGCTAACCGAGTGCTCTGTTGCTAGCTCGCGAATAATATCTCTAAATAATTTGGTGTATATTATCACTGTCTACTCCTTCAATTTTTGTATAGTTAGTGACTCTTATGTTGTGTTATGTGGAACTATATATAATATACTTGTGTACCTGTTTCTACTGATTAAATATTAACTTTATTCTGTACGCTTGGACTTCGTTAATTATTCCCAGACTGTGACCTACACATATGACACACATACCTACCGTCTCACTATAAATGGTGACCCCGATATGGACACAAAGATTAAAATGAGTGATAGCAGTGATTCCGCGAAAACGGTTGGATCACGCCACGGTGCCAACGTCACTATGCGACGGGCACGCCCAGCGCGCGTTTCCATGGAACGTGAAAATAAATATGTGCCTAAATTAAAAATTAAAGTTCCACCATTCTCACCTGAGGATCCAGATCTTTAGTTCGCACTTATTGAAGGTCAGTTTGCTAGTCATGATGTCACTGACGATTTCATTAAGTTCACGGAAGTGACCAATCATTTGGATATGAAATACGCAAAAGCCGTGAAGGATATTATTGTCAAACCTCCAGCTCATAATTGCTATGACAAGATCAAATCAGAGCTGATCAAACGACTTTCAGCTTCTCACGAAAAGAAGGTGAAGCAGTTGCTGACCCATGAAGAACTTGGGGACAGGAAGCCTTCACAATTTTTGAGGTACCTTCAAGATTTGGCTGGTCCTTCAGTTCCTGAGGACTTCATTAGGTCGATTTGGAGCAATCGCCTGCCGCATAATATTCAGACTGTGCTGGCATCGCAGCCGAGTCATTCGCTAGAGCAACTTGCAGATCTAGCTGATCGTATACAGGAGCTGACGTCACCTTGCAACATCGCTGCCACATCTTCCCGTGATATGCATGTATCTCATCCGTCCGATGAGATTGCAGAGTTGAAGAAGATGGTGCAGCAGCTTACACTGAAACTGGAAGAGCATACTACACGTGCATCGTGCTGTTCTACAAGTCGTGGTCGTTCCAGAGCGCATCATCGTCGTCGTTCTTCTTCGAGACAGAGAAGCAGATCCAATTCCAGCTATCGTAAATACCCGATGTGCTGGTACCACGCGAAGTATGGAGCGATGGCCCATAGATGCTTGAAACCCTGCGATTTCGACAAGTCGGGAAACTCCACGGGCAGTCGCTAATGGCGGCAAACGATTGCCCTTCGTCTACGGGTCGCCTTTTTGTAACCGACCGCAGCTCGAACATCCAGTTCTTGGTTGATACTGGCAGTGACCTGTGCGTCTACCCTCATTCTGCACTTCGGGAGCGTCGAGCCAAGAAAAGTTATCAGTTAAGTGCTGCCAATGGATCGATCATTGACACTTTTGGTTTTATAGAGCTTAATATAAATTTAGGCTTAAGACGCTTGGCTTTCACTGTTGCTAATGTTACCAAACCTATTATAGGTGTTGATTTTCTTAGCTTTTATAATTTAATTGTAAATTGCCGCAATCAACGCCTTGTTGATAATACCACTACATTGTCATCAATTGCTTCTTTTGCTAAAGCTGATATTGCTTCTATCAAGGTTTCGACAGGCGACACGCGTTATCACCGTATTTTGAATAAATTTCCTGAAATAACACTCCCTTCAGGCACTCTGGTTGTTCCAAAGCACAATACGGTGCACTACATTAGGACTACACCAGGACCCTATCTCATGTACACCTCGTAGACTGGCACCTGATAAACTTAAGATTGCCAAACAGGAATTTGAGCTGATGATTAGTAATGGCACCGCGCGGCCTTCTAGAAGCCCCTGGGCTTCACCTCTGCACCTTGCGCCTAAGAAGAATAACGGCTGGCGCCCCTGTGGTGATTATCGTATGCTTAATGCACGGACTATTCCAGACCGTTATCCTATTAGGCACATACATGATTTTTCCTACAGCATAGCTGGTTGTACTGTCTTCTCCACCATCGATTTGATGAAGGCGTACAACCAAATTCCAGTTTTTGAAGAAGATATACAGAAGACCGCTATTACTACACCCTTTGGGTTATTTGAATTTCCCTTTATGAATTTCGGCCTGAGAAATGGAAGCCAAACCATTCAGAGATTTGTTGACGAGTTGACGCGAGGCCTTGAGTTTTGTTATGCCTACTTGGATGATTTTTTGGTCTTCTCCAAGGACGAGGCAGAACACGAAGCTCACCTTCATCAACTTTTCACTCGCATGAAGGAATATGGCGTTCTTGTCAACACATCAAAATGCGTCTTCGGCACAAGCGAAGTAACATTTTTAGGTTACCGAATTTCGGGATCTGGCACCAAACCTCTGGAATCCAAAGTCGAAGCCATAAAGGACTTTCCCGTGCCTAAAACTGTAAGGCAACTTAGGCGATTTCTAGGAATGCTCAACTTTTACAGACGTTTCCTACCTCAGTTAGCTTTAATCCAAGCCCCTTTAAATGCACTTCTTGCCGGTTCTGTTAAAGCATCTCACCCAGTCGATCTGACTGGTGATGCACTTGTAGCCTTTAACAGGTGCAAACAGAGCCTTGCTGATGCTGCATTACTCGCACACCCGGATTGTCAGGCCGAACTTGCGCTGGTAACAGACGCATCCAACCTGGCAATGGGTGCAGTTTTACAACAATTAAAAAGTGGGGTTTGGCAACCTTTAGCATTCTTCTGGCGGAAGTTGAGTCCCTCTCAACAAAAGTATTCACCCTACGACCGCGAGCTTTTAGCCATATACGAAAGTATTAAATACTTTCGTCATATGCTAGAGGCTAGACATTTCGTGATATTTACTGATCACAAGCCGCTCAGTTATGCTTTCAACGAAAGAAAAGCTAACTGTTCGCCTCGACAGTATCGTCACCTCGACTATATCTCACAGTTCACGACCGACATTAGACATATATCGGGAAAAGACAATGTCGTCGCTGACCCACTGTCACGTGTCGAGGAACTGCAGATACCTATCGACTTAGATGTACTCGCTTCATCTCAAGCAGCTGATCGGGAACTGACTCAACTTCTCAAAGGTGAATCTTCACTCCAATTAGAAAAGTTGAGAATTCCTAACTCTCAACTTGAGCTTTATTGTGACGTTAGCACCACCACACCTAGGCCTTTTGTTACCAAGCCTTTGAGGAGACAACTCTTTGACAGTCTTCATAGTCCAATCCATCCAGGCGCCAATGCTAGCGCTAAATTAGTAGCTGAGCGATTTGTCTGGCCTGGGGTTCGTAAAGACTGTCGGGAGTGATCTCGACAATGCTTAGCTTGTCAGCGCGCTAAGGTTCATCGGCACATATCTTCACCACTAGGCACTTTCGAACTACCTCGCGCCCGATTCACTTTCGTGCATGTGGACATTATTGGACCCCTTCCTATTTCCTAGGGTTACCGCTACTGCTTGACTGCGGTGGATCGTTTCACACGATGGCCAGAAGTCATACCAATGGCAGACATAACAGCCGAAACAGTTGGAAAGGCATTAATATCGTGGATATCCAGATTTGGATGCCCAACTGATATTGTCACTGATCGTGGTCGACAGTTTGAATCGTCACTTTTCCAATACCTTGGAAAGATGATTGGATTCAAACATCGTAGAACAACCGCGTATCATCCAGCCTGCAACGGCCTAGTAGAACGATTCCACCGTCAGTTAAAAGCAGCCATAATGTGCCATGCTGATAACAATTGGGTAGACACGTTACCTTTGGTATTATTGGGCATTAGGAGTGCATATAAGGATGATCTTCAAACATCATCCGCCGAATTGGTTTACGGAGAGCCTTTACGTTTACCTGGCGAATTCTTCCAGGCCGTAGCTCCCGACTCAACCGATATATCGGACTTTACCACCCGACTGCACCAATTAACGTCAAAGCTGCAACCTTCAACTGCTGCGCGCCACAATAAAGTAAAAATTTTTATGCACAAGGACTTATTTTCATCAAGTCATGTATTTTTAAGGGACGATGCATTACGTGGCTCTTTGCAGCCCCCCTTACACTGGTCCGTACCAAGTATTAGAACGTAATGCCAAAACATTCAGAATTTTAATAAAGGGTAAAAGCGTCACAGTATCCATAGACCGCCTCAACCCAGCCTATATGCTGATAGACCCATCTTCTAACCCTATCCGTACTCCCACTCTCACATCCAACCCCAATCCCGGTTCCTTCCTTGATCCTATTCCAAAAGAGCCCAATGCTCCAGCTCAGGATGACGTCAGAAGGACGCGTTCAGGCCGCACAGTTCGATTTCCAGAGTTTTATCGCCCGTAGTGACGGTCTCAGGGGGGAGTGATGTAGCCTACTTATTGTATATTATACGTACATATACATAATACACACTTATATATTATTTATTTAATATTATTTAATATATTATATATTTATATTATTTGTTTTATATATTTACATAATTATATCTAATTATTTACAACTATTAAATAACCTGAATTCCACCGTTACATATTAGAATACAAATATAATATTTAATAATAAATCATTATGTACATTTAACCTAGTGTGCATTGGAAACACGCTAAACAACTATACCGTTGGAATGCAGTTCCCTGCGCCTGGGCAGTCAACGCCGCGCACCGCGCTTATCAGTCCGCTTAGCGACAGCATATGCGAAGCCCATGTCGCCTGGCTAACCGAGTGCTCTGTTGCTAGCTCGCGAATAATATCTCTAAATAATTTGGTGTATATTATCACTGTCTACTCCTTCAATTTTTGTATAGTTAGTGACTCTTATGTTGTGTTATGTGGAACTATATATTATATACTTGTGTACCTGTTTCTACTGATTAAATATTAACTTTATTGTATACGCTTGGACTTCGTTAATTATTCCCAGACTGTGACCTACACATATGACACACATACCTACCGTCTCGCTATAACCACATTACCATTGCGTTGGAGGATGAAAACATAAAATTAATATATATGCACTATTCTTAAAGTTATATTTATTTACACTTTAATACACCTTAATAAAAAGGATTACAAAGGGCCTTAATGCCTTTAGGCATTCTCTCCCAGGGCCCGGGAACTAATTAATAATTATCTAATTAATAATGACAAGGACATGTAACTACACAAACATACCTGGAATAAACGGCGTCTACATGTGAACTGGCAGCTTTAGGATTGGCAACTAAATCCAGCACATGAGTAAGGAATGTAGTCATGTTTCGTTCCAACCAAACGCCACCCATGTTCTGCACGAATATCACATATGCCTAGAAAATCACATATCTAGTTAAAAACAGTGCTAAACGCGTTATTTATCACATTTTATTAAAATATGTTGAAAAAATATCTTTAAAGTTGCCAACGCTTAAGCACACGATGCATTATACAAGGAGGAAAAAATTCATTTTAAAAAATCCTACCAGTTTGAGAGAGGGTTTAGTAAGTGAGCCATTGGAAGCTGATGATGATCAGATCAAAAAATATATCTTTATACCTAAAGTATTTAAAATTATATTTTTTATTCATACTAATGTGTTAAAGACAAAACTTTGCAGGTGAATAACTAAAGATACTATAAAGAATTTAACAGTATTCTATTTTTCATTAAGAAATATAAATAAAAGACACTTACGTGGGTAACACAAACTCTAACTTCTCTGTTGACGCCTGAGCCAGATTTAATTATATCACCCTTCAGGAACGATGTGCCTCCTCTCAAGAAGGCACCCATTAACAGATTCAGAGCTTCGTCTAAGGACACTACATTCTTTTGGGAATCCTTTTTGCTTTGTTGAACTGTCAATAATATTAATGTTTATTAAAAGAACACAGCAATGTCCATATTATAAAATATATAGTAAATAAATCAAATTAATAGGAAGTTATTTCTTCGAAAATATGATGTTAAAATCCTTTAAATAAAATGTGTGTGGTACTGAATTATTTCTATTAATAAAATTGCAGTTTATAAACACAAGTTGCAGTTGTATAACCACAAGTTGGAAGGCATTTCATTCTGGTTCTCAGGAACAATCATACACTTAAAGTTTTCTTTTCGACCGACTTTCAAAAAAGAGGAGGTTCTCAATTAGACTGTATTTTTTATGTGTGTTAGAACTTATTTTCTAGGTGAACCGATTTTGATGATTTTTAATTGAAAGCTGGTGCTTCTCATGTGGTCTCATATAAATTTGATCAAGATCTGACCAGTAGTTTTTGAGTTATCCTTAATAATGCGTATTTAATTGCCTTTGAATACATTGTTCTCATTTTATGTATATTGAATTCGGTTGTACAAAATTTTACCACTTGTTTAGGTCTCAATAGCCACTTAACATCAAATTGACTGTTGGCCCTCACTTGAAAAGTGAAACTTTCATTTAAAAAAATACAAACAAAAGGATGCCACTAACATTTTATAATATTCTACATAGGTTTCCACAATCAATGCACACAAGAATAATGATTTCTTAAATTTACGCAAACACCACATTAAATAAAACTATATTTACGGATTTTATCGCGTTTAATCAACTCTGCTGAATCACCGTTCGTAACAACTTTTACTTGCCTGATTTAAGATCTTAGCGCTTCCTCAAATGTCCTTTTTTGTTAATATTGTCACGAGCTTGAGGTTCGTGACAATAAAAATTGCCGATAGAATTACCTAAATTAACACTTTAATTCACTTTACAATAATTAAAGTTAAAAAACACTAATAATTAATCACACTGATTCACTTTATTCCGCTCCGAAGCTTCGCGTGTCTCGCCAACTTCAATACTTCCCCGATCGCACCTTGCAGCGCCTATAAATACACCTTAGCACCGAATCATCCAGAACATTCAAGTAAATACGCGCACCGATCGACAAAGCGCCGAAAGTTCGAGAGTCAGCTTCCAGAAGCTTAGTTCTTCTGTTCGATACTAGATGGCGCTAGTGCCGTCGACTTCGGCGCGTAACAATATTTTGAAACACATAGGAATGAGATTATTGTCTGCATCTCTTCAAGAAATTTTAAGATGTTATATATCTTGCGCGCTTGGTTTTAAGATCTAATCGGCGAATATTTGCTATTACCAGTCCGTACGAGTTCACATAATGATTTGATTGAAGTTGATTAAATGCGATAAAATCCGTAAATATAGTTATATTCAACCCACAAGATTAGTTAAAACTATGAAAATCATACAGATTAGTAATTAAATCAAATCAAATCTTAAGGTTAATAAAATAGAGTAAAAATATTGCTTACCCGACTGAATGCCCATTTTCATCTTATTATTTGTATTAGAAACATCACCAGCTTGAGTGGCGGCAATGAGTGCACCAAGAAGTTCTGCTACGGCGCATCTAAAAAAATAAAATTATAAATCAAAATAGAAAAATAAAAAGGTCAATCTGCGAGAAACTAGTCTTAGACTTCCTTTGGAAACGCTCCAAACTGTAAACCAAACCGCACACGGCACGTATTGTTTTACTAATTCTTGACATGCCACGAAGCGAATCGCATGCAATTTTATTTAAACTAGCGACCGGCTCTGGCTTCGCCCGAGTACGATATACTAATGTAGCGTTATTTATCATTTATTTTTGTTTTTTTTTTAACTAACTTTTTCAAATCAAAGATAACTTGTCAATTCTCTCCATCTGTTCGTCAATTTCTATTACATTCGGTTTAGCTAATACGAAGATTAGGCCGGACAGACAGACATAAATTTTAAAATCTTTACTGTCTTACTGACATGCAAATAGCCCTCTCAGCGCAATAAAAGCTTTTTGATATTAGTGACCATTGAGATATATGTACTACGTACTAGAGAAGCTATTCCAAACAAAAAATGTGCCTTACTCTGTATCTATGTATGCGCAGGAAACAGTAGAGACGCGCATGCGCAGTTGATATAAACGCGCGAAAATTGTCATAATAAATAATTGTTTATTTAGATTGTATTGTTAATCGAGTACATTTTTTTATTTTCGTTTATTTTGCATATATGCTAATTTAATATAAAATTATTATTAGCGCCGCTCCGCACAGCATGAATATCGAAGCCACAATAACAGGTGTACGGATTGCAGTACAGTTCAGGTGAACATTGTTCAGAATGCCATATCTACTGCATAGTACATATATATCGATGTTAGTGACATACTCCAATTTTATTAAGCTATTGCATAGCTTCTATCGCGGGCCTTGAGCGCGGGGACCGAATCCAGAAATTCCGTAACGAAAAAAACCTCACGCTCCCCACTCCGACGGGCACAGAGGTGTGGCGTTGAAAGCCGTGCATCGTCTAACGTCATTTCAGTTCGGCAGACTTCGGCACTCGGCAGACTTCGGCACGGTGTTTGTGTGCGTGCGACTAGACAGACTTATGCGTGTACACTAGCTGCTAACTCAATGATAAAAAATCCTGAATAACCTACATGTATTGTAAGATATTAAAAATATTTTTAACAATATTAACTTCTCATTTATTCAATAAGAGAGAAAAAAATTGTTTTCTTATCGGTCACCACGCTCAAAAAGTGTAACTTGATTTAATATCAAAGACTTAACAGCATAAATAAAATAAATAAATAATTATAATTGCATAAGTTGATAAAAAATGCTATGCAATAGCTTTACCGCGGCAGTCACCGAGTGCCACACGTATTTTTTTTTATATGTTGTATTCTATTCGTACATAATAATATGAGACCCGAGTTCAGTGACGTTACAGCGGCGCATATAAAAGAGTTTATAATGACACTAATGAACATGGTACTGTCAGCTTTTCTCCAATAAAACCACGACAACTCAGTTAACTGTTTAACCACTATGTTCGTTTTTTAATTTCACTCTTAAATTGTATATAATACTTTATAACACACTATACTTTACTTTCACAAAGAAGACTATATATTAATTTAACTTTACTCACAACCTTTAGAATCACCTTATTTTACAATAGACTTGAGTATTATAAACCTTCTCAACACCACTGTTTGTAATCAACTGCCGCGAGCGTCAAGTGTACGCGCTTTTATATTGTGACCCAATTCTAGAATTAATGTAGGTAGTTTGAAATGAATTCATATTAATATTAATTGTGAAGATTGCTAAGTAATATTGCATAATGATCATTTATCTAACAGTATGCTGTACAAGGAAGGGCGCACGCGAGGTGCTACATGGAGCAGGCGTAGGCGTCGCATTCCTCACGAGTCTCATGTTATTTTTTTTTGCGCCCGAAGCAAATATAGGCAACCCTCCGGAAAGCGGGGGTGGGAGGTTGGGAATGCTCATAGCATACCACGCAGCCGGCTGCGTGGTTATGTGGTGACTTTTACCCACTAAACCCAACCTTTTAGGAACTGGCTTAACGATCTGACTAGAGATCTCTAAGCCGTATACGAACGCGACCCTCCTTGGCAGAAAGGAGGGCGCAGCATGTTATTGTGTCCGCTTTATTTATATACTGTATCCTCATAGCACGTTTAGATTATCGGTTAGATTATCGGACGAACAACTCGCCGAATAACTCACCGAGACGAGACGATGAGTTTACATATTCACTGTATTCACTGGACGTAGATCTTTTAAACATGAATGACGTGCGTTTCGTTGCTACGATTTTATGTCTACTTTATTTTTATAGACTCACAAAAAATTTAAATGAAAAAAGAAGAAATGATGGCAGTAGTAGAAATAGTTAGTATTAAGTAGAATATATATAATTAGTTTCGCTTTTGTGAAATTCTTAATTGCAGCTGAACCGAGCAAATACGTAATTTTTTTATAATTTTTGTCCATTTTTTTTATAAAAAAAGGAATATTAACAATGCTATAAACATTACTAATATGCCTCTTAACCACTCGTGGTAAGCTTAAATGGCTTGTGTTACGAGTGGTTCTTGCCCCTAGTCGAATGGCGGATTCGAACCCACGACCTTTTTGAGTTCGCGGTCCGCTTCCTGCCATTAGGCTACTGTCGCTTCAAAGAAATGTATTACTGAAAATTATTACAGTAGATTGGTAAGATTAGTGGTAGGCATGTAAACAACAATTCGAATACACACGAACATTACTTTGATTCATGCTCTCGCACCGAATAAAGAGAACACCCGAACAAGTTGTTTACATGTTCGTACTCGTGTCTATTAGTCCTTGGTCGGCGAATATTAAACGTTCCAACCATGAAGCTTAGAGAACAGGAGAACGATCACTACGTACTAAAAGCATAGCCCGCGTGTCCTTGAAAATTGTAGAATGTATAGCGGCGCTGACGTCGGTGAGTAGTGACTGCGAAGTTAGCTGTTTATGAGTACAAGTAGGTGAAGTTAGTTGAATAATGTGCAAATTTTCATTTCATTTTTTCGTAGAAAATTTTCATGCTCCGTAATTTTGTAATTTTTGACAAAAAGAAACATTAAAAAATGGAGAAATATTTTATTGTGTGTGGATGTGCAAACGGTTTAGCATCTGATCGGAAAAATAGACTGAAAATGACTTTTATTGACTGAACTTAGTGATCGCAGCGCCTCACTGATGGTGTCCATATTTCTGGGACACTATTTTCTACGGCGATCGTTCTCCTGTTCTCTAACCTTCACGGTTCCAACAGTGTGGCATTAGAGAGGCGGGCAGGTAACCTGAGCGCTAGGTCTGAGGAGTGCGCGGCGCGCAGGCAGGCTGCGGCGATGGCGTCGACGTCTGCGGGCGCCAGGCGCAACAGCGGCAGTACACGGCGCAAGGCGTGCGCGGCGGCCGCGCGCACCGCCGCCACGCGCTCGCTCAGCAGCGACGTGCGCGCCGCGCGCGATACCTCGCGCAGCGCCGTGCCCGCCGCCGTGCCCATGCCCAGGCAAATCTACATCCAAAACATACGCTTTTTGATTTTTTGAATTGAAACTCCTTTATCAACGTTTTTTTTTTTCATAAGATGGGTGACAAACAAGCACACAGTCCACCTGATGTTAAGTGGTTGCTGTGGCCTATAGACATCTACATCTATCCTCGATTACGAATCAAAATACAGATGCGTTGTTACCCGTGAGGACTAAGATGGAATACCTCGTTTCCAGTAAAAAGGGGCTTCGGTTATCTACACTTACGAAACACAGCAGCATTGAGCTACTATTTTATTGCTGGTATTCTGTGAGAGTGTGGCCCTTCCCCGGTCGAGCTAACCCATTCGTGCTACAACTAAACTACTAATATAACTGCAGCATGACTACCACATGGTAGTAATAGTACCTACGGTATTCAAACTTCACGTTTTCTCGTAACGGTTCACCAGAAGGGCTGCAAAGTTACTATTATTTAACCATATTTAAAATATAAAATAAAATAAGTATGATATGTCGTGGAGGAGTTTCACATCGTACGAGGGTACACAATTACCACGCACAAAAAAAATTTTTGGTTAGCTATAGACGCTCAATACATGATTTTATAATATTTTTAGTTTAGGAGGCTTGTCAGGGTCAAAAATTGCTTATAACGAAACACAAATATATTTAAATTTGGTCTAGTATTATGAAGTAGACATCCAGTACTTAATTTCTTAATTTTGTTTTCAATTTAGGAGGTTTCTCAGGCTTAAGCTTGAATTTTTTGCACTATTTTTGGATTTCTAAAATGCATTTTGAATTAATTATGATAAAAATAAATTTCACTAAAAATTACATATAACAAAAGACAAATATGTCAATTTATTTTTTTAACACAATACACCCATAAAAATGTAGAAAACTCGGACCCAGACAATTAATTTACGGCTGAAGACAGAACTCATATACAACAAATTCAGTCGCAGTGGAAAGCAGGTTTTTCAGAAAACAAAATTATAACGATTATCACATTCGACATGGTTTCATTTACCACATTCATAGTAGAGTTTAGGGCAACCCGACTGTATAGATAAGATTGGTCGAATCTGTTCTAAAACCGAATTGGCCTGCCTAGACTCCACGTAGTCTTGTCTGCCCTACCCCTAGTGTTTTTGTAAAGCCGTAGGCGCGGAGGGAGAGCAGCCCCGCCCACCGTAGCAAATTGCAGTTACCCGTGTAAGTCGTAGCAGCTGAGGCTTGTCGCTGAAGGCGACCAATAAGCCAAAGCTGTGGAGGGGAGCATGGGTGCCTGTGATTTGCTGCGGAAGGCGAAAGGGCCCCACTTCCCGCAGCGCCGAAGCTGTTACAGAAGTAACTTTGGGTCAATATTCCTGATAAAAAAATAAATTACTTCGCAACCTTCCGCTAACTAAATACAATGATGTGTCTTACCTGGATTGAAGAGCACCTCCCGCCCTCCATCAATTGCATACACTAACTCCGTACATTTCAACACCACTATTCCAGGTAAGACACAACATCGACGACAATACCACACGTGTGTCTACATCACCTGAGGATGCCTCTTCATGAGGCATCCTCAGGTGATGTAGACTCTACAGCGACTGACCGCTATCCGCTAAGTGAGCGGCGAGCCGAAACAGCTGCTATTTATACACGCCGACACAACCACTCCCCACTAAAGTAGCGAGTGACCGCGCCGTGCGATAACAAACCTACGACTAATTGTTATGATTAATATTTTTTACATATTATTATTGTTACTGTTTTTTAAATTGATATTATTATAGTTATTTATTATTATTAATCTTAAAATTATTATTAAAGATTAGCCTTAAAGATGTTTAACAAAGGTGAATTAGAAACATTTGTTTGTTCATTCAGCAGTGCATTGTTACCATTATTTTTTAAAATCTCCAACTGCTCCAGCACACACAGTCGCAGCCCCTTATTACAAGTATGTAAAACTTCAAAGGAATGGTCGCTGGCTAAGTTGTGTCCAAGAGATGATTGTTAAAATGGGATTTATCAGGATTGCAATTTCTGTACGCGGCCAAATGCTCTCTATAGCGCGTCCCAAAATTGCGACCAGTCTGACCCACGTAAATGGCGTGACATTCGTCACAAACAAGTTTATAAACATCCGATTTTTGACTAATATTTAACTTATCTTTATTATTACAAATATTCCTAAGCAAATTGTTTGTTTTGAATGCCACGTTAACGCCGTTTTTTCTAAGAGTATTAGCTATTTTTTCCGATATGGAGCCTAAGTAGGTCAAACTACCCACATATCGCCGGACACTTTGAGATCGAACCGCGTACAAAGAATTGGGAATAACATGCTTTTGTTTCTTTTTAATAAAATTATTAATGAGATTTTTTGAAGAACCGTTAAGAGACTGTAATTTGATAAATTATATTAGGTTTTTTTAAATAATTTTGTTTACTTAATAAAAAGCGGCTAATTTATGTTGCCATGGATGACACAATGACGCGGGGATGACCGTGTCGGTATGAGTTGGCTTTCGATAAATTTGAAAAATATGCAACGACTCTTTTCTTGTTATTGTTAAGTCAAGGAAATTAAATATAAATAGCAGCAGTTTCGGCTCGCCGCTCACTTAGCGGTCAGCCGCCGTAGAGTCTACATTACCTGAAGATGCCTCGTGTAGAGGCGAAACACGTGTCGTATTGTCGTCGATGGTGTGTCTTACCTGGAATAGTGGTGTTGAAGGTATTTAGTGGTAACGGAGTTAGTGCATGCAAATGAGGTAGGTTGGGAGGTGCTCTTCAATCCAGGTAAGACATATCATTGTATTTAGTTAGCGGAAGGTTGCGAAATAATTTAATTTTTATTACAATGGATTTCCGCAAAGTAACGCCTGATTCTATCAATTATCAATATTCCTGTGTAACAAGTGAGTAAAATCATTTCGCTAGGGGGAAAGAGTAGGAGGGGCTTCTCCTACACCCCCTCCCCTTTCCCCTAACCCCCTCCCACCATCTGTCTGTTTATAGATATATATATATATATATATATATATATATATATATATATTTACCTAAAAAACCTTATATATATATATATATATATTTACTTTTTTTTCTTTGGTATTGTACAAATACTGTTGTACTTTTACTAATAACAATGTAAGAAAGTGAAGAAAAATTCGTTAAAAAAAATATGATGCAAACAATATTTATTAATTTTGTTTGTTGTTTGCTATAGTAATTTGTCGTAAGAGGCCACGGAGAGAAATTGAAACAAGAGATGGGCAGTATTTTTCTGCAAACTTCGAACTTCAGTAAACCATCAGTAGTTCACCGATGCCACATCCATCACATAACATTGCACTTAAAATGAAAAAATGTTGTGTATAAGTTGAGTAAAAATATAATGACAAATGCATAAAAAACAAAAAGAACATGCTGGTAAAGAAAAACCATAATTGTGATGAAATTACCTTCTCCAGCGTAATCATTATCTCAAGTCTAGTCTGAGACTCTGAACTTTTTAGCGATCTTACTAGTGTGGCTACTGTCTCCTCATATGATCTGCCCATCATCCTGCCAAGTTTTTCATACATACTTCCCAGACAACAGATAGCAGCACTGAAAAAAGATGGTTACAATGTAAATTTATAAATTTTTCTAGTAGTTCTTTTGTAAACTATTTTTACACTGGCATCCATGATTTTAACAAACCTTAGAAAACCATACTCAGAACTTTAAACAAACAAGAGATTTTTTGTTATCAATATTTTGGTAACAGTGTACATTACAATGTGATAAATTGTAAATCAATGGGTGCGTTTGGCAGAAAAAAGCGCTAGCAAGCGCTTACTAGCGCTAAAATAGTTTTCGGCCAGGACACGATTGCTACTTCAGTAGCGCTGACACAATCCGCCATTTTGCTTATTTAATTTGTTTGTTTTGAAGTAGAATTTATAAGTTGTTTTGGCAATATTAGTTTTAAGTAATATAATGACATGAATAGACATATACATGTTATTAAAAATTCATAATTGGTAAGTTTTTAATATGAATACTTCACAAACATATATTTAAATTAGGTTAGGTTCCCCGGTTAAAGCTAACTTAGTGTCCTAGAGGAAAATAGCTACTTACGATTTGACAGCGCTTACCGCTTACGATCGCCATTTTGCTTACAAGCGCTTGCTAGCGCTTTTTTCTGCCAAACGCACCCAATGTCTTTGATGACTACAGCACAGATGTCTCTTTAAGACAATTTTCGAAGTGCCTAAAAGCCGTTGCAGCAACTGCAGCAGCAGAACAACCGTCATTAAGTTTCGGACATTTCGTAATTTTTATTTGCGTACTTAGACAATATTAAATACTCGAAACAGAACATTTTGTAGAAAAATATTTTTATTTTTAATACCTAATTATTTTCCTTAAAATCATTTTTGACATTTATTACTAGTTTTTTTTTTCAGGATTTTTTTCGCTATCTATAGGTCTGTATGTATATTTTAGATAGTTTATTTTTCGTGTTCACAAATCGAAATGTAACCTACAAACTACAGACTTACAGAGTGATTCAAAGTAAGTCTTAATCATCTCCATACCCGTCTCCTTTTATTGACATGAAGTGAGAGAGCAACTCTAAACATTTCTTAAATTGATGTTGATTGTATGAGTAAGGCAGTTAGTATCCATTTTATATGAAGGAAATGCAACTTACTTTAGAAGAAAGAAAAAAACTACTTAGAAGAAAGAGAGTGGACACTACAATTTCGTCGTAAACATTATTTTTTTTTGAAAAATGCCCCATTCACGTAAGCTCGGAAACAACGGAATGACGTAAATGATATCTATCACAGTCAACAAAATAGCCAGCCTAGCGATTCATTTTACGCATGTTGAGATGACTTTGACAAATGCAATGTCTAAAATGTTACAATTTAGTTAAATGTACGTTACATTTCACGTTTAAAAATCACGTTGGGGTGCTTCAGATAGACTTCCTTGACCCCCACAGTGACAAAATCACCAAATTCAGGTGACTTAATTTCAAACCCAACCCGTGGCCCATGTCCAGCTATGCAGGCTTAGTGTAAGTAATAAATCTGTAATTCATTCTAATTTATATTCAAATTATAAATGATCAAAAGCAAAACAGAATAACATTTTCTGTGGAGTCTTTAATAGGGCTGTTATCTTCATGTGTTTTTAAAACCCAAATAACAAATTAAACAAGTGGTAAAATTAAAAACTTTGTACAACCGACTTCAATATAAGTAAATGAAATGAGAACATCATCAATGTAGATAACTCAAAAACTACTGGTCATATCTTCATCAATTAATATGGGACCACATGAGAAGCACCAGCTTTCAAATAGAAAAAGAATCATCAAAATAGGTGACCCGACCTAGAAAAAAATCAAGAAAAAAAAATACAGTCAAATTGAGAACCACCTCCTTTTTTTTTAAATCGGTTTCAAAAAGATTAATTGTGAAAAAATAGTATTCAAATATACACTCACAGTCTGGTAGGTAAATAGGATGGTGAATCATCTTTCACTTTAATTATGTCATTGCATTTGTTCACTGTATCAAACAACAAGAATGTGTCACCAACTGAGAACAGAGTAGCTAAGCATCTTGCAAGCAATTTACGCGCTGGTGCACCCAGTGATTCTCTCAGTAGGTTTACAAGCTGAGCTACTAGCTTTTGTTGGCAGCTCTTAATGTCAGACTGTAAAAATGTTCATAGTAAACTAGTATTATTACACATTTGCAATACAAAAAAATTTTAAAATTTAAAAAAACAATTGACTTCATAATAATTGACAATTTGTCTATTAAGTACTTCATATTAATCTGTAGATTCTTTACTAAGACATTATAAGAATAAATAAAACTTAAGATGTGTCTCAGCGTTATTTTGCTCACTGCATTATGATGCCACTAAGAACATACTTGCCATTGATAGCAAATGTGGCAATTATTTTAAGTCTATAAATAATGATATCTGTGTTCAGTAGTTGATCACTAGTGTTGTAATAAAAATTAGGTTCATAAATTAAATCCACAATTCATACCTTATGAGCTGCTACTAAAACTTTATCTAGAAAACGTAGCCATTCAAAAATGAAATGTGGTTTCTTGTCATCAGGCAACTGCTGCAAAGCAGTTTCATTTAATGTCAATGTGTGTGACACTTCCATTATTCTGGAAAAATTGGAATTTTGTTCTTAAATTATATTGGCAACTCATATAGCAGGTTCATATGTATTTTAAATAGATATGATACAAAAAACCCACATTTAGTGACACTCAGAATAATCATATTGTTAGGTATGAGGGTAAAAATAAAAGTAAATACAAAGAAATGAGGGTAGAACTGTAATCTACCACTGTTCTAGCAGTATAAAGTATCATGCAGATGACTAAGAAGGATTGGTTGCTAATTCTACGAGTCTCATTGTTATTATGCCCGTTAGGTTAACACTTTTGCTAAAACATTAACTCCACGCCAAGATTCTGCCTAAGACATAAATAATAATAAATAAAATAATAAAATAATTTATTTTTCTTTATAAAACTTAAAGTAATGACATAGTTGACTGGGATCTCCACTTAAGCAAGTAATGCCTGTGTTTGGAAACCCCGCTCTTCCTTATCTAGACATACATTTTTTAATTTAAAAACTAAAAATGACAAAAACTAATTACTCGACATTAACAACCAAAGTTTACAAAAGTATATATGTGCGTGTGCGTGTGCGTGCGTGCGTGCGTGCGTGCGTGCGTGCGTGGGTGTGTGTGTGTGTGTGTGTGTGTATGAAGAATTATTTTGTTATATTATATTGTACATAAAAGTGAATTATGAAATGCGGTACAGCAGAAATTCAGTTTCTTCATAGGTTTTCGACTGCACCCACTTTAGTATCAGGTTTTTACACTCACTGTATGTTTTGTCGTATATGTTCAATTCTCTATTTATTTTATTATATAGAAATACAGAACATGAGCTAAATTACCTACTAGCAAAAACTGTTTTGGTACCAGAAGGCTTAACCACAACATCTTTTCGCCGCTTTTTCAAGATGCCTGGGACAAAGGGCAGGGATTTGTGTGCTTTGAGGATTGTCATAATAACATATAATTCTAAATAGAGCACCACTTATTCTATACAGTTGTTCAGTGGAAAAACGTCTTTTTTTTTAAATACATGACCTACCCAAACCATAACAAAAAATAAACTGCTCTACAAATAAACCAAACAATTCTTAAACACAATTATCACTTTAACTAAACTACTAAATCACAAAACCCCGAAAAGGTTAATAAGGGTTCGATGGGCTCTTTCCAAGTTAAGAAATTTGGTCTTTGCAGCTCCAACCCACACCGGAATGCAATACGTTATGATAGATTGTGCAAGGGACGTGTATATTTGGTTAAGAAGATATCTGAGAGAGTGCGACGGTTTAGTACCATCAGGTATTACGTGTCTTAGAGTTTTGAACATCCAAATCAATTTTCGGGTCCTATTAATGACATGCTCAAGGTGTGGGTACCACGAAATCCTCTGATCTACAATGACGCCCAGATATTTAGTGTGAGAGACTTTTTGAATTAATGGGCAGTCACAAGCTTTGTTTTTAGCATCCTCAAAACACATATGAATTTTAAGGCAAAAGTCATTCTGTGGCTGCAAGTTGTTGGTAATGCTAAAGCAAATAAAATTTGTCTTAGTTGTATTCAAAGTGAGGAGATTTTGTTGCAACCACAGAGTGACTCGAGCCAGACCACTTTCAGCACTAGTCTTGACAGCCTCCCAAAAAAGCTAGTCAGTCACAGTACTCGAGGCAAGGAAGATCATATTCATGCTCAAATAATCACATTATTCCTGCTCACACGCTAAATATGTACTCAGACGTGAAGTTGCAGAAAACAGTCAGTCACATTCTAACTAACGATCTAAGATGAATACATACTTTGGTGATATCATGTTCAAATGTAGACTGAACTAAAATATAAGTGGTTTGGATGAATTATGTATGAATGAGTTAGACTTGGAGAATGTATGGCAAAATGTTAAGAAAGGTTTAGTGGATGCAGCTACCGAAGTATGTGGTGTTAGTAACTAGTACTAGTGGTACTAGTGGTGTTGGTAACTTAGTAATTACGTCCCTCACATTACTTTGCTGTGTGATTGTGATGGGGAGATATTACAGTATTGTCGAACTGTATTTGCTCTATACTGATAGTGTATAAATTTCATTGTGTAAGCAAATTATACAATTCATTGTTTCAAGCAACAGAGCAAATTGAACATCTACTCTCACACCCTTATTATTTTTAACAATTTACCCCCAGAATAATTTCTAACAATACTAATTGTTTAACTGATTAAAATTAATTGTCTAGGATATGTGGCATATAACAGTAGATAACTTTTATATGTAATAATGTTTATATGTATGTAACAGTAATACAAATTTAAAAAATAATTTTCATTCAATTATCATTCCAACACAGAGTGGATAGAGGTCTAAAGTTATGCCAATTATATGGTATTATTATCTGTGACTGCCTCGTTGGTCTAGCAGTTGTAGTAGTGCGACTGCTGATCATGAGGTCCTGGGTTCGAATCCCGGATCGGGCCAAAAAATCAATTATTGAGTTTTTCTATCAAGAAATTCTCAGTAGCTGCCCGGAATCAGGAAGTCGGCGGTGTCTCACCCCCATGCCCTGGAAAGCATGTAAAGCCATTGGTCCCGCGCCTGATCTCTCTCCGGTGGTGTCTATTTACCGTCTCATCGGATTATGAGAGTGAGTGAATAGAGTGCACCTGTGCTTGCACATATACTTGAGCACTATAATCCTGTCCTGCACCGTTGGCTAGCCTCCATTGAGGCAGGCCGCCGTGGCCGAAATTCAGTCTGGAGGACATTATTAGTATCTGTAATAATAATTATTACGGATGAGATTAGAGGAATTATTACATTTTGCAGTTGATTCTGCATTGCATTAACAACTTAAGTTTAAGTTGACTTTTTTCTTTTAACTGATATGACTGTACTCAAAACTAAGTTTGCTTAAAATTCTTTGCTTAAAAATAATTAAGACTTTTCTTATTTTGACTGAGAATAGTTTTAACTGTAACATATGTATTTTAAATCAATAAAGAAGAAAAATCATAACTTTGCTATTAATTTGAAACTGAGTGTCAGTGCTTGGCTCGATTGAAAGAGCCTAGGCTATATTTATTGATATTTCGATAAAACTGGAGCCATTCTCAATGCGTGTGTGAGACAGTTCTAAATTCTAATATAGCCCCGATAGCTGTACACCCTAGATTGCCCCTGTGGCAGGCAAGTGAGTAGCCGCTTTTACCCACATCCTTCCACTTTAGTTATATATTTTAACACAAATGTTACAGGCACAAAAGATGATACAAAAATGAGTACATATGATCAGTCTATAATACAGATAAACTTGACTAAACCAAAACATATAAACAATGGTAAATTGAAGTGGTAAGTATTTATACAAACCAATTTTCTTTTGACACTATTTCCTAATTAATTTCACATACGTTTGTCAAGACTAAAATCCATTAGAAACGGTAGTAAACATAATGAAATAATTATAAGTAATTACTTTTGTGGAGGAGGTAAACTACGAAAAAATTATTTTGCAAAAAAGTAAACTATTTATAAAGTATCTTGACTTGAAACACTTGATCACTTGAAAGCACCGGAACCTGTTGAAAGACGAAAACCGAAATTGAAAGCGATACTGCGATTTGTCCTGTGTGTATACGCCTGTAAGTAATCTTTGACAGTATTTGACAGTTGGTTAACTTTTTTTTATTAACTCGGTTAACTGGCTTTCCAGCTCTGGGTTCTAACCCTTATGAGCTTATCATTTCTTTCGGAATCTTTGTTTTTATATTCTTTTTTTTTTTCACAATATGCTTATACGTCACATCACGATGCCCTTGGGAGATTTTGACGACAGCTCAACCCAGCGGACAGTTGATGACGACAGCCACTCAAGTTTATGAGGCGGTCGAGCGATCAACATAACTTGAGGTTTATATTAACATCAAAGCACTTGTTTCGTCGTTTTCTCTAAAAGTTTAAACGCATCATCATATTCTTCATCAGCGTGGGGAGAACGGCGTGGCAGTGGTGCTCGCCGAGCATTTCCACGATAGCGTCTTGGAAGTTAGACGCATATGCGACCGACTTATGGTAGTAAGGATGCTTGTTGAAGGGGTCGTGACCCACTTAATAAGTGCCTACGCCCCACAGGTCGGCTGCAGCGACGCGGATAAGACGCTGTTTTGGGATCGGCTTAGAGATGTACTACGCGGCATACCGATGTCCCACGATGTCGTGTTGGGTGGCGACCTGAACGGTGCAGGGGGAGTATGAACGTATCCACCATTCTCAGCCATTCTCAGAACCTGCACTGCAGCTGACCTGGCCTTCGTGAACACGTTCTTCAAAAAGAAAACCGAGCACCTGATTACCTACAGGAGCGGTCGGAACGCCACTCAAATCGACTATCTACTGACCAGGAGAAGTCATATCAGTCGCGTGGCCAACTGTAAGGTCATACCCGGTGAGTGTCTCATTGCCCAACACCGACTTCTTGTCATGGGCCTCTGCGTAAAACCCCGTCGCAGACACGCCGAACGTTGCCACCGTCAAATCAAGTGGTGGCTGCTGGATCAAACCAGATACTCAGAGTTTGATTTTGCCGCTAGGGATATTAGTCTCGACACAGCAGGCAAGTCCGTCCAAGACTGCTGGAAAATCATTCAGACAGCAATCACAAAGACGGCAAAGCAAGTCCTCGGCGTGGCGAAAGGGGGTCGCAAAATCGACAAGGAGACCTGGTCCAGGGTTCATTACGGGAGAAGAAAGCGCTCTTCAAGACGTGGCAAGCGACCAAATCGCCTGAAGATCGCGCATCTTACAAGACAGCTAAAAGAGCTGCCAAGAAAGCTGTAGCCAGAGCCAGGCGTGAACACTTGCAACCATTATATGCTAAGTTGGACACTCCTGAGGGGCACAAGCTCATATATAAACTGGCGCGCTCTAGGGCCAAAGCAGCTTAAGATATTACTCGCTGCTGCAGCGTCAACGACCCTAATGGCGAGCACCTGTACGATGATCGTTCGGTGAAGGAGAGATGGCGCTCTTATTTCCACGTTTTGCTGAATACTCTGCACAGGGAAGTGCACCCCCCCCCCCGAACAACTCCCGAACCATGGACTCGTGCCACCGATTACGCCTGACGAGGTCCTCGCATCTCTAAACGGGGAGGAAAACCAAACCCGGGAAAACCCCCCCCCAAAAAACGCAGAAGGGAGCGAGAAAAAAAGAAACCCAATAAAAAAAGAAGAAAAAAATACCCAAACCCCAAAAAAGAAACATTAATCGTACGTGATATGTACCGCAACTCCGTTTCAGTGGTCAGGACCGCTGTTGGTGATACCACCCCCTTACCCATAACCGTAGGCGTGCATCAGGGCTCCGTCTTAAGCCCCTATCTCTTCAGTGTGATATTATATGAACTGTCAGCCAGCGTACAGAAACTACCGCAGCCTTGGCTGCTTATGTATGCTGATGATATCGCACTGGTAGATGGGGACAAAGGACGGCTCACCAGACGCGTGCACGCATGGAGGGAGGCGCTTGAGAACGGCGGGCTGAAGCTAAATGTGGCGAAGACGGAGTATATGACCTACAACAGCACAGATCTGACGTCTCTCCGTATAGGCGACGATACCGTCGAGCCCACGGACAACTTCAGGTACCTCGGATCTGTGCTTGATGCGTCCGGGGACATCGATCGCGACATAAAGGCCCGTATATCAGCGGCCTGGGCGAAATGGCGCGAGGTGACGGGTGTCATTTGTGACCCCAAAATGCCGGTCAAGCTGAAGTGACAGGTCTATAAGACCATCATAAGGTCTGTCCCTACGTACGGCAGTGAAGCGTGGCCGGTGCTGGAGCAACACCGGCAGTTGTTGCATGTCACGGAGATGAACATGCTCCGGTGGATGTGTGGCGTCACGCGGAAAGACCATGTATGGAATACATACATCCTCGGCAGCCTCCATGTCCGTGACATTGCTGACAAGCCCCAGGAAAGTTGCCTCCGCTGGTACGGCCACGCCTTACGACCGGCAAGCTACGTGGGAAACAAATGCCTGGACATGACATGACATGGGAAACAAATGCTTGATGTCGTGCAGGATGACATGCGCGCCAATGGGCTAGTTGCGAGGGACGCCGAAGACCGGGCAAAGTGGAGGAGGAAGTGTAGGAAAACGGACCCTGGGTTCTCCCGCGCTGGGCGGGATGAGCAACCGGGATAAACGCTAGGTAGAAGAAGACGATCATCATCATTATCAGCCTGCGGTAGTCCACTGCTGGACATAGGCCTCTCCCAAGGCGCGCCACTATGCCCGATCTTCGGCTATATGTACACATCCAGTTTCTAACAGCCACCTTGCGCAGATCGTAGCTCCATCTGGTCTGGGGCGACCCACACTACGTGCCTAGACGCGGTCTCCACTCCATAACGTCTACTCCACCGGTTGTTACTTCTGTGACAGACATGACCAGCCCATTGCCACTTCAGCTTACAATCACGGAAAGCTATGTCACTAACCTTGGTTCTCCGGCAGATTTCTTCATTTAGAATTTTGTCTACCAGAGAAACTCCGAGCATAGCTCTTTCCATTGGTCCCTGAGTGACTTTAAGCTTTTGGAGCAGACGTATCGTCCGTGTCCACGTTTCGGCACCATAAGTAGGTACGGGCAGAACGAACTGGTTGAAGACTTCTGTCTTCAGACTTTGCGATATGGGCGACGAGAAAACCCAACGGAGCTTTCTAAATGCTGTCCAGCCCATTTGAATCCTCCGATCAGCTTCCTTCTCTAAGTTATTCTTACCTAGTTGCAATATCTGCCCGAGGTAAGGTATATTCCTGGACAACTTCGAGAATTTCACCATCAACAGTGATTCGAACTGGCATGACGTAATCGTTGAACATAACTTTTTTCTTGTTCAGATTCATGCACAGACCAACACGTTGGAAGGATTCATTAAGTCTATTCAGCATGTCCTGAAGTTCCTGCAGCGATTCTGCCGTGACGACGATATCATCAGCAAAGCGTAAGTGTGAGATGTACTCATCGTTTACGTTAATATCGCGTACTTTCCAGTCTAACATCTTAAAAACAGCTTTCAGTGCATATGTAAACAGATTAGAGAATAATATCCCCCTGTCTCACTCCGCGATGCAACTGGATTGGTTTTGTTTGACTGTCCCGTACTTGGACGGAAATTGTAATGGTGTTGTAAAGGCATCTCAGCACTTCTATGTACCACCAGTCAATTTGGCACAACAGCGAAGAATCTAGAACAGCCCAAGTTTCAATGGAGTCAAAGGCTTTCTCATAGTCCACAAATGCAAGACACAGGGGCTGATTATACTATGTTGTCTTCTGTATTATTTGCCGCACTGTGTGAATGTGGTTTATAGTGCCAAATCTACCTCGAAACCCAGCCTGTTCCGCAAGCTGAAAGTCGTCGAGTCTTTGCGCGAGTCAATTTGTGATAACCCTCGAAAACAACTTATAACGTGGCTCAGAAGCGAGATGGGTCGATAATTTTTTAGCATAGTCTTGTCACCTTTCTGTTGAAACAAGACTGTAATGCTTCTTCTCCACTCCTTTGGAGTTCTCCCATCTCGTAAGATGCAGTTAAAAACTCGACAGTGCTCTTTTAGCAAGGGTTAACTCCCGGTCTTTAAGAGCTCTGTTGTAACTCAATCTTCTCCAGTGGCTTTTCCATTTTTAAGTTGGCCGAGGGCCAGCTCATTCTCCCCAAGGCAGCATTCTGGCAGCTTGTCGGTATAGTGGCAAGTCAGCGTGGCTCTGGGATCATCGCATTTAGGGCCAGGTTGTTGCTTATATGAGGCATATAGTTTACCATAATAGTGTTCGATTTCAGAGAGAACCTCAGGCTTTGAAGTGAAGACTTTGCCATCATGCGTATGGAGTTTTGCGATGTGACATCTTCAAAGCTCCCGAATAAAGATTTTGGATCCTTTGTTTCGCTCTATTGCTGCTTGTATAGGAATTGCATTAGAGTGATGCAGGTCACACGCGCGGACCTGCATCGCTCTAACCACCACTTAATACACAAAATCGCATCACTTTTACGAATCAAAATCCACTTCAAACCATTATTTAAGCGACAAAATAGGAGCAACAATCCGTCTGCGGCCAAATTCCCGCCAAAACTCTCGGTTGAGTTTTATATACCAATCATGGAGTATAGAGGTAGGAGGTAAGAGGCAATCTCCTATAGGAGAATAGTTGAAAATGTGTCCATCTGTAAGCAGTAAATAACAGTTCAAAAACTCTCCACAACATTTTTCGACTAGCTAGAGGGTATGAAAAATCGCCGTAAAATACGTTGAGAGTGATTTTGAAAATGAAAATTCTAAAAACAATAAAATGAATACTATAAAAACAATTTTACGTAGTTATATTAGTTATATACACTGCAGTTATATTAGTAGGGAGACGGACCACGCTCTCAAAGAAAAGTATAAATAGTCATATTATATAGTTACATATATATATATATATATATATATATATATATATATATATATATATATATATATATATATATATATATTAGTCAAATATTAGCTTAATGCTGCTGTGTTTCGTATGGTGAGTATAGAGAACCAGAGACCCTTTTTACTGCAAACGAGGCATTCCACCTAAGTCCTCACGGGTGACAACGCATCTGCATTTTGATTCGTAATCGAGGATAGATGTAGATGTCTATGGCCCACTGCAACCACTTACCATCAGGTGGACTGTGTGTTCGTTTGTCACCCTATCCTATAAAAAAAGAAGAGTTATGGTGAAAGTCTGTGCAATAAAAAATTATAAAAAGTTCACTAAAATTTACACTGTAGCTACAGTGACGCCACCCTTATTTAACGCTTTTCTACGGACACTTTTTTATACAGAGTTTTTTCTCCTTATTTCTACACTTCATAATACCAATACAATGACAAGATGACAACCAAGGACAGTTCGGTTAGACAGCCTAGAATACTCAGACTATTATGATGCTATGACATCTGGAATAGGACTACCATAGATTACTGTGTATATACTAGAGAGGACTACGGTAGTACTCTTATTAGTTTGTAGATTAGGACCAAATAGGACCAAGGGAACAGTTTAGAATAGTTTTATATACTAATAGGACTACATACTCATTAGTTTGTGATTAGACCAAATAGGATCAAGGGAACAGTTTAGAATAGGTAACACCTCCGCTAGCAGTTCTTATTGCTGGCAATAACATGTACCCGTTTTCTTAGGTGTAAGAAAAATGTGTTGCAACGATTTCATACCTACAGAAGAAATGACCAAATTACACAATTTTCGTAATGTTTATTCTAAACACCACGGACTTGAATCTAATTCTTTCACTTCTTTTATTGGACCTTCTAGCCCATCATTAAGAAATGATAATAATGATGGAGGCATTTTGGAAGAGGTTCTCCTATTGGCAGATGACGAATAAATCATCTTCTACTTCGTTTATCACTATAGTTATAGGTAAAATATTTTGTACAATAATAAACAAACCCAATGTTTTTCTTAACTTGACCCTTTCTTCTACGTTTACAACTATTTTTATTTTTATACAATCACCTGCTTCAAATTTAACCCTTTTAAAACAAAAAATATGGGTAATTAAGGTACATTTGCAAAAAAGAATTAAAAAAAATAGACTATCCATACTAATATTATAAATGCGAAAGTGTGTTTGTTTGTTTGTTTGTCCTTCTTTCACGTCGCAGCAGAGCGTCGGCATGGCATGATTTTTTGTATGGGGATAGTTCGGTGGCTGTAGAGTGACATAGGCTACTTTTTCCGCGGAAAAACATCTCATTCCCGTGGGAAAATCGAATATGTTGCACAAGTTTGTCCTTCTTTCACGTCGCAACAGAGCGTCGGCGTGGCATGATTTTTTGTACGGGGATAGTTCGGTGGCTGTAGAGTGACAAAGGCTACTTTTTTCAGCGGAAAAACATATCATTCCCGTGGGAAAATCGAATATGTTGCAAAATTAAATCCAGCTAGGTGGCGCCACCGTGATTCTACAAAACGGACGACGGTACGACGGACGAACGCAGAAGGTCAGAATATCTGGATTATTATGTTTTATATATGTATTTTTACCAGAATTAAGATAAAAAATGTTCGGATCTGTATTTTTCCACGCAGGACCGGGAAGAGAGCGATGAAAAACATAAAATTCACCAGCTGATTTTCTTCAAACGTTTTGGTGCATTGTAATTCACAGAATAGGCGATAACCTCGCAGACGATATTAAGTAATCCGTTGATGCTTTGCCTACCCCACAAGGGTTACAGGCGTGATTATAAGTGTGGATCAGAAATACTATCACCATCTGTCACGCTTTCACCCTTAACTATAACTTAACTGTGGTAGAAACAGTTCTTAGTAAGCCTTATTAATAATCCTTAGTAATATTTATTGAACGGATGTGAATACAGTTCTTATATGTGGTTACGAATGAATCGGTATTACAATAAGAAAAATTGTGCAAAATTATAAGAAAAATATTTTTTGACAATTATTATTAACTAACGTATACATAGTTTAAATTGATTCCGCTAGATATCGTTACTACGTTTTTAAAACGTGGTAACGAAATGTTTCCTGACATGTACTTAACTCCCGCCGTTGAGCCGCGCGTCAACTTATAGTGCATACGGTACCTATACGCTTAAATTGTTTCTATTTCGTAGCTTATTCGATTACCTGCTATCGATTTCGGTTATTTGTTATTTTCTTCGTGATTTGGTTAAGGATT